TGAGTCAAAGATAACTCCAAGGCAGCAAGTTTGAGGAGCTGGGGTAATAGGTAACCCATTGACATGCAGGGAGCTGGATGTAGGAAGGCTGATAAAATATTTCATACAAAATGTTTTAACTCAATACAGCCAACAGGCTGTAGAACTGCAAGTTTCATCATGCTCCTGTGGCTGGCTAAGCATCATGAGAGTTTTAGTTTAACAACAGTTAAAGAGCAAATGACTTGTTTGTAGTTGTTTATTTCAATAAGATAAATAGATTTGTTGCTTGTGACCTCTCTCATCCCTACCCCATGCCATCAGACAATCCCCTGGCTTCCACTCCTCTAAGAAGTCACTTAAAACACACCTCTTCAGAAAATCCTACCATCTTCCTGGGTGATGCTTCTCTCATTGCAATTGCCCTCCTCAGTTTCTTTGTCTCAGTTTCCCAGCTCACTCCTTCCCTCCCCTGTTGTTTGTTTCACGCACCACTTTGACTAGCTTATTTTGATACAGATATATTGCTCGTCAATCTCTCTTCCCCTTTGATATGCTGGTATTCCTCTTGTGTGTCTATACCCCTTACGCATAGTTTGTAAGCTAGTTTGAGCAGGTCCTTTTTTATCTCTTGTATCTCTTAGTATTTTGTATGCCAACTACTTGTCAGTTATCCCTATTTTAAGATTGAAAAGAGCAGCAGAATATGTTGACACTATATAAATAATAAGAATGAATAAAATAATAGTGTCACATTGAGGACAGTTTATGATCTAAAGAGCCATCACTACTAAATTGTCCTGTCACATATCCTCTTATTCCCATGCTTGAGCAAACTGGCATGTAATAATGTAATTTGTGTCTCTTGGAAAATTGGTGCGATATTAAATAATGTAAAGTAAAATATTGGTCATGTGTATTGTAAACATGAACATGGTTTAACATTTATTATTTGGGTGTGTTGGTTAAGAATTGTGCTCAAAACACTTGTCAATTGGGTGTGTGTTGGTACATTTTAAGCTTTGAGATTTTGGAAAGGTACAAAGTTCTTGCACATTATCACTATATAATAAGAGCTTTGTGTTGTGTGGTTAACAAGGCAAATTATTTCCTGGCAATCACTTTCAGCCCAAGGCAGACAGACTAACACAGTCTAAGACAGACTCATCCAGACATATTCATATTCAAAGAGATGTGACTGCCAAATGGGCAGTGATATGTCTCAAGTGGCGCAGAGGTAAAGGACCGCAATCCAGAAAGTTGTAAACAAAAGAAAACAAGATTTAGAACACACAAATTACCAGAACACTACTTTTATTTGGAATAAAATGACTGTTCTAGTAATTTGTGTGTTGGATCTACTTTGTGCTTTTGTTTACAATATTCACAAAAACTGGAAGACACACACAGACAGAAACAATCACATACTATAGACAGCAGTGGCAGAACACTCGCTTACAAAGGTTGTGAGTGCGACCGGGCCTTGGGTGTTCTCCGTGTCACAGGGGGCCCAGGAAGAACCAGATTGACCCACCGGGAATCCAGGACAATTTCTCATGAGCTGCTCTTGCCTGGGGCTGGCTGATGCAGTAAAGAGGAACTGTAGTGCAAGTGAGGAAACTACTCATTGCTCCCTCATACCGTGAACAAGTGTTATGATATCATATCCTGGAACCTGAATATCAGACAAGAGATAGAGCTGTCCTTGCCCTAGTAGGTAGAATGTGTGAGTCTGCAGTATGTGTGTCAGTGTGTATGTTTGTGTGTCAGTGTGTTTGTTTGTGTGTATGTCAATGAGTGTGTGTGCCAGTATCAATGCAAGTGTGCCTTTATGTGTTGCTTAAAAGGATTAAAATGTTTTTATGGGTATATATATATGTCTGTATTACACACACAAATTATTATTAAAAATGTGTATTACATTAAAGTGTGTATTAAAGAGCATTCAATTTCATCAATACAAAGCTAGCAAATGTATGGATTTTAATATAAAGCTCTTTAATTTTACACTGGTCAACCACAACATTAAAACAATTGATAGGCGAAGTGAATAACGTTGATTATATTCTTACAATTGCATCTGTCAAGGGGTGGGGTATATAAGGCAGCAGTTTTTGAATTCCATGTGTTGGGTAAGCAAAAAGAGCTGAATGACTTTGAGAGCAAGATAATGATGACTAAACGACTGGACCCTACCTCCCCACTATCAATGAAATTCTCAACATTAGACCTGTGTACAGGTGGCACAAAGGGTCTAATGCAATACATTGAGTGACAGACAGTTATTTAGCCCCCTGTCGCAATCAGGCAAGGAGCCACACAAAATTACACTCAGTCAACACCTATACAGAATCCCACTCAGCCAACTTCACACATGCATAACACACCTGGCCAACCATGATAATCACATTCAGCCAAGCTCCACATACATTCATGTTCAGCTACCCGCGCCCCACATAAACACACATTCTGCCACTTCACCCATCCCATTTAGGTGTATCCTAGGGAGGAGTAAGAAGGGACAACGATGGGGGTCCTTATTTGATTCTTTCACCGGGGCCCTGTGTTTCCTAGTTACATCCCAATTAATACACTTTTATTGGGAAAAACAAACTCACATAGTCTGACACAGCCTTCTCCATTACTTTTTTATCATGCCATTTTCATTTTGCCATGCTTCTGCATATATGCCTTTTCACAGTGGTTGCCACATTACATCTTGTTAGACATACTTCCTCCTAAATGCTAGAATACACACGTTTTCACACTTATTAAGTGCAGTAAAATCAGTAGATGGCAATGTAATCATACATTACTCCCAGTGAAATATACACCAATAAACATACAAATGCTACCTTAAAAAACGGGGACGACGACACACACACACACACACACCAAATATGGCAAAATAATATCTGTCTCTCCATCCATCCATATATCCATCCAATTTATTAACATTTCTTATACAATATATATAGAGTTATAGACAGAGGGATATAATGATTGTAGTGCTTTTTGTTGCACTTTACCTAGCTTATAGTATGGGTTACTATAGTTTATAGTCAGTGTTATTCAACTTACTTAGAATTTTTCTGGATTAAATCCAAATGGAAGAGAACAGATCTGCATGTCCCAAGTATTGGGCAATGGGAATTTCACACAATTGATGAGGTATATCAATATTGTCCAATTTTGTCCAACTCTGAATGGAAATCTTTTATTCGAGAGTGTCAACTGACGCTATCAGCCAATACATTCTGTACAAACAGGAAAACTCTGTGGATAGGTCTATACTATCGATGCCCAAGGTCCAAGATGAGTGGAAGGTCCAAGATGAGTGTCAAACCATTTAAAAACTTTGACTTTTAACAATGCGATGTATTTCGGCTGATCAACTGTATTCCCCCATATCATGTCTATTTATTTATACTCATTTCACACCTACTGTCCACATTAACTTGTCCAAGACTTTTATCGCTACAGAAAAACTTTAATTGGTAAATAATCTCCTCCTTTACATATGTGAAAAGTAATCACTAAGAGTGTGACTTTGGATACGCAAAACCTAAGAAATTGGTTATTAGTTTTTTTCAGAAAACTCACTCGGAACCTCTATGAAAGATTGACTTTGGAACCTACATGAAAGATATAAAACATAATTATAGTGCCATATGTTCTGTACTTAGAAACCACCTTGTAAAGGATTGTGCTAGCTCACATAGTAGAGAGCTGTGAATATTCGTTAATAAATACAGAATTATAGTGTAATGAAGCCTGTGTTAAAATATCAGACAGAATTGTTGTTTTGGAAAAATTTGCCAACTTCGCTATAGTTGCATATTTGATGTTATTGCCTACAGTTTGCAATTCCATTTTCAGTTCACTGTCATTTGATAATAAGTACATAAACCCCTCTGTTTTTATTTCTCCTACGAATTGTATCAATCAGTAATGTACTCTAATATTGCAATTCCTCATTCATCATATCAATGGTCTTCCGGACCAGAAGTGGAGGAATGAAAGACCATAGGGAAAACCTTTAACATTATTTTTTATTACAAGATACATAATTAAAATGCTTTCATAAAATAAAGTGAGTCACTTGCACATACAAGTCTCATTATAACAGGTTTTTCTGATAATGAGTTTTACCGGATCAGTGGATAGAAGACTTACCTGGTCTCCCTCTGATCAATGTTATAATGTCCTACACTGCATGGTGTTTCAGTTAAGATCTCAAGGTGTGCCTTAAGCAAGATGTTCTTTCATAGCCTGCAGTGCAAGTGTGACTGAGTGCGTTTTCTTTGTACAGAATTATATAACATTATACAATGCAACAGCATACAAAGTAAACTCTTAAATCAAAACATCTAATTATTTAAAAAACAATATTTTTCAAGACTAGTACAGTATACGTGAGATAAAAGGAAATTAAAAGAGGTATGTGACCCAAAGGTTGATGTGTGCAATGAACTATTTTAATATATTAAGTATATAATAATGTATATATATTTATATAATATTTCTTAAGGTTCCAATCCATATCGATTACTTTTATTATTAATAATTTTATTGCAGAGCAATTTGTTGTGAAATTGAAGGTGTTACATTTTGAATGTAGTTTTTATGTAAATTTAATTTTAATGTCCCATTACCAATTTTAGGGGTATGTGACATCCATCATGCATTTTTCTTTCTCATAAATAGTTTTATATATCGATGTGTTACAATGCCAGTATTTAGACTATTATTATGTAGATACCTTTCACCCAACAGTTGACTAGGTGGAATAGTAAGAAGTGACCACTTGTCAGCCTTCTACTCAGGGTTTATTGGGGTCCATTTTATCATTATTTTTTTACATTTATTTTTGTATTTATGTATGTGTTTGTTAAAGAGATAAAAGATGGACTATCTAATTACATGATGGGGTCTGCCAAACCCCCAACATGTATTTATTTATTCATTGAAAGTGCAATTATGAGCAGAGCTGCAAATCTCGCTGCTAATTGCTCTCCACCATGGCACTGAAAGGGTTAACGGTACTAGTACTGTTCAACCCATTGAAACCTCAGCACTTGTAACCGCAAAACCATTTAGTAAACAGCAAAATGGCATTGCAGTTTGTGTATTTTCCTATGACATAATGTTGTCCCATTCCGATTTACTGTTTATTTATTACTACAATATTAGGTAGGTAGCTAAGATTTGAACAAGTGCATTGCTAAAATTGTTACTTTGTTTCAACATTATTTACTTGCTTGTTCCTTGTTCTTATGATTATTGATATACAGAGCTTACATGCTAGTATAGCATGTTTTGTTTAAACGTTATTGGTTGGTATCATTTGGCTTTACTTATTGCATAACATATACAAAATCTGGCTGTCTTATTTACTAATCAGGAATTGGTGAGAAGCTTGAAATTGTAGGCCAAAATACCTGAATTCATGGCTATTTTGTTCTAAAATTTGTAATTCCCTGATCAATTAACAATTCCAAATTTAGTTTTACATACGGTGTATAATTAAAAGGATCCATCTTGCTTGTAAGATTAATTTGGAGTAAATGTATTGCTATTAAAAGGTGGTCTAATGAATATAAGTAATTTTTTTTTTCTTTTCGTAATCCTAATGTACATTAATTTGCTAGATAATTAAGATCCCTACTCCACGAAGTTAACGTGCAGTCATGATGTCTATATTTTTTTTTAATTCAAACTGAAGGCTCTATTTTCATAACCCCTCATTTAAATCATTATATGTCAACCGTAGCAACTTTATCTACTGTTACAAAACCAATAAAAAAAGATTATATCTGGAAATTTAGTTGCAGAAAAAAAAAGACAGCATAAGCTGCCATATATAACTAAACAGAATCAATTACGGAAATAATTAGGTGATAATGTCCACTTAAGGAATATTGTTGCCTCGATTGAGCTGATAGTTAATGTCATTATTTCACCCAATCCCATGAGCACCACAAATAACTGTAAATTATAAGGGTTTTATGAATTTGTTATGTAATAAAATAATATAAATAATTCTTAAAATGATACATCCAGATTTGATTTAAATAATTACATTTGAAGTAATATATATTTTTCTCTTTACAGTCGGCAGAGTTTTTTGAAATGTTGGAGAAAATGCAGGTAAAAATAGATAATTAATTCAGACTATCTTAATTGAAATAATCACATAAGGCATTAAACTATTAGTTTATTCCAAAAAATGATAACTGTAGTTCCCCTCCCTGCTCATATGAATAGAGGATTATATAACCAGGCTTAATCTCATTTTACCTAGATATTACTTTCTCTTGCAAATCCTAAACTCATAGTCCTCTATCAAAGCACAAATCATTTTTCCACGATAGAGCAGAATTGAAAACCTTTACCATTCACCACTACTGCCACCTGGAGGCAGCTAGGAAGATAGTACTTGCCCTTTTCTTAATGACTTTGAATTCTCGATAATGAATTGCCCCTTGGACCACTTTAAAAGCTATATTTATCAAGTGGAAAGAGTGCTATTAGAGGAAAAGTGCTTAGTAAAAAATAAACAATCACCATGGAAACCAATTAAGTGTTTCACATCATTTAACCCATAGTGGACCTTGTGCTTTTTCTGTTGGTCTCCATGGGTTGGCACATCATGTAACCTACACGTTTGGTAGCTGTCCACATTTTTTTGCCAAAATTGCTATGCAACCACCTCCCTTTTGATGCTGGGAAAAGTCTAAGAAAAGTATTTTGCAGATCTAACTTTAGTATATATTATGGTTGATCTTATGTCACTGAGATAATCTTGTAATTTTGCCATCACACTTTGTAGATTATGTGTATACTTGAAACTGGTTTAAATCTGAAGCAGGTAGCTTAAAAGTAGAGGTGTGTCCATATTTTCTATAAAATCCCATTAATCACCATTCATTGTTTCTATCTATAATAAAAAATCTAACTGGTATATATATGTTTTTTTTTTATTTATTTTTTATTTTAACTTAGGCTCCCAAGCTGGAAGAACAGAAAACTGGAAGTCAGAAGAATAAGGTAAGTCAAAGGTGCAAACTAGCCTGGTTATCAAAATTAATAGTCAATAATTACCCAAAAATTGAACATTTCTCTATTCATAAAATGTCCTGATGAGATTTTTTATTTTTTTTGCATTTAATTAATATCTATCTTAATTATTTTTATTATTTCCTTTTCCCATGATTTTGGTAGGCATACCCCACCATTTTGAAGAACTTGAATCTATGAAATTAACTTTTATCATAGTATTTTTATATGTATAAGCATCATTTCAGGCAATGCTATAAGCTTTAGAATTCTCTGAGAATATAAATGTTCTAACAATAGCCGAAATAGACTGAATGTGAAATTACATTCTAGATAATATCCCCTCCACACACAACCTATTATAGAAACATTACAGGCAGCCATACAGCATTCCACGGCCAGATACTAATCAAACGTCCATTATCTGAGATACTTGCATATAACTTGGAAAAAAATCCAATTTGTTTTTGAAAGAAGCAGTTTATAATAACAAATAATTGATGTAATGCCCCTGTCGTGTTTGTCCATGCACCATTTAGTATCCCAAGAATTATTTTGTATTGTACAGTCAATACAGATTTGATACTGATTTTTTTGCGGAAACATATCTACTTTTCATATTTAAAGTCATTTCCACATTTTTTCTGTTTCTCTTTTTGGAAGTAAACCACTATATGTTAGCATACCATTACCTAAGCAACATCCCACAATTGGACAATTATGTTCTTTACATGACTTATGTTGATGGTATGTTTCTACATTTATAGAGCGGTTTCCCCCTTTACTTGACTTTTTTGATGTATTTGTGTCTATACTAGTTTGTCTTAGTATGAACAAAAAAACCAAACACTTCCACTTTTACAACAGTGTATTATAAGAAAGTATATAACTTTTCTTCTAACATGACTCTAATACAATAGATTTGCAAAATAAATATAGAAAATTATTTGGTGATCAATGCTTCATCTGACATAACTCACACAAATATCTAAAAAATATAGTCTTCTTCAAAATCAAAGTTAGCTAAAAACAGGACCCGATTAAAGTTTTTAGTTAAACTGTAATATTGACAATAAAAGTTGCGCACACACACACACACACACACACACACACACACACACACACACAATCACCAAGCATCATAATTCTGCAAATTTCAGCTGTATAAATACTTTTCTCAGCATGGATAGTGATGGCTAATAAAGTCATGGCAATGAATTCCAAAGGGAATGAAGTATGAGTCCATCATGCCATGTAGAATTTAAATTAGCATGTGTCCTAGATATTGTAAGTCAATTTGCAAATCCTATTATATCTGTAGTGAATTTACTCCTGAGCTCATTTGGTTTTGTTACGCTATTCGATGTTTTCACTGTTATTTAAAATTCAGATAAATGAATCATTTGTCACTAAATTACCCTGCAAATGCATGCAACTCAAATTGTTTATGAACATGTAGTCTGTCTGGCTGAGAAGTTCTGCTAATTATTTATCTAGTTTATTTATGAGAGACTCTTGTTTCAAAGTGTTCAGCATATTGTAATCATGGCAGTAATTGAGTTTTGAAAGGGAAAATGGAGTTGGGACTTAAGAGCCTGCAAGCTTTAGTTTTAAATTTAATATAATGTTTCTTAGATAGGTAGATAGAAATAGAGAGATAGATAGAATAGATAGATAGATAGAATAGAAAGATAGATAGATAGATAGATAGATAGATAGATATTGATAAAGATATGCATATATAGATTTTTCTGGGACATTCAAAACCTTATTTGAATGGGTTTTCTTTAAAAAAAAAAAAGGACATTTCTTAAAAATGGAAACTAACTTATTATAAAAATGCATATAATGGTATATAAGAAATACAAGTACTAATACTTAATCTAATATGATACTGGTACTGTATTAACCCTATACCACACTGCATTTTAATCCTGCACCCACAGCAATACATCCTGACTACTTCCTTAAAAGGACAGTCCAGACTCCTAAAGCACTTTAGCTTGCTAAAATTCTTCACATGTAAAGGGCGTGCCATCTTTATGTCATTTTACAAAAAGTGTAACTTTTAATACAAATTAGCACTTCTATAAATTAAAAAGAAAGGAGATTGGAAGGGAAAATCCACCATCAATCTCCTAAATGGAGCGCTAATATTAAACACACTTACCCCTAATTCTTAAATAATCCCGTATATGACATAGAGTAAGAAGGAGAAAAAAATCTAATGGTGTAACATGAACAGGATTAATTGGTGCTAAAAAATATAAATAAACAAACTCACAAAGAAAGAGTCATATGGGAGGACTAGCTAAAATTACAGGCACATTGGTGTACTAAGGTGACACCTTTCCCTCTTCTTGGTTCTTCCTATAAAACTCGAGATAAAACTCAGGAGATAATATTGTGTAGGATATTAAAAAGCAAGTGATAAATAATCCAGATTAAAAAACTACTCACCTTGGTCAGATAGGGATACCCCCCTGTGGTGGGTTAACAGCTTAATACCCAGAGCCAGGTTTCTTTTATTGGCTCTGACCAAAGTGAGCAGTTATTTCATTTGGTTTATTTATCACTTGGTTTTTAATATACCACACAATATTATCACCTGTGTTTTTTCTTGCGTTATCTCGAAAAGCTGAGATCAAGGGTTTTGTATATACTCAAACCATCACATCTGGCAACAAAAATCAACCCATGGTCAAAGCCATTTAGCCATAGCCAAATTATCCATAAGGTGGCATAGGTTGCCGCCTAGGGCACTGGCTCAGATAGAGACCAGGAATAGGGACTGTGTCTGGGCCTGAAGCTCTGGTTCAGATTGTGGGTTCCTTCCTTGAGACAGTATGGAGAGCAACAAATCACCCCATTCAGCCCTGTACTCCTTTATCTATTCAAGGGAGCAGTGTGGTCTGCACCTCGGTTTGGCGCATATTATTTTAAGATCTCCCTCGTGGTCTCCTGGTTCTTCTCACTGACTCAGACCACTGCAGCTGGCAATCAAAGTCATTGACAGAGTAAGGGACCATGAGGGAGCTCATAAAGTGAGTTGCATTCAATACTAGTGTAGATCTTAATGCATCAGCACTGGACCACCTGTGACCTAGTCCAGAATGTTCTCCATTGGGCGACCAGGAATAGCAACCCATCCAGCCAAAAGGTAAAGCAGTAAGGGTGCAAAATAACTACTTCCTCACACACTTAGACACTAAACACAGATAATACCCAGACTCTCCCACACACGAAAAACACTTAAACTCCTTCACATACAAAACTCGACTACCACTCACAAAACACTTAGCCAGAACACACAGGCACACTCAGCTTATCCCCCTCCACATACAGCCACTACAAGCACACCCATCACTCAGTCTACCTCACTCACATACAATACTCAGCCCCAACACATACAAACCATTCACAGAACAGAGCTGGGAGCTCTAGACGTTCTGTCATCCTGCCTAGGGCCTTTGGGTAACCTTAATTCAGTTCTGCATTAAGATCACATTTCTACCACATGATTAGCTGATTAAAAACATTTCATTAAAGGACCACTATAGGCACCCAGAATACTTCAGCTTAATGAAGTGTTCTGGGTGCCAGGTCCATCTAGGGTTAACCCTGCAGCTGTAAACATAGCAGTTTCAGAGAAACTGCTATGTTTACATATGGGTTAATCCAGTCTCTAGAGGCTGTCTCATTGACAGCCACTAGAGGCACTTCCGTGTTTCTTACTGTGATTTTCACAATGAGAAGACGCCAGCGTCCATAGGAAAGCATTGAGAATGCTTTCCTATGGACTGATATGGACTGACTGAATGCCGCGTATGCACATTCAGCCGATGACGTTGGAAGGAGGAGGAGAGTCCCCAGCGCCGAGGGAGCCTGGCGCTGGAGAAAAGTAAGTGATTTAACCCCTTCCTCTCCCCTCAGCCCAGTGGGAGGGGGGCCATGAGGGTGGGGGGGGGGGGGCCCTATTAATACTATAGTGCCATGAAAATGAGTCTGTTTATCCTGGCACTATAGTGGTCCTTTATTGCTCATTACATTAATTAGCAGATGTGCAAGCATACTTAATAAAGTGGCCATTGAGTGTATGAGATGCATTTCAGGGACATACTAAATGCCAGTTAAACTTTTATTGTCAACCTTCACTTGATTTATCTTCTAAACTGTCCTGAGGTCATGATGCTGCATGGAAGAGAGTCATCATGTCTAGAGCAGGCCTATAGTCCCTTTAAACCATTTTAGCATCTGCAAATCTTATTGTAGATGATCATTTTGCAGTAAAGTGACTTCTTATCTTCTGGGACTTTCTTTAATATAGGTCTAAAGTAAAGTTTGGTCTAGCTTTCCCTAAATACATTTTATAACATCGCAGATATGTCCTTGCTATTTGAGTTGTACCAGTTTAATGTGTGCATGATGCAAAGTTAAGAGTTCGTTTGTGCATTGGGATTGTGATTAGTTCTCCATATCAACAACATATTTAATAAAAACAAAGTTTATCTTCATAATCTCAGTCATACAGATCTTAAATGTCTGTCCCTCTTGCACAATCACTCACCTCTCCCAAACTGTAAACTGTGTGTGTGATGTTCCCTGAAACCTCAAGAGAGCAAACCAATAGACAGGCAATAGTTCTTTCTCTTCAAATGTTGCACTGCAGAAACAATATGAAGGCGATAAATTGTAATCTTCATTATATTTGACAAACAGACAGTTACACCTGAGTTCATCACAGTTTTCAAGTTTTATCTGGATATCTACGTATCTAGAAAAACAACAGAAAATTAGAACAAGAGGTAAGCTTCACTTTTAGGTAGCACAGCCTAATAACGAGCTTATATTAGAAGATCATGGATATCTTATCTTTCCTATGTGCTTTGTTATCTGATCTTGTTAAACACAGATAATTGTAATATCTTTCTGGAAGATTCTTGGTTGTGCATAGTATTATTTTTTATTTTTATAGCAATGCATGCAGGGTAATAAAATGGGAATATTTGGATGCAGACATTGTTGAGACTCAAGTAATATGGGACGAGTAACTAGCTCATAAAAAATAGAAAAAAAGAGGAGGAGGAGAGTCCCCCGCTCGGCACTGGAGAAAGAGGTAAATTTAACCCCTTCCTCCGCCTAGAGCCCGGCAGGAGGGGGACCGCGCTATAGTGCCAGGAAAACGAGTATGTTTTCCTGGCACTATAGTGGTCCTTTAAGTCACCCTGTGTTCATCGTAGGCACAGGGTGTGTGTGTAATGAGGTTGTTTGGTGTTAAATGTTAGTGTGCTCTTTTGTCTTGCTAATGCTTGCAATCAACTAGGTGGATTTGGCTGTGGAGCCTGTACAGCGCCACCTGTTGGCTGCAAGGATCTAGCAGCAGCTATATGCAATATGCACTACCTGAATAGCAAGACTTGCTAATTTGCATTTTCAGGTAGATATGCATATTGCTAATTCTGTTAGTTGTTGTCTTCCCCAGCCCTTTATAAATATGATATTATGCTATCATAATGTCCTGTATATTTTGTGACATGTTTTGGTTATTTGAATTTTATTATGCTTGTCACATATGTGATGAATGTATGGGCTAGTCCCCCCAAAAAAGTAATGTATGTTAGTTTCATTTGGAACTGGGTGTCCTGTGGGGATTTTTAGAGGTCCCAGTGACAGAGTCTTCGGACCTGTTGGCTGGCTGCATGATCCCTCTAGCCCTGGGATAAATCAATAGACCTAGGAGAGACGAAAGTCCCTTTGTAAAGGCAATAGCAATCATTCCTAGCAGAGCTGCGGAGGAATAGACAGTTGGGACAATACCTGCCTTAAAGAAGGGCTGCAGCGGAATAGGCAGATGGGATGATACCTGCCTGGAAGCAGAGCTTCTGCCTGGTCGAGCAGAAAAGCTCCAGAAGGACCCTAGTCAAGCTGCGGATTGGGTGGAGGTACTCGGTCAGAGTACAGGAGCCCAGTCACATTTATGATTCCCAAAGTATTTTTTTATGAATGATAAATTGTAGTGGATGAACAAGGGAATTAAAACAAAGGGCCACATTTGCATAATGAAAACAAGGTTCACACTATAACAGTTTACTTACAGTAAATGAGGAGAATTGATCAGGAATTGCAGAGTTTAGAGAAAAATATTTTTCAAAATAGCTGAATTTTTGATTTTTTAAAATTTGCTTTTATTGGCTTAAATTTGCAATTCCCTTTTCCACAATCATCCACTTATTGCGTAAACCAGTTTCATGTTTTCAGTTTGAATATTGTGTCCTTTTATATATTTTCTAAATCCTTTAATTTTCAGTCCAGAAATCTGTGCTTTGGCTATAGTTTTTCATTAGTAGTCTCTAAAGAGATTTTTTTAAGAGTTATAATGTTTTCACTACTTGCATCAAGTCGTATATATTAAATTCTCATTGATCAAAACTAATTTTCGATAGTATTACATTTTAGCATTGTCTTTAAGATTCAGATATCATCTCAAAATAGTGATTTCAATTTTGTATCACTATCTGGTTTAATAAATGTGGCATTGTCCTTTTACAATGTGTTTTACACTTTCACAATGAGAGTAAGACTGTGCCCCGTGGAGTTTTTATTTCTGTAGAAGATATAGTAAGGCATAGTGAAATAACATTCACATCTTCTTCGCAGTAAGTCTGTTTGCCATATAGTTTATTAAAGCTGCTGAAGTGCTATCCCCATTACAAAAATAAAAATAATTTATTCCATTGAGAATCTCATAAAAATTTGTACAGAAACAGAGATTATTTTTAATGTATTAAAATTTTGCAGATTTAACAGATTTTTTTTGCTGTGCTTTTTTTTATTATTTACATTTTTGTTTGGTTTTAAACATATACATAGACATGTGTAGCATTTATATACTTTGAATGAAATTCACAAAGTGCATATTTTGTTCACAAGATAGAAAATGAAATTCTAATAGTAATATTAGGCGCATAAATGACTAGCGTTATGACAAAAAATATTCAACATAAATTAAAAGCATATAATAATAACAACAAAAAAAAACACGAAAGAAAGAAGTATAAACGTACATACATTTTTTTACATTGCTATGAAAGACACTAACATTGAATACCTCAAAGGTAGTGAGACACCTGAAGGAAGAACTTGTCCTGACCTTAGAAAAAATAATTTATAATAAAAGTTGTTCTTATAGAAGTTCTTATAGGGGACCAGCTTCTGGGAAGTTACAGAGAGTAGTATTATATACCAATGCCAGGATTATACGTAGTACACATACGGAATTTCAGCTCCTATAATATGCAAACCAAACATCCCAGATCGTATTGTATGTCGAAATATTGTGATTTAGATCAAAGAAAACTTTGATTATTTGTCTATCTACTCCTTCCAAATTGATTAATTAATGCGTGCACACTCTTCCTAGAAGTAATTCACACCGGAGACAAAGTTTCTGATTAGTGAAAAACCTGAGGAATCCTTTATTCCCCGGAGTGGGAGCCCCTTTTAAAGCAGAAATACGTCATGTACAGAGTCACAGTTAACATACAGTATTCATTCAACAATTGGTTAACAGTCTAAGGGGTCTTGTCATTACAGAGTTCTCCCACCCATATTCCAGCTCCATCTTGGTTACACGATGGGAGGGGGAGTGAGTAGTACTTACTGAACAGAGAAGGGCTGAAGAGGAAACAGTTACTTTAACAGCGATTCTCCATTTTGTTACACGTGGCACATAGCTGTTAATTTGCACAAAGGAAGTGGGGGAGGAGTTTAATAAAGGAAGCTATTCTTTTAACACAGGAATTTGTTACACGAGGCTTGCTCGATGGGAAGGGGGGAGGCTAGCAGGATGGGAGGAATTTGCAGAGAAAATAGTTACTGAACACATTGTAGGGGGGGAAGGGAAGGTTTACTCTAGCAGCCAGTTTAACATAGTGAACAAAGAATAAATAGACATTAGTAAATAGCCATTTTATTTTAATTCTTTTGTCCATAACAATTGCAATTGCTATAATAAATAGCTTTTTCTATTACTTCTTGCTAGTTAATCTGAGCCCTTATTTCTTCTATATTGGGGGACTCCTCCTTTCTCCAATATCTAGCCATACAAAGTTTTACTGGCATTAACATATGAACGGCTGGATATAACATTGATTTAGATAGAGAAGGGAGATCAAGATGGAAAAGAAACCTCTGTTGAGTTAGAGTGATATCTAGTTTCTAGTCTATAAAAACTTTTAGTAACTTCTGATTTAGGGTAATAATTATCAAAATTTTAGACAAAAATAGCTGAATTTGAAAAATTCTCCAAGCCAGCTGTTTCCATTTTTGTTTCTTTGGCCTTAAATTTTAATTTCAAAATGAATTCTCTTTGAATTCCAGACAATTGTCACTTTCAGTAAATAACCCTGCCAGTTACACAGTGATGGATATTTGTGTCAATGGCACTTCGGATATTTGTGGGCTGCACTTCCCATAATTCTCAGCTAGCTTTTAAGCCATACATATGTGTGGGTTTAATAGTCACCACTGTTTTTTATATTCCTATCTCAGCACATAATGTAGCTTGATTTGAGCATATATTATTTAGTTATTTTAATTAACAAGTGTTATAAATTATGCATAATTAATAATGAGAAATAATGTTTATTTTTATATATTTTTTCCTCTATGACAGGATGATTACATACCGTACCCCAGCATTGATGAGGTAACTTTATTTCTATTAATCTTTTTTTTATAAATAGATTTTCTTATCAACTAATTTGTCATCAGCAACATGTGTAACTAGCACAGTGCATGTGTTTCATAAAGTGCAATAAAAGTAAATATTAACATGATCAAAGGTTCCAGTCAGAAGACTACCAGTTTCAGGAACTTATGCCAAAATGTTAAAAAATCCAATGACTTAAATTTTCCGGTAACTAAGTAATGGACTGAATCAAAGTGAATAATCTATTAGTTTCTACGGTGATTGCGCGATGCTTAGGTATTTCCGCTGAATTGCTACAACTTTGTCTTAAACTCGATATGGGTCCTTATTTACCAATGTTTGAAAACTACTTGGTCTTTACCATCAAGGCAACTTTGGAATTACTGGATAAGTTACATAGCGACAAATAATGTAAATGTTACCAGTCTGAGTATCTCCTCCAAGTATTCCCTTTCCCTGGTACAGAGAAAAGGTTTATAGTTTGGGTTGCAATAGCTATAAAAAATGTAGTAAAGGCAAAGAGGAGGTTTATAGTGATTGTAGCGATGATCCCAAACATCAGCCAAGGCTTGATGAAGGGTAAAGCATGAACATTCTTTATTCAGCAACAGGCCAGTTTATATACACCTGTCCCCAACAAGGGGTCATCACGGCACACAAAACATTCCCCAGTGCCTTGGTGTCTGGATATAGCTGAATCACAACCACATAATTTAATTAACTACAAGACATCAGGGTGCCTTACAGCAGTATCCTCAAAATGATACAATTTCCTCCAGGTTATCCCCAAACAGTGCATGCAAACAGGAAGCTCTTGACCTGAGAGGCAAACTGTCCAAAAAGCAATCATTATGGGAATTTTGACTGGGCCGTGACCATTCTCCAATTCAACTCTCAGTTCCAGGCCTTTTGAGTGGAAGTTGTGGTCACAGATGGGGTAGGAAGCTCCATTGAGTCCTCAGGTACATTGGATGCCTTGTCACCTCCCTGATTACATCTCCAAATTGTGTCCTGTTTGATGATCGTGGGACCAAGTACTACCCAAGTAAAGGATTTCACAAGACTGTGGCATCTTGAAATCTGAAACACAGTTCTATGCTGTTTTCGGTGCCTAAACAAACCTCTTGCTAGTTCTCAATGGTAGAGGGTTGACCGATTGAACTCCAAAATGTCCAGTAGAGTAAAGGTACAGTGTGGAAGGGACACATAGGACTAAATAGTACTAAATGGCTATCAACTGGAGGGCTTTCCTTGCTGTATTGCTCAATGATGCTAACTCTTGAGCTTGGAGATGAGGTACCAGTAGAGTAATATTAGTGTTTTAGCAATATTAGTATGTACATTTTACTTGCCATATGTTTCTTGCTTGACTGCTCAGTAGAGAAGCACACTCAGTGTTGATATGTTTGTACAGAATCCTTCAATATCAAGTGTTTCACTATAACTGTATTACTTTTGTTATAACAACACATTCAGTCATTAGTTTAGCCAAGATAAGGTTGCCTATCATACAGAGATTTTAACCCATGATTCATGGCATACCAAGACTGTTGTGATATACTAACCACTGTAGGCTCAAGGCTACGTACAATATGAATACCGATACCTAACCTCTTGCCATCACAAAGAGTTAAAAGATTGACACTATCCCTTTAAAAAGAAAAAATATATGTTTGCTTCTACTTAGTATTTGTACATTTTAGTGTATTGTGCATTATCATTATTTATTATTAATATCTTCTGCAAGTAATTAGTATTACAGCTTACTTTTATAATATTAATATTATATTGTTTTGAGTACTACTGAGGTATAAATAATATGCAATTTATAACGAATAAGAACTATGAGATCTAAAACACCAGCTTGGATTGCTAAAAATACCATGAAAACTCAGTTTTATCCCATGGAAATATGTAGACGTCTTCCATATTGTTAAAGTCTCCCATGTACTCATGATTGTTTTCTCTACAGATTTTAGAGAAAGACACAGTTTACCCACTGATCATCCTACCACAGTTTGGAGGATACTGGATAGAAGATCCTGAAAATCTAAGCACCCCAACATCTTCGGACAGTAGCATTTGTGAAGATGAAGAGCCAACAAGCCCGAGCACGTATGGTTATAAACTGGAATATAAAGGCTCTGCTAGGGCCTACAGAAAACACTTCTTGGGGAAGGTTTGTTTATCTTTATTTCAAATTATATATATTCTAATTCACTGGTGGTAATGTCTTATTATTTAAAAGATAAGTGTTTGAAAAACCCTTCCCCTGCCAAGCCTTCTTTCTTAATGAAAATGTATTTTAAACATTAACATTTCCTTGAGACCATATCAGCAGCTTTTTTTGTTGCTATGTATGGTTGTACGAATGATTTGCTTAATTCTTTATAAATCAGACAATATAAAAAAGTAATGATTACCACTCAATAGGTTGAGTTTTACTATTATTATAAATACGGAATTCTGTATTCCCATCTTATATGTATAATGTATACACTCAGATAGAAATATAGTATTCTGAATGATTTTCTGAAGGTTAAAAGGGCACTCCAGACCCATAAAGAACTTCAAACTTGGCAATGCGCAAGCGTAATCTCGCCATCATGAGTATGGCTGTGGTTTCAAATGAACTGTCAGCCAGTCTCTAAACTTCAGAAGAACTCTTAACATCTTGTACAGCCTGTCATATTTTAGAACGCAAACTGCTCCTACCTAAAGTAAACTTATATGTAAATATCTTCACAGTACACAATCCTGATTCTGATTTCTGAGCAATTGAAGAGAAATTATTTGTTTTTTGGTAGTAAATGCTTTTTTGAGATAAGGTGATTCTGGGCTTGAATATATGTGTATACACCTAACAGCTGGTAACCCAGTAAATCCAGAGAATTGTTACATAAATCCATCAGAAATATATTGCAACTCACCTCCTTCTCTCAAAAAAACAAGACAGGTTGGTGTAAATCAAGCTCATATATCAATCGGCTTCATTCTAACTGCATGTAGGATAACAAAACTAGAATTCCGTATTGCCGTGTACCCATTACAGAAAAGTAAATCTTCTATCTTGTGGATGTCTGAATAACCATGAATTATTTTCACTCTCATCCTAGGATCATCTGAATTTTTACTGCACTGCAAGTAGCTTGGGGAACCTAATCCTATCTATTAAATGGGAAGAAGCTGACAGCATTGAATATTTGAGAATTATACTCAGGTGTGCATAATAAATACAATAATCCTTGAACATTTCTTCAGCTTTGATGCAACATTCTGATTTCTGCTTCAAAATATATTTTATAAACTTATATGTTATGGCTTACTATATATCATTTTAAAGAGGAACTGATTTGTTTTCTAAAAAGAGGTCTTCTAATTCTCACCCCAACATTTACTGGACTTGTATATGGAGAGAATTGAAAATATAAAAATATATTATTTCCCTGATCTCAACATGTATAGGAAGCAAACTCTCTAACACGCCAAACTATCTCCTACTGATGTCCCTCCTGACAGACCTCTCCAAAACCCATAGATATTTAGCCTTTCATATCTAGCAGGTTTCACATTGATAGGAAGAAAATGGGCGGCAACCACACCACCAGTGATACCTGACGTTCTTTATCTAAAATCTTTAATTTGTAAATATGAAAGCAGGATTAGGGTAGTTACGAACACTAGGGGCTGCTGGGAAGAAGCAGGGGACATCTGGTCAACTTAATCTAACCTCAAAATTTTTTTTTGAACCCAATAAGCCATGTTGAGCTTCTGATCCATCAGCTGTGCTCGCCCAGAAAACCAACACATTTCATTTGCCTTCAAATGTCTGTGGTTGACTTGTTTTACCTGCAATCTACATACATGACTTGATAAACTTGAAATTCATGTATGCTTCCTGATTGCCACTGTACAATGAGCTGCTTCCTGACTCGCCCGCCCCTCTTCCCCTTCTTACCTATCCACTTTCTACTTTACTCATTTTTTGTACGTTCATCACTTTTATTTTTCTAGTTCTCCCTTTTCCTGCTACAAAGGAGCGTAATGATATTCAGTAAATATCACAATACTGTATAAAACTTTCCGTAACTCACACATTTTACATCATTCTGTATAACATTGTTTTTCTGCAGTCATCTCCCCAATAATTTGTATTGTGAACTACGACCTGTCATGTTGTAGCATATGCTCCTATATGAAACTGTTTTAAAAAAATATATATACATTTGATAAAATGGCGAAAAAACAAACAGAAAAAATGAGCCGAAAATGGACACTGGTATAACATTATATATTTTAAAAAGTGACAGTGCTGTTTTTTTATTTTAATTTTGCTGCACGATCTTGATGAAGAAGCCTAACTTTGGCTTTGTTTTAATAAGCTTCCCAAATGATTAATACTGTTAGGAATGTTACCAAGTGATTTATTAGCGTCTATGGGAATTTTTGTAGATAAATCACTTGGAAATGTTTCTTGCAGTATTGATTCATTTGGAAAGCTTTGTAAATTGAGGCCTTTGTCATATTGCGATCTTTCTCCTTGAAATGTCCTAGAAATGACAACACCATTTTTTCACTTCTTACAGTAGATTTATGTTTAGAAGACTGGTTTTTAATTTTCATAGTGGTTTCACTAACAAACCGCATTCCTAAAGGGCACTTTAGATGATATATCACAAATGAAGAATGTTGTGTGTAAAATATCTTACCCTGAACTGTTTGCCAGTTCTGATAAAATAAAACACATGATTTCTATTGAGGAAATAGCAGATAACACATGTAGAGAGAAAAGTTCCAAACTTTAAAACTTCTGAATATGAATATATTTATTCTTTAAAATGTTTTTTTCCCATAAAATTTTATTTAAGGGTGTATATGTGAGATATAAGACAACCTCCACCCCCCCAAAAAAATAAATAAAAAAAACATAATCGCAACATTAAACTAGCATCATTTTAAAGAATAAAAGCACAATTTTAATAATTGTATGTTTTCGGAACAGCTTCACTTGAGAGTAAGGGCATTTAGAATTTTCGGTATGTTTCGGTAACTTTGTTCAAGACAACGTGTCAACAAAATCCCCTCATTATTTCAATTCTTTAGAACATTCTGTTTTTAAAATTATACAGTTTATTATTAGTATATTAATTTATGTTGAAGCAATGTTTTCATATTACATGAGAATTATTTTCCTGCACAAACTAAATGAAAAGGTTCCCTATTTGAATTCAACCAGTCTATATCATAAATGTCATATTACACCAACTTAAACACGCAACGTGTTCCTGTTTCATCTACGAGGAATAAGAAGTTGTGGTGTATCTATTTCAGTTGTGTTTGGAATATGTAATGACCATGTAATAACCTGTTTTGGATCATGTGATATTGTTTGGATCATTTCAGTATTCAGAATTGGGAACTCCGTACCACGCATGATTCGGGTGACTATAGTGTCCCTTTAAGTAAGGGTTGTCCATAGTGTGGTCTGCCACATGTTGCTGAACTACAACTTGCATGATACTCTGGCTATTTATTTCATTTAGAAGTATTATGGGAGTTGTAGTTCAGCAACATCTGAACCGTGGTTTAATTAAATGCAGAGTGTATCCCATAAGCTTCTGCTTAACTAGAGTTTGTCATATAACAAAACATATCACACAAACAAACAAACAAACAAAAAAATGAATGAAACTGGCAGAATAAGTTAACTGAAGACTGATATGTGGTTCTGTCAGCATGTGACTTTATTTTGGGAATAGAGCTTTCGAAATCTATACTGCATGCAACTATGTCACGTTCTCCCTTATAGAAATCTATGTGGGAACCCAACCTGTGTTTTTAAACCTGCATTGCCAGGTTTAATTAGTGAATTCAAAGTGAATCACAAATTTAAGGAAAGGTTGACTTAGACAAGTTTTCCATCTTCACTTTAAATTATCACCTTAGTAAATACACCTGTAAATGCTCTGCAGGCCCTTAAGCCTTCCAGTGAAATTCTGGATTCTCACATGTGAATGTGACTAACACAAGATCTGCAAGTTTTTTTTTTCGTTTTTTCATTGATGTTACTTTCATTGCATTGTTTTATGGAAATGTAAATTCCCTTTCATGTATGTTCCATTTAGAACACAAGAGTTTTTTTATTTTGGAAACTATGCTGAACTTTTTGTGCAGTTTTATAATTTCATCCACCTCCGTCTGACATCTAAAATGAAATATGGCTTCTTTAATTATGATATTGCTTTATCTTTACACATTTATCTATTATTTTTTTAGAAATTATTTCTGTTGTCACTGTTTCAGGTCCAAAGCAAAAACACTACATGAACGAATACCACTGTCTGGATTTAGTAAGCTCCCCAGCATTCCTCAAATTGCAAAGGTAAGCAATACAGTCATAATAAGCTCTGCGAGGGCTTAGGGACACAACCATTAAATATCAGCTGTCTCTTGTCACATAGCCATGGGCATAACCTTTATTTTTCTATATATATTAAATCCCTTATAGTATATTTATATACTCAAGGTGAATAGCGTTATCCTTATTTTTCAATGTGCTATGGAAATAAAAAATAATTAATATGTATCTCATCATTCAACAAAATGATTTTCAAAAATAAATGTAAAAAATAAATAAATAAATTATATATATGTGTGTGTGTTTATATATATATATATACATATATATATATATATATATATATATATATATATGCCTAGAATTTATTTATTTTTTATATTTATTTGTGAAAATCATTTTGTTGAATGATGAGTTACATATTAATTATTTTTTTTATTTCCATAGCACATATATATTGTATTAATTCCTACATATTTCACTGTCCCTTTCTTTAACTGTTTTGTACTGCCATGTTTTGTACTGTTCCCTTTTGTTTATTGGAAGTTTTAGTGATCTCGGTTATTGCGGAGCTTTGCAGAAGAATCAAATAATTACATAATATCACAGGGAGCCTGGTTGCTGCTAGGGGAAAGCTGGGTAACTGTAATACTGGAAATGCTCATGAAATACATTTCTCTTGAGGAAACTGAGGAAATGTAATTCACAGATATCTTATGTGTTAAAGGATAGTCATTGCTGGCATAGAATGGTTGGGTATTCTGGGAGAGATGCTTCCATATCCATGTTTTAATTAACAAAATGAAATGAATCTTGGGTATCTTTATTGCACTACACATTGCCCTAATGTAAAGCTAACTTCAATAATATATAACTGTTTAAATACCCGAAACATCCAAAAATCGGCTAACTGTTTTATACATTACCTGTGTTGGGGTTGGCAATGCCACGTTCTATTTAATTCTATGGATTTGATGAATCAATACCAAGCACCGCCATTTGAAACTATTTCAATATGTTATTCACTAAACTGAGAATTTTCAGGACTTAAAATTGAGTTTCAAATTGGATGTTGAAGAAGCCGAATTAGAAAAATAATTCCTCTAACTCAGATCGGCTTCCAGTTTAGCTATTTCGGCTTTAAATTTGAAATTTACTTTGAGTTCACTTTGAATTCCTACAATTCTCAATATAGTGAATAACCCTGTTTACCGATCACTTTCAGGGTTATACCCCTAACAAGCTGACATAACTATTATTTATTATACAAATCAGTCCGCATCTTTTTTTTTTTTTGCCTTCCTCAGAAAAAATGTGTTAATATATCTCATGTACAATACCAACCTGTGAGTGTCATTAAAGGGATACTTCGAGCTTGGCTTGCCCCATCATTTTTAATGCCTTATATAGATAACATACAATATATATGCAAAATAATATATTACAATTAGGAAAAGATTATCACATTTAACTACATGTGCTGTAAATTCACAAATTTTGCATCATCTGCAGTGAGCAATAATTTATAAATTACAGAAAATATAGGGGTAGATTTATCAATGTTCTGTAAAACAGATGTTATTCTGGGTACAAAATGCTAAATGCTGAGAGGCATTGGTTTCTATGGTGATTGCACTTGGTAGCAGTTTGCCCCGAAATAGCCCCGAAATTTTTTACCTTGATAAATCTCCTCGAGAATGTATGATGCAATATTTACTCTTATTGATGACAATAAAGTACCTTTGTCTTCCTCTCTAGGCATTATGTGATGATGCCACTGGACTTAAATTTAATCCTGTTCTGTACCCAAAGGTAAAGTACATTTTCTACATTTTACAAATTCATGTATACTTTCTTATATTTATCACATCAGGATTGACAGTATAGCTTAACTAGATGTATTCCTTAATATGTACCTTTTCAGTTATTTGGACCTAGAATTTCCAGGAAGATCAGCCGGCCATGTGCACTCTACTTGTCTTTTAAGATGATTGCTGAGCATCAGGGCCACCATGCGAAATTTTGGGGCCCCTAACTCAGCTCAGTGTCTGGGACCCCGGGGCCACACTCCAAGCCCACCTCTAAATCACGCCCACAGGAGTACACACACAGACACAAACACACACACCAATACAAAAGGACACAGATACACACACACACAAAGATACACACATACTAACAAACACACATAATGAAACAGACATGCATACATACTGACACACACAATCTGAGACATAAACACATATACAGACACATACTAACATACATACAGACACACACACATAAGGACATACAGACACATACATACATACGATAAAAGTGTATTTTAGCATATTTTATTATCGTTTCGTTTATGTGTAGGTTGTGTAAGGTTTTGACCAAAACAAAACATTGATAAAAAAAATTTAATAGTCAAACAATCAGGTGTTCCTTCTTAATAGTACATTCTATTACTGACATACATACATACAGACACTGACATACATACAGACACATACGGTATACACTACAGCCTGGTCACCTAATACAGATATAATATATACAGTACAATCTGGTAACCTAATACAGGTATAATATATACAGTACAATCTGGTCACCTAATACAGATATATATTGTATAAAATATACAAAATATACAGTACAGTCTGGTCACCTAATACAGATATAATATATAATATATGGTACATACATACACACATTCATATAGACATACATACTGACACATACATACATACAGACTGACATATATACAGACTGACATACATTCATACAGACATGCATGAATACTGACATACAGACTGACATACAGACTGACAGACACAAACATCTGATTTTTTAGCCACCCTCCTGTTTCTTACCTTTTCCTTGCAGGAGGGTGGTTGGGGCTGATGGGAGTCGGCATGGCTTTCCATCTTCAAGGCCTCCACGCTGTCTCTCCTCTCACACAGAGTGAACTGGGGGGAAGTGAACGGCCGTCACTTCCTCCAAGCAGCAGTTGCGTTGCTGCTGCAATTTTTTTAAAAGGGATCCGGTCGCGCTATTACAAGGCCGCAGTGCTGAACGGGTGACCCTAAGTGCATGAGCTACCCAATGGGCCCCGTCAGCGTGCGGGCCCATGTGCAGCTGTACTGGTGGCAGTTCCACCGCTACATGTGGGGCATGAGTGGCTGAGCCCTGTGACAACCGTCAACGTTGTCACCCGCTGATGGCGGCCCTTCTGAGCATTATGGGACTTGTAATTTCCCCTATCACTGGATAGGTAACTAATGAATTCTCCAGATCTAAATCTGTACTTTAAAAAAACTTTTTTTTCAATCTGTTTCAGGCCTTTCAAATGATTGTTGCTTATGATGAACATGAAATTAATAATACCTTCAAGTTTGGTGTTATATATCAAACCTTTAAGCAGGTAAGTAACTAGTACAATACTTATGGTTTGCTCAATAACATGCATGAAAGTTTTTATTTTGAAAATATGTAATGATGTATAATAAATGAATTAAGACATAGTTCATCCAAATATCACAGTTTTCTGATACCCTAAGCCTGACAACATCTGTATACAAAATACTTTTTTTTTTTGTAATTTCATGTTAGTCTAGACCAGGGGTTGGCAACCTTTGGCACTCCAGATGTTGTGGACTACAGCTACCTTGATGCTTTGTGAGCGTGATCCACAACATCTGAAGTGCCAAAGGTTGCCTAACCCTGCCCACAGTACCCATGCAGCCTCTTAATATTTGTTTCTCTAGACAATGTTGTGCCCCTAAGCCAGTGTGTGGCCCCAATTTTCATCCCACCATCTAGTTTTGGGGCCTGTTTTCCCTCAACTTGTGCATGTTTCTTTCCTATGTCCTTAGACAGGTCTAATTTCTATCCCCACCCTGCAAGCCCCGAGGTACAGAATTAGCCTGTTCCATTCAGTAGCTTTCCAAACAGAAAGTTCATGCTTCTATATATCTGTGGTCCTACCATTTTGCCCTCAAATAGTCTGTGTCTCTAGTTTTTCCTACTCAGTTATTTCATAACCCACTCCTAATGAAAACATCCAAGCTCCTGAAGTGTTCCAGCTTTTCCTTCAGTGCACATCACTTAAACATATCTAGACAACTGTCGCTGAAAAATAGGCAATTGGAATACTAGCCCTCTCAATGCAATACCGAAAAAAAGGCGGAAAGTGTAAAGAAAAGAGAAAAATCTAAAACTGCATAAACTTTTTTTTGGTGGAACAATCCCACCTAGGCTTTAATAATTTTAATGTAATCAGAGTAAGAAAGGGTAAAACTAATTATTCATTGAAAATAAAGTTATGTTTTTCAAATTGTTAAATGTATATAAAGTACGAAAACCAACTGTCTGAATATATAGGAGAATGTTGATAAAAAATAAATAAATAAATAAATAAATAAAAAAAATCTACTAACACATTTCACAAAGTACATTCCAAAGGAAGCTTATATTTTTGGTCATTTTTTTTTTTTTAAATCAATGTATAATACACCTATGTATATGCATATATGTAGATATACTTTGAATATATGTTTCTGAAATATATGAGCTAATGTGTGTAAGATGTACACTTTTCATTCATTTTTTCCTTTTTAGGCTTTTATTGAGGCCACATTGAATGTTTATAACTTTTACAATTCTCATATTCATATATCTTTTCTAATAAAATATAAACAGAGCAAATCTGCTAAGAAGGGACTTTCCTTAAATGCATGTAATGGCATTGAGGCAGGATGGTGCCATATTGTTCATTATTTTAAACAATTCCACATAAAATTGCCTATATTCTAAATATGATCATTCTGTGTGACTACTTGTAAATGCCACTTGATCTATGAATCTGATAAACACTGAATGAAGTATTTAATTTTCCTGCAATCTACTTTCCCTGATACTTTATAGAGTGACACGATTGGTGCTAAGAAGGAAATTGTTGCTGTCAACTGGATGGCATGTGTCAACATAGTGAATTTGCTTCCTTATATTTGCAAGCCAGGGGACATCTGCTTCCATGCCTTAGACAAACAGATATGTTTTACTGTTAAATCAATTAAAAAATTATACAAGTATAATTTCTGTGATATAAAAGGATACCTGGGAGCTCAATCAACTTGTGAACCCTGTAAATATTTTCTCTGGTTACTCCTAAAGGGCTTGGCCATTTCAGTCTGCAACATTTTTTATAAGTGTAAAGTCTGAGTTTTTATTGTTTTACAAAGAAGAAGGTTCCAGGCAATCAGCATACTTTACACAGCATAGAAGACCCTATGAAGACGCACAGCATCTTAGTATATACTTTACATAAACGGACAGCTTCCCTTAGAATCTTCCCCTTCATTCTACTAGACATGCATATACACATTGAAAAAAGAGGGGATCCAGCCAATCCTATAAGGAAAACAATTGCAAATAATAGTGTCACACCCCTCCCCCCAAAAATGGATACACTCACAACAATTGCGTAAAAAAGGGCCTTGAATTTAAATGACAGTGTATACTCAACTCCATTCATGGGTCTTGCAGTTTCCAAGAGGGAACTGATTGGATATACTTCCAAAACATGGAAAAAAATATAATCGTGCAGGGCACTTTTACATTTTAAAGCCAAGCCAAGACCCATTCCGGATGCCAATAGGATCAGCTCTGGGTAACATTATCTGTGCTTATTAAGGCAGACAGACAATGATGAGACAGTGTGTCAGTGTGTGTGTGTGTGTCAAAGTAATATTGGAATGCCATCTTCCACAATCCATGCCATATTGGAATGCCATCTTCCAGAATCAGTAAGGAGGAACTGTCAATCTTTTGGGATTTTCTCCCCACCCCGTGGGCTGTTCTATTGTTACCCCAAAATATTGCTGTTAATTTTGTTATTTTTGTATGTTATGTGTAAGGCTGCAAGGATACAGCCCTGCAAACAGTATACATTTTCTGGTATTTCATGATGCCCTGGGTGTAGCATTCAAGCAGGTTTGTACATGGTGCATCACTGGCAGAAACATGTGCCCTTGTGCATGCATAATATAATAACAAAATTATGTCCATGGTAATACAGGAAGATATTGTAAGTACAACGGGGGTAAGAGAACTGCAAAGGTGTCAATGTGTTAATTAATCTTTCTTAATTCGTGGCATGTTAATCCCATATATCATTACCATCACAGAGGTAAAATAAATTGTTAAACTGGCCTATTCTAATTGAAACCATGTTCAGTATAAAGATTGAATTTCATTTAATTCTCTCTGATATCAAATACTGTTTGACCTACTTAGCTGTAATTTTAGGAACAGAATATTAATTATGAGAAGATAAAGACATTTTTGGAGCTCTTTCGGACAAATTGTGCAAGATCTTTATTAACGTTTAATATCTGGAAGACGTTGTGTTTGAGTCTCACTAGGCTTCAACATCAAGATTATATTCTTTCTAAAAATATTACTTGATAAAACCATACATATGTACTGGAAATGTAATTGGAAAAAGAGTTCAGATTGTGAAAGGAGAGAAATGAATCCACTAATTTATCACACAAAATTCTGACAGGCATCTTAATTATCTGGCCATATTTTGTGACTCTCCATGGTGCCAGAACTGTTTAGCTGCAAATTGGGATAATGTGTAAATAATGTGAAATGCAGGGCAAGAAATAGCAAAAAGGATTCGAACACCAATTTCCAAATAACTGCGCAATTACATTCGGTTCCTTTTCAATGCTATTCATTTTCTTTTTGTTATCTTATCATTCTATAATTGTTTGTTCTCGTTGCTTTCAGTTATTTGCAGAATATTTCTTATGGGGATATTCACATATAAAAATGACCAGTTCCTCTTTAAAAAACTATGGTAGACAGCATGGGAGAGTATGTCTACTAATTTAAGCCTATTGGAGCATAAATTTTCCAAGTTAAAGAATTAGTTATATAGTTATAGTTATATGTAGATATATATGTAATATCTGCAGCAAAAGTGCAGTTAGATTTTTGGGTGGAGTTATGTTTGGGAAATCAAATTACATATTAGTCATAGATATTGGGGCTTTATTTAATAATTTGTAAGTAATGTCAAACCCTTGTCAAAAACATTATGCTACAGGACATTTACATTTATAAAGTTGTTTAGACACAGCGATGGCTACTAATTCATATTCTATGGTTAAACTCAAGACATGCTACTGATCCCCAACATACTGCAGACTTTTACGTTTGTGTGTCTGTGTGTGAAATGTCTGCTTTTCCTTTTCTTGGCCGATATGACATACATTTGGTTTTTAAACCATGATGTATACATTTGTTTCATTGTGAAACCATTCATGGTTCTGGATATCTTGCAAGCTGGTTTTTTTTTTTCATATAACCCCCAAGAAAACACATAAGAAAAACAAAAATGACATGCATGTTTCTTTTGGGGTTAAATCTACTAAATAATAGAAACATATTTTCAATGGAGTTTTCTTTTAAGTATATTTTAAAATTCATGATAAAAATATCTTACACTTGTCAGCTCTGCCAAACCATTTTTACTGGAAATAAAAAAGATTTTTGGACCCCTAAATTTCAGCCCTGTGTTTGTATGAAAACACTACTTGGGAGCCAAATACGATGAACCAAAAAGGAGGAAAAAATGGCTCAATCACTGCAAAATATATTCATAATATAGAACAATATGTATATATTTCCCACCATTTGGTCCACAGATCAAGTGAGAAAAGTAACAAGTAGAGGGAAACAGAAGGAGCAGTAAAAAGTATTTTGCTTATCTATAGCATATTTATTAAATATATGTTTATATGTAGATTTTTTTTGTTACCTCTGTTCCACCTCTATTGGTCACTTCTCACTTAATCTGTAAAAAAAAAAAAAAAATGTAGTAACTAGCCATCAATCATCTTTTTATCGCCCCATCTCTTTTTTTTTGGTACGTTGGGCAAAATCTAAAATCACAAACCGAAGATGCTTGACTATTCTTAATTTTGGTTGGTTTGTGATTTGGGTATATTTTGTATTGGAGTTTGAGTATTTAGCCAATCACCAGATCTGCCTACATTTGAATGAATTTCAGTTTGAAACAAAACAAATCTCCAAGGCTAGCATTTATTTTTTTTATCATATTTATATAGCTTCACAAATAGTATGTATGGGATTTCATTTCAATACACTTTATATATCTTCAAAAAAAGAAAGCAAAATGGTACAGACTAGCTAACAAAACATACTTAAATTATTTAAATGAATAAATATATCTTATATAGGACCATTGATGCTGTAGGGTGAAGTAATGGTTAGGGAGATGGTTACACAGCTAAGGAGCAGCGAATATGAAAATAAAGGTGTGTTTGATGCAGAAGCAAACCTAGGTTACCACAACAAGAGGACATCATCTTAAATTAGAGGGGCAAAGGTTTAAAAATAAGGAAGTATTACTTTACTGAGAGGGTAGTGGATACATGGAATAGCCTTCCAGCTGAAGTGGTAGAGGTTAACACAGCAAAGGAGTTTAAGCAGGCGTGGGATAGGCATAAGGCTATCCTAACTACAGGGAGTGCAGAATTATTAGGCAAATGAGTATTTTGACCACATCATCCTCTTTATGCATGTTGTCTTACTCCAAGCTGTATAGGCTCAAAAGCCTACTACCAATTAAGCATATTAGGTGATGTGCATCTCTGTAATGAGAAGGGGTGTGGTCTAATGACATCAACACCCTATATCAGGTGTGCATAATTATTAGGCAACTTCCTTTCCTTTGGCAAAATGGGTCAAAAGAAGGACTTGACAGGCTCAGAAAAGTCAAAAATAGTGAGATATCTTGCAGAGGATGCAGCACTCTTAAAATTGCAAAGCTTCTGAAGCGTGATCATCGAACAATCAAGCGTTTCATTCAAAATAGTCAACAGGGTCGCAAGAAGCGTGTGGAAAAACCAAGGCGCAAAATAACTGCCCATGAACTGAGAAAAGTCAAGCGTGCAGCTGCCACGATGCCACTTGCCACCAGTTTGGCCATATTTCAGAGCTGCAACATCACTGAGTGCCCAAAAGCACAAGGTGTGCAATACTCAGAGACATGGCCAAGGTAAGAAAGGCTGAAAGACGACCACCACTGAACAAGACACACAAGCTGAAACGTCAAGACTGGGCCAAGAAATATCTCAAGACTGATTTTTCTAGGGTTTTATGGACTGATGAAATGAGAGTGAGTCTTGATGGGCCAGATGGATGGGCCCGTGGCTGGATTGGTAAAGGGCAGAGAGCTCCAGTCCGACTCAGACGCCAGCAAGGTGGAGGTGGAGTACTGGTTTGGGCTGGTATCATCAAAGATGAGCTTGTGGGGCCTTTTCGGGTTGAGGATGGAGTCAAGCTCAACTCCCAGTCCTACTGCCAGTTCCTGGAAGACACCTTCTTCAAGCAGTGGTACAGGAAGAAGTCTGCATCCTTCAAGAAAAACATGATTTTCATGCAGGACAATGCTCCATCACACGCGTCCAAGTACTCCACAGCGTGGCTGGCAAGAAAGGGTATAAAAGAAGAAAATCTAATGACATGGCCTCCTTGTTCACCTGATCTGAACCCCATTGAGAACCTGTGGTCCATCATCAAATGTGAGATTTACAAGGAGGGAAAACAGTACACCTCTCTGAACAGTGTCTGGGAGGTTGTGGTTGCTGCTGCACGCAATGTTGATGGTGAACAGATCAAAACACTGACAGAATCCATGGATGGCAGGCTTTTGAGTGTCCTTGCAAAGAAAGGTGGCTATATTGGTCACTGATTTGTTTTGTTTTGTTTTTGAATGTCAGAAATGTATATTTGTGAATATTGAGATGTTATATTGGTTTCACTGGTAATAATAAATAATTGAAATGGGTATATATTTGTTTTTTGTTAAGTTGCCTAATAATTATGCACAGTAATAGTCACCTGCACACACAGATATCCCCCTAACACAGCTATAACTAAAAACAAACTAAAAACTACTTCCAAAAATATTCAGCTTTGATATTAATGAGTTTTTTGGGTTCATTGAGAACATGGTTGTTGTTCAATAATAAAATTAATCCTCAAAAATACAACTTGCCTAATAATTCTGCACTCCCTGTATAAGATAAGGCTAATGAAAGTATTTAGAACATTGGGCAGACTAGATGGGCCGAATGGTTCTTATCTGCCGTCACATTCTATGTTTCTATGTTTCTATGTTACCCAGGGCAAAACTGTATGTTGGCTAACCCCCTTGCAAATGTCATTTTTTGTGCCTCTTGTAATCCCTTTGCTCGTCTCTCAATTCGCCTAATCCCTTTGTGTATTTCAACCCTGTCAGTTCTTTTGACCATTTTAGTGCCAATTACCCCTTGTCCAGTTTGGTTGTCATCCAACTTGCAGTATAATTCTCATTGGTAAAGAAAAAAGAAAATAATTTGTTACGTCTTACCGATCCATAAAGTGTCCGTGCTTCACATGCAAATCACAGATAATAGCATAGAGAAAAATTAGCAAAAGTCAAGGATAATAGAAGTACATGGAATCAATAATCTATCTGAATTAAGGTAAACAGAAATTATATTAGTCGAGACAAGCCAAGATCAATTATCCAGGAAACAGATAAGCAAAATAACTTTCGGATCACCAAAATGGAAACCACAACAGAGCAAGGACTGGATCAAGAGGGGGGGTTTATATAGGCAACAGACACCTCGCCTAGCGTTGAGCCAATGACATCATCTTGCTGGTAGCAATGCTCACACAATCAGAAGTGGCAGGGCCGCAGCGTTTCATGCGTATATTGATGCCAGAAGGTACAGAAGATGCCCTAGAGGCTTGGGGCTTTCAAAGATGATGGAAGACTGGCACAACTATAACTAAAATGGGGGAAGAGACAAAAGAAGGTATAAGAGCGGCTAAATTATGTAAGTTGGGCAAGAGTTGGGCAAAATGTCTCTTCCCCCATTTTGTTCTTTCTAGAGCCTAGTTAATACCAGGTGTGTGGTTTTACTCCAGTGTTTGATTTGACACACTAAGCACATCACTTTATCACCATGAGTTCCTATTATCCACAATAAACTGGGTCATAGTATTAATATCCTACTCTTCTCTCTCTTCTTTAGAAGTGGGCTGGCAGGAACTAAACTAGTAAATAGTCAAAATGCATTCTTCATGATAGCAAAATTGAACTTGCTGGTTCTAATACAGTAAAACAAAATAGCAATTCATCATTGAGCATACACCTACAATATCAGCCTACATACACAGTGTGAATCTGATTCTTGTGAAAAAAAATAAGAATTGTAAATTGATTATATTTAGGTATATTCAGTATTAGATACTGTACAGTATTTAGATAATCAAACACAAATCAACCAGCTGCTATGTTTACAAAGTTAAAGCTTTTTTTTTTTAACAACAAAATAACATTTAAATAAACAGAAAGGTTTAAAAATAGAATAAAAGCAGTACAGGGCTGATTTATCTCTCCCGTTGCTCCTCTCACACCTCGCCCCTCTGTCAATCCTTACATTGACTTTCAGTACCTTATAGAAATCAATCCAAAAGACTAATCCTTGAAATTAAAGATGATTTTATTAGATGGAATTTACCACAACTTTCTATACTCGGACGTATTAATATTATAAAAATGATGGTTCTCCCGAAAACATTATATTTATTTCAGACGTTGCCTATCCTCCTGCAACATTCAATATTTATAAAGTATAGGAAAATCTTTGTATCGTTTATTTGGAGTAATAAACATTCTCGCTTGGCCTATCAAATTTTAACGAGTTATAAAGATCACTACCCAATTTATATCATTATTATGCTGCAGCATTATTGATTAGATTAAGAAAATGGACCAATATGGAAATGCGACGATCTTGGTATTTCCCCCAAGCAAAGTTGTTCTATCTATAAACTTAATCCCACATACCACCCTCTCTTATTAAGTGTATTAAATTTGTGGAGGAAATATAAAAATAAGTGGCATCTATCTCCAGGAAATTAACCTCTATATCCATTGGTAGGAAATCCTGACTTCCATAAGGGAGATGGAGGTCCATTGTTAGCTCGTCTGATAGGTGAATCTGGGTAAAATTTAGATTCATTATTATGAGATAATATAACTCCAACTCTAACTGAGTTGCTAGGCCCCTCTATAACACCATGTTGTTGGACATTTTAATATATTCCCCACTTGTTAATTTCTTACAAAAGGAAGTTTTTCCAAATTGGACATCGAGAAAAAAGGTTTCTTCTTTCGAACATTTTTGTATTTCAAATTCACAAGGTGCCCACTCCCTGTCTAAGATATATGCTATGATTCAAATTTTTTTTAATGGATAAGGCACATGCCCATTTTCAGAGTAAATGGACAGCTGTCCTACATATACAATTAATGGCTGATGATTGGTCTTATATTTTTCAAAAAGTTATGATGAACTTGGTTAGTCAGATTAAAAGGAAATCCTTCTATAAATAGGTAACACGGTGGTACAGAGCCCCATCATTAATGCACCACTATTTCCCAAAAGTAAATATTAAGTGTTGGGGATGTGTGTTGGAAGAAGGCACCCTTGGACATATTTGGCTGTTTTGTTCAAATATTCAGCAGTATTGGAAACAAATATTATATATTTCTATCAAACAATTTTTACCTTTATCATATGATCTAACCCCTTTGCAGATCTTACTTGGATGGCTTAATGCCTTTACTGTTATAAATCAACAAACATTATTGTGTTTTTTAATTAATGAGACTAATACACTAATCCCATTCTTTTGGGAAAAAAAACCAATATATCGACGGTAGAAAATTGGGTAGAGAGGTTTGAAGATACCAGGGTTATGGAGGAATTACATTGGGGAGCAGATAATAAAAAGGAAAAATATTTTAAAATATGGAAACCTTGGATAAACTATTGGTTATCGAAGGTAGAGGTTGTATGATTTAAGTGCAATATATTTAGTTGCTTTGTTATAATTAAGATGTTACACCGCCATGCAGAAACTGAAATTTCAACTGGAATTTTTGCAGTAACTGAAAACTTAATGAAACAAATTTCATTTACAGTCGGTCTAAAGATACTAATTTATCTTAATTTGAATTATGTTTAGGCTTATCTTGAATACTAGAAGAAGGGACTGATTATTAGTGGTATAGTGATACTTAAGAACCAGAGGAATGGTACATTCATTTGTTTTACTTTAAAAATGAGGCTGTTTGTTCTCTCATAAGCACCTATTGCCACTCAGTAAAATTATTTCTCTATTTCACTGCCTCTTCTCTTCCTTCTCCTTTTTATAACAGACCTGAACGAATTTCTATTTAGAGCTGATGCAATATGCTGTTTGTTTTTATTTATTTATTTTTGTATATTTTGTGTTTTCTTGAGCAATTATGGCGATTGGAATATGTTTGTATAAATGTATGCTATAAGTTTAAGAAATAACTTAACTGGGATGTTATAAACAATTACAGAATATGAAACTCAGAAGTAGTATCTGTAATCTGCTGTATATATAAAAAAAAATATTATATATATATATGAAAAAATAAAAAAAAGACTAATCCTTACCTATAAAGCAATAAATAACTCTAGCCCCCATTACATTTCTTAACTAATTTATAGGTAGGTACGCCACTTCTCGGTTTCTCCTCTTTGTGCGAGATTACAGCATAGAGGTCTATGGGGGATCCCTTGAGACTGTGAGATCCTCCATAGATAAAGCCAATTCCCTGCAGCTCCACCCAGTGTCTAGAAGTGTCAGGCATAGGAAATATACAGAGACAAAGTAATCCCTACTTTGTCTCAGTATATCTCTTGACAGGGTTGGAATTTCAGTGAAATTCCAACAAAGTTAAAATGAGTATCTTATAAAGATTCTATCTTTATGAAATACATATTTTTCAGGAGAGAAGGGGGGCCAGTGCTGCTTTAAGAAATCCCTCAAAACACATCTCTTCAGAAGAGCATACGGCCTCCTAGAGTGACTTATTTCACAAACCTATATCTTGCTTGATCTTAGGGGCCACACTTAACTCCACTCTGCCCCTCCTGGTATATTCATACCTCACATCCTCTAGATTGTAAGCTTGTTTGAACAGGGTCCTCATCAACCTATTGTTTCTGTAACATTTTTATTAAATTTCCCCAAAATTAATATTGTAAAGGGCTGGTGAATAAACTGGCACAATGCAAATTCAAATAATAATCATATTCTAATAACACTATAATAAAGGTTCCCACCAAATACCACCAACATATCATTTTAGAGCTATTTTAAGGCATTCATTGGGGTTCAGTTGTTTCCCTACATACAATGAAAATTCTACGGAGGAGCTGAGATCTCTTCAAAGTCAAGAGTCTCCAAGCTAACAAACTGTCTTATTCAGGGAATTACGTTTTAAGCCAAAACAACTACACTGGACAATAGTTAAATAGGCCAATTCTATACTATTGATGATTTAGTCACTAAATCATCAATAGTCAGGAATTAGCCTTTTTTAGCTATTTTCCAGCTTTTTTTGGTCTATAATATAACTCCCTGCTGAATGCTAGGCTATACCCAGTTCAATCAATAAACTAGGCCGAGCTTCACTGTGCCTTTTCAAAATGCAAGTATGACGTATCTAGAGAGAAGGGATAAATACCCATTGAGTTCAAATTATGACAAAACATTATTCAAACTAATCGGAAATGTCAGCTCTTGGTGACAAATCAGAATAATGCATTGATATTTCTATACAATAGTATATATTGAAAGATTTCAAGGTCTCGTGAATATCAGGTTTGCTGCGGATTATTATTCTTCAGTTTATAATTCAGTGCAGCTGAACACATGGGCAATTTAATGTTTACAAAGTACCAAAAATGAGTAATGCATTGGTTGCTAACGTACTTTGTTGGTGTTCCTAAATTTACTTTCTCTTTCAAGCATCTACAAGACTGATCTAAATTTGAATTACAAAACTAATCCAGCTTGCTTTTTGTTGTTTGTTTTCAGACGTTAGAAGAAGAATTGTTTAGCAACAATGAAGAAAGTGCTGCATTTAAAGAGTTCTTGGCTTTACTGGGTGACACTGTCTTGCTCCAGGACTTCAAAGGGTAGGACATCAAAATGATGAACTCATACATTGATGTGCTAAGCCACATATATTTTAATAGCTTATGTGCAGGCCCTACAAATAGCATTTTTTAGGATCCTGTAAAACACAAACTCTATTTCACAATTAATTTCATATCAATCTGAAACACATTTCTTTTTTATCACTAAGAAGCTGTCACTGTGAAATAAAATTTGATAAATGAAGAATTTAAAAAATAAATGAAAATGATTACAACTTTTATGTAATCCATCCTGCAAAGTCAGTATTTCTTAATTGTTATAAAGTATCATCAGCAAAGTACATTTAAAGAAATGTAGTTAAAAATAGAAAGACTTTCTATGTGTTCGCAACCTCTCCCACTTGACCCTTGGTCCTTCCTTGTACCAAAACCCATTGTGGAATTTAAGCCTTTTGAAAAAAAATATATTGTTTAGAATTATAATCTCTAGAAAAACCATGACCATGTACGGTAGCCCCATGCTCAAAAGGGGTACTAAACCCACTAAAATATAATGTATAAAAAGAAACACAAGAATAATAAGGTTAGTCACTAAATACCAAATGGCCCCATACTAAATGACTGCAAAGTCTGGACATTGATGACGGATTTTGTAATTCAGGCCTCGAACTGGTTTGAATTTGGACCAAATTTCAGCCAAGCAGATCTCTACTGGATGGCAGAAATCTGGGCTGAATGAATCAAATCTGGGCCTATATTAAAAAAAAAAAAAAAAGACCAATTTGCCCACTGGCAGCGCTAACAGCCAACGGAATATTAGTGGGGAAAAAAACCTTGACAGCACAGGGGTTATATATGTGGTGGCTGGACTAGTCAGCCACCACATTAAAAAAGTAAGTAAAAAAAAATAAAAAATAGAAGTAATTAAAAACCTATGGGCATTAGCATATTACTGTGAAGAAGATAATGTACCTCCATACTGGAGGAAAGATGACAATTTTTTGGGATTTGTCTATGTTTGATCTATAGATCATCTTTATACATACATAATGTAAACCTTGATATTCACACATTTTGTCCCTTTTAGTGCATTACACTATTGAAATCACATCCCAGGATCATTCAGTGTCTTGACACTTCTTGCTTCCATCACAAAGAGCATAAGGGACATTTTAATTCAGTTGTGCAATATGTACACTGTCCATTCTCTCTGTTATTCATATGTTGATGCATTTTTTGTAGGTTCCGTGGGGGACTTGATGTTGCACATGGCCAGACAGGCACTGAATCCATTTACACAGTTTTCAGAGACAAGGAGATAATGTTCCATGTATCCACCAAGCTACCATTTACTGAAGGAGATACCCAGCAGGTAAAGATGATTTTTTATAAATAATGGATTTATATATATATATATATATTCCACGTGTCCTGCACTCACTGCTCCCGGTCTTGTTAATGCCTCGGTGCAAACTCCGACCATAAGTATATATAGGTTCTTGTTGAAGTGCACTCACAGGACTCAATAATATTTCTAATCGTGCTGTTTATTCAAGCATCAAGTAATACAAAGAAGTGTCGATGTTTCAGTCCTTGCCGGACTTTTTTCAAGAAAACGTCAACAAGAACATATATATATATATATACATATATATATATATATATATTAAAAAAATTATTTTTTATTTATTCTTCTTTCTCATGCGACATATTTAGCAATTAGTGTTCAAGTATACTGAAATAAAATGGGAATATTTGAAGATACTCTGAAGGAATGTGTTTACGAACCCTTATCCTCAGCAATCAAATATTTATTTACACTATCGACTCTTGTAATGAAAGATAATTTGTATCCAGTGTAGAACAGGTGTGATAGGGGATGATATTTCAATTCAAAATGTATACACATACACATAGAAAATGCAAAAAAACTCGTTATTCAGTAAGTAGACTCTTAAATCTTTGCATGAGAATTGCTATTTATAACAGTTTTGTTTTAGGTTAGTTTGACCAAATTCCTTGGTGAAGTAACTGTAATACTACAATATTGCTGTAACTGTAATATTTAGTAGCATTGGGAGTCTAGCACGCTGTGCTGCACCAATCAAATACTCCCTATGAGCTGCAATTGATTAAGAACTGAATCTGACTCAGTCCTCAGGAGTAGTGATGTCACGAACCGTTCGCGAACTTGCCGTGAACGGTTCGCTGCGGTTCGCCACGAACCGTTCGCGGCGAACTCCGGTCAGCTGACACAACCCTGCCAATCTCCGGCAGACCCTCCCTCCCAGACCCTCCCACCTCCTGGACAGCATCCATGTTGAAGCTGCCTTCAACATGGATGCTGTCCATGAAGTAGGAGGGTCTGGGAGGGAGGGTCTGCCGGAGATTGGCAGGGATGTGTAAGCTGACCGGAGTTCGCCGCGAACGGTTCGTGGCTAACCGTGGCGAACCGTTCGCGGCAAGTTCGCGAACGGTTCGCGACATCACTACTCAGGAGGACCGCTACTACAGTTGTGTTTAACATTGTAGTTCCTACAAAATGACAAGGTTTTACATTGAAGGGGCTCTGCACCCAGACCACTTAATTAAGATGAAGTGTTTTGGGTACCTTTAAGGGCAATTGTTTGTTTTTGTCATAAGTTTGAATTAAAGTGGTTCTTGGTGATTGTCAGCGATGGTAATAGACTGCGAGTGTCTGATTTTTAACGAATTGCATATGAGTGAAATATTTTTTTATCATAAACATATTTTACAAAGAAGACAACTACTATGACCTAGGACAAGCAAACAATTCAATCTTCTTACAAGTATGCAAAAAATAATCATAGATTTGCTGTCACAACTGAAGGGCACTTGATGCCCCCCCAATGAAATATATATATTTTTTTATAGTTTTGCTTTGATATGCCTAAGAGGGACCGGGTCGATAAACTAAAATTAAGTGCAGCTGTTATAAAGAAGATAGTGAAATAAATAAATGATCAAAGTAAAATGAGTGACTGATAACATGGAACAAGAGAGTGCCAGCCCATCAATGCTTACTAATGACATTTACTATATTGATGATCACAAATTGTTATCTGCCCATAGATATATGTGAGATATTGAAAGGCTATATTCATGCACAGAGCAGAGGGCTAGGAAGGAAGACATTTATTATATAAGAGTTTGTGAAACAATGGGATTCTAAGGATTTGTTGCAAATGCAATCATCAAGGGAATCGGACTTAACATGACACCCATATTCGGAGGTATGCTACTTTGCAATGGAGCTTAATGGCCATGTGAGGACACGCTGTCTGGCACTGCAAAGTTTTTCAGCTTAATTAATTTCCTGACATGTGGATCTTGTTAGGGGGCAACTGCAATTCTCAGCAGGGAGTCACACTCTGGCTTTTCAGACATTTTGGTACATGAATAAGTTGATTTTAATCAACACCTGGACAGATTTATATGTTTTCCAAAAGTTAGAGTTAGCTGGTAAGCAGTTTGCTTTTTATAACATTGCTTGGCTCCCAAAGGTAAAGATATCCTGAAATGTGTGGTCCATCACGTATATGTCTTAATAAGGACAACACGATAAATAGCATGGCAAGCGACCACACAACAAGCAGTTTTGGAATTGGGTTTTTAGGAGACATTCTCCTGTATCAGTAAAAATTTTTCTTATTTTGCTTAGTTAATTATTAGACATGATTAATTGCTTCGCTAACTTGCAAATGGAACTTGTGTTTGCCGCATAAAGTCATTACCTGCCAGTACCCCTGCTGTGCAGGCCTGATAACGATATATATATATATATATATATATATATATGTTGGACTTATTACTTGTAATTCTATATTTTCATTTCATGTTCGACTTTATCTGTCATTTATAGATTCTATTTTTGAGATGTTTGTCATTATAGTCATGGATTTATATCACTTGGGGTAACCCTGTTATGGGTTAATGCCATTTGCAATCCCTTTCTTTCCATATGCTTGTTAACTTGTTACTGTTAACTCTGCATAAATATGGACATACTTAGCAAACTTGAAAACGAGAGAAATCTTAATGTATCTATTCTGGTAAAATATTTTATAAATAAATAAATAAAATAACAGTTTATGTGTATCTTTATTTCGATGTATATGTCTTAGTGTATAAATCTATGTGTTACATGTATCTAAATATCTGCATGTAGCACACGTTGTTGTAGAGCACAGTTCATGCACTGTTTATTATCTCTGCTTTTCCTGTTGCAATAGTTTCCTAATCTCTTATTTATTTATTTATTGATTGATTCATTGATTGATTACTGTTGCCGATCTTACATGGAAACCACAGGCATCACAAATTCCTAGCTCCTCTTTCACTATAATTTAGCCTCAGTTTCACATCTTCTTGGCCTCTTTTTTACATCTGCACTCTCTTTTTGATCTCTCTATTTTACCTGTTCCTTGTATATTGTACACTTAACCTGATGAAACTACCTGTGTGTACTGAAACGTTGAACCCACTATTATATTAAAAAAGGACAAAAACTTATTTAAAGCATAATCCGGCTGAGGTTAAGTGAATAACTGATTATATTGTTACAAAGTCACCTGTTAAGGGATCTGGTATATTAGGTAGCAAGTGAACAGTCAGTTCTTAGATTTCATGTCATGTTTTGAGAGGAGGAAAAATTGACTAGGGAAATGATCTGAGTGACTTTGACATGGGCCAAGTAATGATGGCCTAGACAACTGGGTCAGAGGTTTTCCAAAACGGAAGTCTTGTGGGGTGTTCCCGGTATACTGTGCTTATTATCTATCAAAAGTGGTGCAAGGAAGGACTACTGGTGAACAGGCCTCGTGGTCATGGGTGCCCAATGCTTAGTAATGCACATGGGAAACAAAGTCTAGTCTGTCTGATCTGATCACAAAGAAGAGCTACTTTGGTTCATATTGCTGAGAACCTTAATGTTGGCCATAATAAAAAGGTGTCACAAGAAAAAAGTGCATCCCTGTATGCTTTGTATGGGGCTGCATAGCTGCAAACCAGTAAAAGTAACCATGGTGAGCTCTGTCCGCTGCTGAAAGCGCCTTCGATGGGGATGTGAGAATAAGAATTGGACCATGGAGCAATGGAAGAAGGTTGCCTCATTTGATGAATCACATTTTATTTTAGATTAGGTGGATGGCCGGGTGTGTGTGAGTTATTTACCTGGGGAAGAGATGGCAGCAGGATGCACTATGGGAAGAAGGCAGACCGGCAGAAGCAGTGTTATGCTCTGGGCAAAGTCCTGCTGGGTAACCTTGGGTCCTAGCTATCATGTGGATATTACTTTGACATGTACTACCTAGCGAATGTTGCAGACCACATAGACCCCTTCATGCAAATGATGATACCTGATGGCAGTGGCCGTTTTCAGCAGGATATTGCACCCTGCCACACTGCAAAAGATTCTCATGAATGGTTTGAGGAACATGACAGAGAAATCAAGGTTTTGCCTTGGCATGCAACTTCCCCAGATCTCCAATTGAGCATCTGTATGATGTGCTGGAAAACAAATCTGATCAATGGTGCCCCCATCTTGCAGCTTGCAGGACTTAAAGAATCTGCTGCTAATGTCTTTAAGCCAGATACCACAGGACATTGTGGCTGTGACTGATCAGTGTATTCAAGTTGTGAGACTGTTGACCGGTCGAGTGCAGCAACCCACAGAATGTGTATGTGTATATATATATATATGCACAGAGTTGAAGGAAGGGAGCACTCAGTGGTATTTCAACGATAATTGTAGTGTTTATTGAAATATTACATCGCAAAAGTGCTGGTCGACCTTTGTCCCATGCAGGTCTTTCTCAAGATCCTTGAGAAAAACCTGAATGGGCCAAAATGTCAATGATGTTTTGTGATGTAATATTTCAATAAACACTACTATTATCGTTAAAAGACCTCTGAGTGCTCCCTTCCTTCAACTTTGTGTATATAATCAACCAAGGCACCTATTCTGGAAGTAATGATGAACGGGTGAGTGCCAAGCATTTATGTGTATATATATAGTGTAGATTGGATTAGCCGTATTAGTCCAGTATAAATGCCAAAATACCAGCGTATTGCAGTATGCTGTATGTTGTATATGTGATCTCTGCATGAAGCAAAAAAAAAAAAAAAAGAACTGTTAATTTTCTAGCGGTTACCTTTCACTCCATGCACATTTTTGGTGGGAATAAACAATATTGAGATGTTACTTTTATTTGATTTAAATTGGTTATATTCATCATGTACTGTAGGTTTACTTTAAAATAAATGCATTCTAGCATCACTTTTTACAATCATTATATGTGACCATCACAGTGATTTCTTTTCACTCAGTAGCCCCAAAGAGAGTGCTTTATAATGGGTGTATGACCTTTTCTAACTCTGAGTTTGACACATCAAAGACTAGAGAGAGATGTTTCTATACATTAGGATCAGCCCTTGTTAATGGCTGAGATATTTCAGAAATGTTATTGGTTTTGCAACCTCACAAAGTGATCTAAATTGTTCACTTTCTTTCCAAATTTATTCCATTTACAACCCCAGCTCAGCAATCCATAGAAAATATATATGTTCCATATTGATTCTGACACTTTACAGTTGGTACCCATAAGGTATGTCCTTTATCTCATCTTTGCCATGAGTATTCTAAATGACTCACTGTAACCAAAATATTTCATATATAATGTATGTCTACAGGAGCACAGGAACACTCACCCTCTCCCAAACTTACCAGACTTCGGCTGACTTTCTTATTGATGCTTCCTCAATGCTCTAATACAATGGGGACATGCATACCATTGAAAAGAGTCTGCGGATGGTGGTGTATGGAATGCATTTTAGTACAATTAAAGAATGGCTCACTGAACCATATTTTATGTTTGAAGAATGCCAATGCCACCCTAATGCCAGATACATAATATAGGTGTCTGGTTTAGGTAAAAATGTTCAGAACCAGTAGTTTAATGTACTCTGTTTGTGTTATTCTGTCAAATACAAGTTAATCTTAAATGTTAATCAAATTTCATCTATACATTATGCTTGCTATTAAATGTGTCAGTTTCTCTAAATTCAGAGGGTATACGACAGCCCTTTCCCCTCCTCTCAGTCCATTCAGCCTGTGCCAATCAGTGCAGAGATAAGAAGGTTGTGCATCATGGATACTCTCCACTAGGCATCTCTCCCGCTTGAATTCAACCTAGAGGAAAGCAATACCTGCAAGAAGGAGTGTCAGACAGTGTGAGAGCAACAGCAGTAGCAGCTTGGAGAAAGGAAAGAAACAGCAATAATAATGTATTGCTGGAGCTTTGAACAGACAATCTAAGAATGGAGAGTGTTGGATACAGTTTACCTTTTATGTGAAGCAGATTTTTACCTACCAAACAGGGGTATGTAGGAGAGGTATGTCTTACAAGAGAGGTGTGTCTTAATTGTATGACACGAGTCAAGCCAAATGGCTTGAATACTGCAAACCTATATCTGTCATGGCAGGCTCACTTTAAAATACACATGGGCTATGCAAATTTTAATGTAATGAGACAATTATGTTGATCTTGACAAATATATTTTTAACACATTTTGTTCTTTCAGTTACAAAGGAAAAGACATATTGGTAATGACATTGTGGCTATTATCTTTCAAGAAGATAACACCCCCTTTGTCCCAGATATGATTGCGTCAAACTTTCTGCATGCTTACATCGTCGTTCAGGTGGAAAACCCAGGAACAGATTGCACAACATATAAGGTATGGAAGGAATTGATGTTTAAGTGTGTATACTGTATATCTTGGCTAGTATAGAAACATAGAAACATAGAATGTGACGGCAGATAAGAACCATTCGGCCCATCTAGTCTGCCCAATTTTCTAAAAACTTTCATTAGTCCCTAGCCTTATCTTATAGTTAGGATAGCCTTATGCCTATCCCATGCATGCTTAAACTCCTTTACTGTGTTAACCTCTACCACTTCAGCTGGAAGGCTATTCCATGCATCCACTACCCTCTCAGTAAAGTAATACTTCCTGATATTATTTTTAAACCTTTGTCCCTCTAATTTAAGACTATGTCCTCTTGTTGTGGTAGTTTTTCTTCTTTTAAATATAGTCTCCTCCTTTACTGTGTTGATTCCCTTTATATATTTAAATGTTTCTATCATATCCCCCCTGTCTCGTCTTTCCTCCAAGCTATACATGTTAAGATCCTTTAACCTTTCCTGGTAAGTTTTATCCCGCAATCCATGAACCAGTTTAGTAGCCCTTCTCTGAACCCTCTCTAAGGTATCAATATCCTTCTGAAGATACGGTCTCCAGTACTGTGTACAATACTCCAAGTGAGGTCTCACCAGTGTTCTGTACAATGGCATGAGCACTTCCCTCTTTCTACTGCTAATACCTCTCCATATACAACCAAGCATTCTGCTAGCATTTCCTGCTGCTCTATTACATTGTCTGCCTACCTTTAAGTCATCAGAAATAATCACCCCTAAATCCCTTTCCTCAGATGTTGAGGTTAGGACTCTATCAAATATTCTGTACTCTGCCCTTGGGTTTTTACGTCCAAGATGCATTATCTTGCACTTATCCACATTAAATGTCAGTTGCCACAATTCTGACCATTTTTCTAGTTTACCTAAATCATTTGCCATTTGGCTTATCCCTCCTGGAACATCAACCCTGTTACATATCTTAGTATCATCAGCAAAAAGACATACCTTACCATCAAGACCTTCTGCAATATCACTAATAAAAATATTAAAGAGAATGGGTCCAAGTACAGATCCCTGAGGTACCCCACTGGTGACAAGTCCAAGCTTCGAATATATTCCATTAACTACAACCCTCTGTTGCCTGTCACTCAGCCACTGCCTTACCCATTCAACAATATTTGAATCCAAACTTAAAGATTGCAGTTTATTGATAAGCCTTCTATGTGCAACAGTGTCAAAAGCCTTACTGAAATCTAGGTAAGCACCACCCTGATCTATAATTTTAGTTACCCAATCAAAAATCAATAAGATTAGTTTGGCATGATCTCCCTGAAGTAAACCCATGTTGTCTCTGATCTTGAAATCCATGTGTTTTTAGATGTTTATCAATCCTATCCTTTAACATGGTTTCCATCACTTTCCCCACTACTGAAGTAAGGCTTACTGGCCTATAGTTGCCCGACTCCTCCCTATTACCTTTCTTGTAAATGGGCACAACATTAGCTAATTTCCAATCTTCTGGGACTACTCCTGTTAACAATGATTGGTTAAATAAATCTGTTAATGGTTTTGCTAGTACACCACTAAGCTCTTTTAATAGCTTTGGGTGTATTCCATCAGGTCCCATTGACTTATTTGTCTTTTACTTTTGACAGTTGAAATAGAACCTCTTCCTCTGTAAACTCACGTGTAATAAATGACCCATTTATCCTTTTTCTCAACTGAGGTCCCTTTCCTTCATTTTCTTCTGTAAATACAGAACAAAAATATTCATTGAGGCAGTCAGCCTGACCTTTATCCTCTTCTACATACCTTCCTTCTTTTGTTTTTAATCTAACTAATCCTTGTTTTACTTTTCTTTTCTCATTTATGTATCTAAAAAATGTTTTATCCCCCCTTTTTACTGACTGTGCTATTTTCTCTTCTGTGTGTGATTTGGAAGCTCTTATAACTTGCTTAGCCTCTTTCTGCCTAATCTTATAGATCATTTTGTCTCCCTCACTCTGGGTTTTTTTATAATTCCTAAATGCTAACTTTTTGTTTTTAACTATTTTGGCCACATCTGCGGAGTACCACAGTGGTTTCTTGAATTTTTTGCTTTTACTGACAAGCCTAATGCAATTATATAGATAATGTATTGCTTTTAAATAAAAAATGTAAAATATAAAAAATTATAGCAACCATTGGTGAATTGCATCAAGAATATCCATCAATTTGCCAAAAATTCCATCATGTTAGTTTTACAGGGTAATAAAGTAATCCATTAAATGCCTATGAAATCTGTATTGTGTAGGAAACCAAATTATATACATACGTAATTTCAGCTTTAAATACACAAAGTAAAGTTACTCTTAGTCCAGTTAAGGTCTGTGAGGAGTTTTCTTTTTAAATGCCATGTGACAGCATAATGGATATGGATCAGAATTTAGGTCCACTAGTAAATTATTCATATAAATTACTTACAAGTCCGATTTCTTTTTCCACAGTACATCGTGTAAGCAAGTGCATGCCTGCTGGTGCATGTACTTTGAGAACTTCTGAACATTTGCTGATAATGTTCATATCTTTTCTGTGAAAAATGTGTCGATTTTATTGACTACATAAGTGTAACGCAGGACAATAGAGTGGTCCCTGAACTTACCCTTATGTCATCCATGAAGTGAGTGATGGATTTGCATCCCTGCTGAGAATTTTTTTTTTATTGCATCCCTGCTCAATAAATCATGGTGGCAAGTGCCATATATTGTGAGATGAGGCAAATCCATCTAAATTTAAATCCAATTTTTTTTACTCAAAATTCAAACAGCATTTATTCACGTGTTAAACTAGGCTACCTTTGAGATCAGGTCTATAATGCTTTTACTTTACAAAAATCTATGGTTGTAACATATGTTTAGTTCATACTATATTAGTTAAGGCAGCGTTTAAATCAGCAACTAATGATACATATGGTTACAGTGCAATATAAATGAAAGTAGTTATGGTCCTGATATTTATCAGTTGTGTAAACCATACATTTGCTGAAAAAAACATGTTAATCTAAGTGACTTTCAGAATGTTAGAAACTGCAAAACTTTCTACAATTTCTACTTATTTTACAATATATAATATATATAATATAATATATAATTTTATGTACCACATCATCTATAATTACTACAAAACTTGCCTTTATCAATACAAATTAAATATCCTATAGTTTAAAATATAAATATGAGATAGGAGTGGTGATGTTGGACTAGTCAACGTCAGAACCCCCAAATAGGTTACAGGAGTCAACAAGTCAAATAACTACAAACTGAAAGAATGGGATAGGAAAAGACCACTCACTCAAAAGTGAATGGAATTCGATCTCATTTTAAAAGATTACCTTCTAAAGTACTTAACTTAACAAAGAAAATAGTAATAACCTTTATTAAACTAGAAATAAGCAAAATATAATAAATAGGTATGAAAACTACCCTGAATAGAAACACCATAGAAATTGTGTTAGTGAAAATCATGTGAAGGTAAAGGGTTAAAAGCCTGGGAATATGCTCCTTAGTGTCATCGAGAAATATATATATATTGTATATGCACATACATGTAAAGTCCACTAAGATAAATAGTAGTAAAGCCTCTAAAGAGGACATAGTTAAGCTATAGGGACATACAATATGTGAACCAATATAAAAGAGAGAAGGAGCATAAGTGCAGACTGTTCCGTACAGAAAATTAAATGATAAACCAAATCACGCTAAAAAACGGTAATCACACTAAACAACTTGGCTGGGACGGAGAATCCCAACAGGGACTTATGTTTGTGGAAAATGTGTGGCCTGTAAATATATCCTTAGGGATTCTAAGAAAGTGAGTAATCGCGAAGGTACACAATCTTTCCATATAAACCATTTCTTCAACTGTAATTCTGCAGGGGTAGTTTATCTCCTTACCTGCAGTTGCAGTTTGATATATGTAGGGAAAACCCTCCGTCCCTTCAAACAACGTATTAAGGAACACCTTAGATCCACTAAAAATCGTCTCGAGACTCCAATCTCCAGGCATCTTAAGGAAAGACATGGAGGGTCCTCAAGGGACATACGTTTCTGTGGACTGGAGTTGGTTCAACGACAACAAAGGCAGGTGACAAAATCCTGCGTCAAAAAGAATGCAGGTGGATTTACAAACTAAATACTTTAAACCCCAGAGGCCTTAATGAAGGTTTCTCTTTTTCTCCTTATATTTGAAGTATGAGACATTCCCTTGCAACCTATGTATATATCTTTCTGTATATATTTCTCTGTATATATTTCCCTGTTTTTCTGTACATAATTTTTCTGGCAATATTTAATAACAGTGATCATTATAAGTACACAATTTCTTGGTAAATAATAACCTGTTTGTTAAATTGACCCTAGGAGCCTTATACCGTCAGAAGCACATTAGACAGTGCGATCACAATACTTGTCTTAATATCTTGGCTGACCTCTTCACTATATCTTCACTATATTCTGGTCACAGTACATAATATCTACCACTTAGTTTCCATCTATTTATACCAATTGCTAAGTATTTCGGCGTATTTACTATTGTATCTAATATCCCCTAGCCCACTTTCATTGCTGGGCTAGTGATACACATTGCCCGATATACAGACACCTAAGTTTTATGATTCTCTCTATCATACAATGTTCACCCCTTGGATATTTAGCTTTATATCTTAATTTATATCGATATGGATAGATTGTGTTTAAGCGCACTCTTGGATCATAGTTGGATGCATGAAGTGTGTCCACCTACTGATATATATGTAGCCATTGTGTTACAAGTGACTTAACATACTTTCCTCCTCCTTTACAGAATGAAAGGCAACATTATTATGGTTGCAGTTCATTTGAAGGGTGTGATGGCATCGGAGGAGTTTATGATAGTAATGACGACTAATTCAGTGATGATCAGCATTCATGGATTGGCGTTTGATGATCTAGGGGGCGTGCTGAGACTGCAAAGGTGTATGAAAACGCCGAAACGCGCGTTGAGCACTTTGCCGATGCATTTACTTTAATTAAGCTTTTCTTAATTTCTTCTTTTTTATTTCTACCTGGATACGACTGATGTCCGTTTCATTACTAATCTTTCCCACTATGTGCTTATATAAGTTTATAGGGACTTGTTAGGCTGCCTCGAAGCAGCAGTTAGTATCTATGGCCTGCCTGTGGGCTAGGCAGTAAGTCCAGGGTTTTCTAGAATACTGTCTCCTTTCCTCTCCAGTTACGAATTTTAGAGGGGGCCTTTTTGATTTAAAGTACTGTTGTTATATGCATCTACTTACCGCTGTGGATTCTATGTGCTTTTATGTCTCATATTAGGGGATATATCACTATTGGATATCCCCTAATTTATATAGTTTATACTGCTAAGCGAGACATAGTGCCTCCCAGAGAGTCTGCACAGCAGGGTCGGCTACATATTCTAACACCCGTTTGTGCTCCTCTGGGACTCCAGTTTCCACTAGTGAGCTATCTCAATATACTTTTTTGAGGCACCATCAATAGCGACGAGAGTTTAGCTCCACCACTATACTGGCATTGTAACTACTGCTAGGCACCACGATCCCATTTATATATATATAGTACGGATTTTACAGTTTTTAGCGTAATTTGGTTTATTATTTAATTTTCTGTGCGGAGCAGTCTGCACTTATGCTCCTTCTCTCTTTTATATTGGTTCACATATTGTATGTCCCTATAGCTTAACTATGTCCTCTTTAGAGGCTTTACTACTATTTATCTTAGTGGACTTTACATGTATGTGCATATACAATATATATATATTTCTCTATGAGACTAAGGAGCATATTCCCAGGCTTTTAACCCTTTACCCACACGTGATTTTCACTAACACAATTTTTATGGTGTTTCTATTCAGGGTAGTTTTCATACCTATTTATTGTTTTTTGTTTATTTATAGTTTAATAAAGGTTATTACTATTTTCTTTGTTACGTTTACTTTAGTTTAAAATATATATTGTCCATAGAAATAATTCAAAACTCCTGTGTGTATGCTGACAGAGATATCTACTAAAGTGAAAATTGCTGAGAGATCAAATAGAACTCACAGTGAATTTAAAATATCAGACCAAAGTAGCTGAACTGGAGGAATTCACCCAGTCAGCTGTACTACCAGCTCAGCTACTTTGGTCTGAAATTTGAAATTTGAATTTTAACTTTAATAAGTAACCCTGTATGACATGTTTACTAGTGTAAAGGGATCAATACTTAGCGAACTAATAATTCTGCAAAATGTAAATCTTTAATTAAAATGTTTCCATTAAACAAAGAATCATTTGATCAAAGAGCTAGTAGTGTATATAATTAAAAAAAAAATCAAACTTATAAGACCCACCTTACATGCTATTAAACCCTGAATTAACCTTTTGTCTGTGTGGATGTAAATTGCTATTATGAAAATAATTACTTAGGTAGCAGATTGTGAAAAAAGGGATATTAAAGCAGTAATATTACAGCAGTTATTTTTTGGACCATATTAATGTAAAAAAATATACATTTCATTTTCTTTTTTGACAAGTGTCAATTATTAATTAAAATGGTTCAGAAGATGAATACCTGTGGATGCTGGGAAATCAGCCCTGCTGAAATAAAACAATATATGCCTGCGGATAAGACGGGCTATTAAAGTTTTACACAGGTTTATACTATGGGCAATTCTGCTTCAGCTGCCAGTTTCAGTGAATAAATACAAAATGTGCTATTTGATAAAGCATCCTTAAAAGAACAGATTGGCTCATGCAGTGCTGCTAATTGTTTCCAAGAAACAGCTTGCTTTATCCAGACATTATACTAATGCAAATATTATTAGAGGACCGGAACTTCCCTCCTCTGATGATTGTTACTAGGCAAATGCTCAGCCACAGCTATTATAGAAGAATTATTGTTTTGTGGAATAATAAAGTAGATACTTTATTGACCAAGGCAATGTGTGGGTTCACTATATACATGGTAATGGTCTGTGAATCCATAAACCTGGTTTACATGCTTTGAAACCATGTGGGAAAATAGCCCCTATTTACTACGATTTGAAAAATATTCCTACTTTGGTTCCAGTGGCTTATCTCTGAGATTCACCCGTATAGACCTTTACTGGACGTTTGGTTAAAACACTAGTCCATGGGTAGGCAACCATCGGCACTCCAGATGTTGTGGACTTCATCTCCCATAATGCTATTCTAGCCATTATGTCCCGGACTGATCTCTGGCTCTGAATGTCAGTGGCCATGGTGATTAGCTGCCAACAGGATTCAAAGCCTATTAGTAAACATAATGATGATCCATTCTAAAATCAAAATAACACAATGGTAATATGTATCTATGTATACAATACTGTCCATAATTTTTCACCCCACATTTCCACATTTTGTAGTGATACAATCTATAATTGATGAAGAAACAGCACTGAAGTGTATAATATCTTTTAATTGAACTAACAATATATTGCATTAGTGAACTCTGGAAGTTTCTTATTATTCAATATAATCAAGAGAATGGTTTTGAAAGGACCTTCCAAAACATTAGCTCTGTAACTTAATGATTAAATATATATAACAGGCAATTCACTATTTTTTTGCATCTACATGCAGGCCTCCCAATGGTCCCAATTTCGTCAGAACAGTCCATATTTTAAGGTCCTGTCCTGCTGTGCTGACTTTGTTTCCTGGTGTCTCACTTTTGGGGACACTAGGGTACTGTCCTATAAAAAGTATAGAGCACTAGGATCCTGCAGAGAGCACTGACATAGTGCTCCCTGCCTGGTCTGTCCTCAGTGGGCTGGGCCTCAGTAGTCTGTCCTCAGTGGGCTGTCCCTCAGTGGGCTGGCCCTTTTTGTCTGTCCTCACTGGGCTGGCTCTTTTTTGTCTGTCCTCAGTGGGCTGGATCTTTTTTGTCTGTCCTCAGTGGGCTGGCCCTCAGTGGTCTGTCATCAGTGGGCTGGCACTTTTTGTCTGTCCTCAGTGGGCTGTCCCTCAGTGGTCTGTCCTCAGTGGACAGGCCCTTTTTGTCTGTCCTCAGTGGGCTGTCCCTCAGTGGGCTGGCCCTTTTTGTCTGTCCTCAGTGGGCTGGCCCTTTTTGTCTGTCCTCAGTGGGCTGGCCTCAGTGGGCTGGCCCTTATTTGTTTGTCCTCAGTGGGCTGGCCCTCAGTGGTTTGTCCTCAGTAGGCTGGGAAGCAGCTTGGTGTGCACTCATGCCAGACCTACCTGCCAGATCCACCTCCTTTGGGACACACCAGTGACATTATTCACACCACTGGCCTGTTCATTTTAAGCTTCACCTAAGCAATTTCTATGTCTTGCACAATGTTTTGCACAGTGTTTCCAGTAGCACCCCAAATAATATGCGCTGATTTAGATGTGCGCCCTTCTTCTGTTTTTCTGTTTTCGTCTGTTTTATTTTATTTTAATAAAATAATTTATATTTTTATTTATTTTTAAAACTTACACATGCAAATTTTACAAAGGTATAGATCATTTAACATGACCATGAATTGTAGGAAGAGGATGATAGCTCACAATCTGAAAAGACACAAAAGGGCAATGTCATTGTCTGCAATTTGCTTTTCTTTTTTTAATCTTTAACTGATGGATTGTCAGTAAGTTACATCGGCATCTGAAATGGAATCTTGTCCAAGCTCTGTCCATTGCTAAAGATTGCCAAAATCATGCAAAAAAAAAAAAAAAATCCCTTTTTTATATTATGCATAGCTAAACATCTAAGATGAATTAAAATTAAGGGGAAACAGAGAGACAAAGATAATGTATTTAGGAAAAAAAACTGAAAAGTGACAATGCTGCTTTAAATTAGGAAATCCCCAGAAAGTGATAGGGGTGACTGAAGATTGGAAAGTTAGGTGATTATTTTTGTAATATGTAACAGAGAACAGGGCAAAAATTATTCACTAAAATTTTAATGACTGATAAAAGTTGACCATTTCAATTTGGCAAAAAAAAATCTAAAATATACAAACACTTAAACTGATCCTTAATGATTCCTAAATGTGCTAATTACATTTGCTTATAGTACATGGAAGACCCTTCCTTATTTAGTATTCTGTACCATTACACACAGATAAATTAAGCATACTTATCTTTAGGGTTTCACCGACAGTCAGAACAAACAAAGAATATTATCTGCTCATAATTATATTTTAGAAATTTGATATCCTTCAAATTCTGATTTATTTAAAAATTCTAGAAATTAAAATGTTGAGTTAAATAGTTGCTGTTTTTTATAGCAGCACAATTACATTGTTAGGCTACATTTTGCAGGCAGATAGCCGCTTAAACATTACTTAACCCAAAGCCTCACTCACCATATTCTCTTAATGTTATAACAACACACCAACTCATTCAAAGTCTGGACCTATCTTTCATCTGTGAAAATGTAAGGAACAATTAGCTCTAATAATTTTTTTTTTCATTATTTTATTTCTATGTTTTGTTTATACTAAGGTGTCCGTGACTGCTCGGGAAGATGTCCCATCTTTTGGACCTCCTCTGCCAAACCCACCAGTATTTCAAAAAGTAAGTGTCTGGTAAGAAATTGTTCAAACAAAGGCTTGGAACATGAAAGCTTTGTCTTATCTTTTTCAGTCTTGTTATACAATCTAATAAGTATACACAGTGGCAAATAATGGCACACACCAGTTGTTCAAACAACATTAACAACATCTTGAACTACTAATTGGCAATAATTCATTATTTATGGATGACATATTTACTCCGTTCGTCTAAGTGTTCATTATACTTTACTTATGTCTTTTTTTTGACATTTCTATCAGATGAGGGACTTTATGAAACAGGCAGTGTGTGTCACAATAATATTATTTCATGATATATTAGTATGTATTGCTTATCCCTTTACATCCTTAATGGGTAATTTCTTCTCTTTTTTCTCTAAATGAAAAGAATTGCTCATCCTTTTAACTTTGAAAATTTGGAAAACGTAAAACATCATTGATTATACGCCATTGATATGGAAATTGTACATCCGATTTCCCTGTGTTAAGAACTCTTTGATGTCTCATATTCCATCAACTGCTTAAATGTCAACTGTTGTAAACCTATGATAATAATCTCCTATCTTTCCACCTCTACTCCCCGACAAAAAAAAAACCTTTTCCTTAATGTTAACTGTCCCTATATTCTTAACAGACAACAATACATATGGATAGTTTATGGATCATTTATGACACTGTATTTATTAATCTCACATATTCAATCATGTTTAAAAATATTGCTTAAACCAGTCCATTTGTTATTCACAGTAAAACCATAATTCACTCCTTTATTTCCTCTGTATGTAATTTTTTAACTTTTGTCATACTGAGCTTGAAAACTTACAAAGTAAGTAACCCACTTGCCATTCCACTTCTGCTGGACACCTCTACAGGGCACTTTTCATTTTCCAAATTTAAGATTAAAATGGAAACCTCTGGCCCAATCTACAATGACATCCATATTGGTATCCTTGTTACTACCAAGGAATACCTACTGTGTCATGCAACGTTAGACAAAAAGTTAAAAATTGTGGTTAACAGCAACTCTCTCTCTTATGTATCGAAGTAGGGTTTCCCAATATTGGGTAATAAACAAGTACTCACACTCTTATCATTTTCAAACATTAAATTAAAACTCATCTTGTTGAATAATCTAAAAAAATATTTCAAAATGCACTTCTTCATAAGTCTATGGTATCCACTTACTAGCCACCAAATTTCTCCTGAGTTCACCTATGACAGGGCTGCCCAACTGGTAGATCCCCAGATGTTGTGGAACTACAACTCCCATGATGCTTTGAATGCCTTTAGAATGCATTTAGAATGACAAATCATTATTGGAGTTGTAGTTCTACCTGTTGGGCAGCCCTGACCTATGATATTCTTCCTCATTTTGCAATCCATTGTACATTAAATCCCATATGTTACTTATGAATTTTAATTAAATAAATAATAACATTGCTATTATTTTGGCTTCGTTAATTTGCATTATCACACTTAAAAAGTTATGCTTTATAGCTGCATTTATTATTATTGTGGCAAGTGATTTATTATATATAAACACCGTAAAATAAAATGTATCCTGTCACTATTAATTAATAGCATGCCCTTTAAATCAATTCATGCAATCATCATTTAATGTATGTGTTTGACAGCACAGAGGTATTTGGCTGCAAATGGCAAATTGACTTGTCATTCGGCAGTCTATGCTTCGTGTTGTTGGTACTTGATTGCTAATCAGCTACTCATTCACATTCAGGTGGGGAAAACAATGGAATAATCCTACAAGCATATAAACTACATGAAGAATGGAAGATAATTATCATGTTATATATGCACAGCGACTGTGTTTACACTATAGTTATATTGGTTGTTGCCACATCATTGCAGTCACTAAAGCAATACAGGATAATGCTTTGTTGCCAGACAAATATTTGTTTTTTAGCCTTAAGGTGTATTTACTAAACTGGAAATTATGAACTGAATGTTGATGTAACTGTAAATTGCAGGCCAAAAGAACTAGAACTGAATTTTTGGCATATGGCTATTTTGGCATCAAATTTGTAATCCCTCTTTTCAAGTCATCATAGAATCAAATGTACTAAATAAACTCACATGTATTGTTTTTTTTTGTGAATATGGTCAATGTATTAATGACTGCATTCAGAAAGGTTTTAAGAAAGATTTCACCTACTGGTCTCTTACTAGGTGACTAAATGTTTTCAACTTTAAAAAAGAAAAAGAAATAAAATACAGAATAAGTCAAAAGGAAAAATCCACTCAAATCCCAGAATATGAACATCGTCAGTGTTAAATTTTGCCTAAGCTACCATTTTGGATGCATTGTTTTTTGGTGCGTCCTTAATATTGACTCACCCTGTAATTTAATTAATATGTTAAATGAAATGTGAAAAGAGTCCAACTATATATATGTTTTCCCATTAAGGCTTGTATTTACTTAAAAAAAATATAGATTTTGCCAGGAATTATTTAATACCTTTAAAATGTGACTCTCATTTCCAGAGAATTTACTGTTCTTCATTCATTCCCCTCAATTAACAATATTGCAGAATTTACTGGGGTACACACTCAGGCATCCACAGAGAAATTCCTTACGATCACACAAGCGTTTGCATACTTTGCCCAGTGTCCTTAATAATAAATAATAAAATCTCCCCCAAAAAATCTATCCATTTATTTAAAGAAATTTAGCATAACCTATCATTGACTATGCTGACTGAACAATTAGCTAATTGATTGTGCTATTGCCTTGGAATTGGCAGTGCACCTTTAACTCTCTGTGCTTTTCTTTCACATGTGTATGACATGTTTCCCCCAGTTCGCTAACATTCCAGAACTCTTTATGTGTAAGTGAGTACACAGTTAATAGGAGATCTGTAAATTAGGCACCTTCAGTTTAAAGAGGAACTGTCACTGGCCCCCACACTGAAAATTTTATATTTCATAAAGATCTAATTTTTATGAAATACTAATTATGAATGTATTAGAATTTCACTGAAATTCCAACCCAGTCAAGAGATATACTGACACAAAGTAGGAACTGTATATTTCAAATGCCTGACACTTCTAGATACTGGACAGAGCTACCCCCATCCAGAAGTGTCAATTCCCCCAGCCATCTCCAGTTATGGCTGCAGGAATTGGCTCTGTCAATGGAGAATCCCACAGTCCCTCTGGATCCTCCATAAACCTCAACACTGTACTCTTGCCCATGCACAAGAGGGACAGGTTCACATAAGTAGAACCCAGCTTTATCTGCCCCCTGGCCACCAGACCCCAGCAGTGATGTCTACGCCAGGGGACTTTGTGAATTCTGTAATGTCCCCAGACGGTGACAGTGCCACTTTGAAGAAGTCTTATTCCCAGCACACTAAATACATCTTCATAATAAAATTGTGTTTGATATAATGCTTATTTTGAATCTCTTTCAACATTTAAACTGTGTTTAATATTTTGAATATTTAGTAATATATTGTTTTATGGAAGTATAAGATTATAAAAAGAAAATACATTTTTTCCATAATATTTTTTTTTTAAATATACTTATATTAATAAAAAACATATGGCTAATATCATTGCCATTGTGGAGCTTTTGAATAAGCAAGTTTTGTCACCCATCTTGGTGGTGGTTTCATTTGCAAGCAAGATGACTTTTATTAATAGCAGATAGATACAGTCTATCTCTTTCTACTTGGACACCTGTCATATGCTGCCATCAGATCGTTACTAGTGAATCAGAAAACGCTAGCAGGGGACATGACTCGATAAAATTGAACAAATCTACCATCTCTGCCCATTTCGCTGTACTCTGCAGGGAGCAGACCATCATTTGGAAAGAAAATGAGTGCCAGCTTTGTGCAGTCAAAATATTAGTCATCGTGTTCCCTAAGCTGTCATAAATGCGTCAGCATGTCAGCTAAGATACTTGTAAGCTCCTGCTGGCTCTGGAGAGATGAAACAAATGAAATTATATCTGAATACTAAATGTATTCATTATTTGTCACTCTTTTTAACACCGCTGGGCCCTACTTGTATGTATTACAAAACACCCAAGTAGAAGATTAATGTAGAATCACATGCTTATGTGATATGTGCAAAACCATAAAAATGACCTCCATAATCAATTTTTTTAATCTTTACTCCTTTATAATTATTATATACAAAATGCAGTCCAGCTCACAAGTATTTGGACAGTGATACTAATTTTTGCCTTGTTGTCCTCAGCATATTGAATTTGAAATGAAACATTTAGCAACAGTGCAGACTGGAAGCTTTAATTTAAAAGTACGGTTTTACATAGTCCCTCCAGGTCAGATGATCATGCGAATTGTCAGTTCATGGTTAAACTGTCCCGTGACCAGGTGTAAAGTCCCTGGAATTCCAACTTACTTAAAACTAGACTTGTGCATTCAGTTTCAAATGAATTGCCTTTAATCCAAATTTTGGGAGGTTATCCAAATTCCATAACTCTGAATCGGCATTTGGACGTACCACAAAAGAAATGGACAGTGGAGGAACAGTTTTGTTCGATTTGTGATTTGGAGTTCTGCCCATGGCACCAAAGTAAGAGATAATTGATGGTTAGAATACAGCCACTAAGTATCTATTTTATTCACAGATAAGTGAGAAGTGACCAATAGAGGGGAAAAAAGGAAGATCAGTAAAGAAAAAAATATATATTTACATATTATTTGGAGGCCAAGGCAACACCTTGAACTCTTTGCCATGTTCCTCAAACCATTCCTGAACAATTCTTGCAGTGTGTCAGTGTGCATTAACCTGCTGACAGTGACCACTGCCATCAGGGAACACCATTGCCATGAAAGGGTGTAGGTGGTCTGCAACAATCTCTAGGTAGGTGGTACATGTCGAATTAACAGCCACATTAAAGCCAGGACCCACGGTTTCCCAGCAGGACATTGCTCAGATCATAACACTGCCTCCACCAGCCTTCCTTTTTCCCATAGTGCATCCTACTGCTATCTCTTGCCCTGTTGACGATGCACCCGGCCATTCACCTGTTCATTAGACGAGGCAACATTCCTCCATTGCCTAGTTATCACCCTCATGTCCCCATTTAAAGTGCTTTTGTGAGTGTAGCGGAGCTCCCTGTACCCTGACTGGGTAGCTCTGCCAAAAAACGCTTCCTAGCTGGAACAGGGGAAAACCTCAGCGCTTCTGCCCCAGTTGCCGTGGCTTGACTGGGGTCCTCCTGGAGCCTCTCCGTCCTGGAACAGGATACCCTATGCCCTCCCAGGGACTGGACGACACACAGTGCTGGGAGCTCTAGTCCTTACAAGGACTTTCCCTGCTGATCCTCCACGAGCTGGAAAAAGGTGCTAAGCAGTGATTATAGCTCTTCCCCTCCAGTAACTAGGTGACAAATAGCTCTGGGAGTACAAGTGATTTATTCCAGGCCACACACAGCTTTTATGCAAAGACCCCTACATTGGGTCTCCAATACAATAAAACAGGGGTTTCAATCCCCAAATCCTCTGTGCCTGGGAGATAATTGCGTGAGGAAAACCTATAATTCTATTATCTCTCAGGTACAGAAAATCCATACAAAATATACAGTACCCCAAAAGTGCCTGGGAGATAATTGCGTGAGAAAAACCTATAATTCTATTATCTCTCAGGTACAGAAAATCCATACAAAATATACAGTACCCCAAAAGTGCCCCCACCATAACTAGGATCACTCAGATCAGTTCAGTGAAACTGGAATGCCACTGGGTAAAGTTTTGACCGGCTGGACACAAGGCACTAGCCCAAAACTGTTCCAGGAGAATAGGTACCTTGGCCGGTCTCTGTTCGGAGGTTCCTGTGCGAATACCATGCAAGGGAACCTCTTAGTTTCAGGGTACAAATGCTCCCCCTGTTCAGTAGTTCATATCTCCCGAACGTTGTTCGTATAGGTGGGCAGTGGTCTAATCTTTACTGGGGTTTGTGCGAGTGCCTAGCTGAAAAGAGTTCTAGGCACTCGAGGACCAAGTGCAACTGCCCATGTTCAGGAGACAAGATGGAGAAGCATTCATGAATTACTTCCCTTGCGGTTTCGCACTTAAGTTGCTTGTGTGAATGTACTAATGGGGTACAGGGGTGGTCCTTGTTCAGGAGGTGAATAGATGGTGTTTGTATATAATAACTCCTGAATGGAAAAAGGGAAAAAACACACAAACAGGGGAAAAGTATACAAAATTGGTGGTAGGTTCTGCCATTGTGAGTGGACAGGGGTCATCATGGGCACTATATGTTCTGACACCTTTCTATCATGGACAGCATAAGTTTTTCAGCAATAAGAGCTACAGTAGATGTGCAATTGGACCTGTGTGATCGGACTAGATGGGCTAGCCTTTGCTCCCCATGTGCATCAATGAGCCTTGGGCACCCATGACCCTGACATTGGTTCACCGGTTGTACTTCCTTGTACTACTTTTGGTAAATACTAACCACTGCATATTGGGAACATCCCACAAGACTTGCTGTTTTGGAGATTTTTAGGTATATAATATCAATTTCATAATATTATCAAACAAATGTAAAAAGTTAATAACTAGTTCATGTGGTAATCTTTTATTCTACAGAATTCTGAATTCCGTGAATTTTTGCTGACCAAACTCATCAATGCAGAACATGCCTGCTGTAAATCTGACAAGTTCGCAAAACTAGAGGTAAGTAACACATTATGGGACTTTTAGGATGAAGTGCAGCTAAAATATGTAATGCAATGCCTAATCACCTACATCTTGCTGAAAGTCAGTGTTCAATCATAATTTTATCACATGACAGGAGGCTTCGTATTTTGCATAATCTTTCTTTACTATCTCCATAGCAGCAAAGAAATGAGTGACAAAACTTTTAACCAATCACAACGTAGAATAGGGTATAAGAGGTGAGACCTATGACATCATTTCCTCTTTCTTTGCTGCTCCATCACAAGCTAAGTACCAAATTTTGTATTATCTATTCAACATACACTTTTCATTTCCATGACCTTTTGTTTCACTGTACCTTATATATTTACCCTATTAATGCTCTTAACCCCTGTATACCAGGGGACCCTGTCTGGCTCCCTAACTGTCTTTCACGGCTTTCCCGCCGTCTGTACTTTTCCTCCATTTTCTCTGTTTCTCTTTAACAGTTTTCTGTTCTTTCTACCGAACGCGTTATTCGGTAGTTTTGCGCATTCGCCTGTTTTACTCGAATGCCCGCGCGACCGCACATTGACTATTCGTTTCTAACTACCGAACGCTTCGTTCGGCAGTTTGACGCGATCGCCTTTTTAAACGTTCGCATCTATTTCTATTCGCACGTTCGGCAGTTCGCATAGATTTTCTATTCACGTTCGGCAGTTTTATGCGAATGGCAAGCTTACAGTTTGCCGCCCAAACTGGGGGAGGTACTATTCTCCACACACTGAGCCTGTCAGTCCGGCGGCCATCTTAAAGAGATAGACACTGCCTGATTTTTCTGCTCCTGCTATTCCAACAAGCAATTGAAAGCCTTACCCTTTTTCACTCAGTGGGACCAGGTTAGTGCCTTACACTTGGGGTTGGTTTAGCCAGTTGGTCTGCACCTTATTCTGGCCGGGGTGAGCCCCCATTTTACGCTGCTAAACGGTCCTGTTTATGCAGGTTCCGATCACCTGGGTGAGCCCCAGTGAATCAGCCCTCTCCTCTACGACCTACCGGTCTCTAACCACAGGTTATTTAGTCCTGATACCATACCACCCCGGTCCCCAGGCCTCTCCATTAATCGTGCCTAGTGCCCTCACGCAATTTACCGGGTGAGCCCCGAATCCTCACTCCTCATAATGGAGGAATCACAAACCCCAGACCTCCAGGCCATGATAACAGCAGCCGTGGCTGCAGCCATGGAACAAGCCGCTTCCAAGTCGCTCCAAACAAACCCTGAGGTTCCCAGGCCCACCTCTAAACGGGTTCATTATAAGGCGGACTCCGAAGACTCTGACTCTTCCAGGGAACACTCCCAACAGCGAAAACGCCATTGGAAGGGCAATGTAACCCCACGCAAGGCTAAAGGGAAAGCCCCTGCTGATCGCAGGAAAGCCACGGTTCGTGCTACCCACGATGCCACACAACTTTCCTCAGGTGAGGAAGATGTAGAACCCACTCAGGCACTAGCTGTGCTGGATGAATGGCAGGCGGCAGCCTCTGACCAGGGGGACTCTGACAGGGATTCCACGGCCAACTCTGACCCTTACTTCATAAGGGAACAGGGTCTGGGTGAGCCCCAGGACTCCATGGCAACATCCATTGATAACCCACAGGAGGGCTCGGAGATTTTCCTCGACAATTCGGGCCTCCAAATGTTTGACCCAAGAAACATCCGGCACCCCCGTTCGGAAGAATGGTCTCCACCTGAGCATTTGGCAAGGTTTATGCACTTCTGGCTCAGAAAACCGCTAGACAAGGAGGTTAGAAACCGGATGAGATCCGAATGCCCTCGCCCTAGTCTACCGGACAAAGTGACGCACACCCCCGAGTTTGACCCGCTCATGACTACGTTCATGTCCCGAGGGGGTCGGGATCCGCGCAAGGGCATAGAGCGCGGCTTTAAAGGAGCGCAAGATAAGCTGCTAGATGCCATTGGGCCACTAGCCAGAATCATGGATATGGCGGATGAAGCCTATGAGAGGGCTGACACTTTTACCCCAGATACGGTGCGTGAATGGGCACGAGATACCCGTGAATGGGCACAAAGGTGTTTCTGTTTCTTAGGGAACACCAACGTAGCCCTCTCTTCGGAGAGGCGCCGAGCAGCACTTTACCGTATCGACGAAAAACTGGTCGAACTGGGGGATAAGGAATTAGGACCCTTAGCACAGGGTAAACTATTTGGAGAGGCCTTCCTTAAGGAATTAAATAAAAGGGTCAACATATTCACGTCCCTTAACAAGGCACAATCTTCAATGCGGAAAGTCTTCCGCGGTTCCCACACCCGTGGTGTTTTTGGAAGGGCTGGACGGCAGAGGGGCCGTGCCGCCAGCCGTTTTTGGCCATCCGGCCCCCGTACAACAAGGACTCAGATGTTCTACCCAGACTCATCTAGTCGAAATAGATTCAACCACTTCAGGGGATCTGATCGTGGCCGAGGCACCCGAGGACGCTCACGAGCAAGATTCTCCAACGGTAAGTCGGAATCTTACTCTTCCTCTAACCCCCTGTCATATCGCAGGTCGTGTTTCTCTTTTTTTCCAGAACTGGAAAGAACTATCTTCAGATGCGTGGATAATCCAAACGGTGCAGGGCTATCGAATAGAGTTCGACTCGACCCCGCTCCAGCTGACCCCTCCACGTCCAATCCAGACTACACGAGCAGATGCCCGCCTCATAGACGCGGAACTCCGAGAACTCCGCTCCAAGGGTGCCATTCAACCGGCTCCGGATGCCACCGGTTTCTACAGCAATATCTTCCTGGTCAGGAAGAAAACAGGCGAATTTCGCCCCGTTATCAATCTCAGGGAGCTCAATTCGCATGTAGTATATCGACACTTCAAAATGGAAGGTATACACCTCCTCCGGGACTTGCTTCGACGCGACGACTGGTTCACTCGTCTGGACCTCAAAGATGCGTACCTTACCATTCCGGTACACAGAAGCAGCCGTCCCTACCTCCGCTTCTTCTGGCACGGGATTCCTTGGCAGTTCACCTGTCTCCCGTTTGGCCTCAGCTCGGCCCCGTGGTGTTTTACCAAGATCATGAAGCCGGTAGTGGCAAAAATCAGATCCCAAGGTATAAGATGCATCATCTACCTCGACGATATCCTGATCTTCGACGAGGATGCAGACACTCTGCGGAGACATACGGAATACGCACTACACCTTTTGGACTCTCTGGGTTTCGTCGTCAACCGTCCCAAGTCCGCATTGACTCCGGCTCAATCTGTTCAATTCCTCGGATTCGTAATAGACTCCACTTCATGCACTCTTCACCTCCCGGCTACCAAAATTACGGCAATCCGCAGGGAAATCCGGAAAGTCCTTCGTCGGACTACCATACCCCTACGATTACTGGCACGGATCGTAGGCCTTCTCTCCGCGTCCATCCAGGCCTTTTTTCCCGGGCCCCTGCACTACAGGGCCATGCAACGCCTCAAGGCAAGTTTCCTTCGCAGACAACCGACATACGACCAACCGGTTCCAATGTCGGTCGAAGTTCGGGAAGAACTACACTGGTGGCTGAATTGCATGCAGGCTTGGAACGGCAGGGCCATATTCGGGAACCAGCCAGACTTCGTGCTGGAATCGGATGCCAGCCGTTCAGGCTGGGGGGCAACAGACGGAACCACGTCCACAGGAGGAGTCTGGACTTCCGAAGAGCTCTCGATGCACATAAATTGCCTGGAACTCTTGGCCGGGTCCTTCGCCATTCGCAGCCTGGCAAAGGACCGATCCAACTGCTGCATCCTACTCCGCATGGACAACGTCTCAGCGGTCAGATACATCAACCGCCTTGGAGGCACTCGTTCTCGAACACTGGCGGATCTCACGAAAGAGATCTTCGACTACTGCCTACCACGCAACATCACCTTGCTGGCAGAGCACTTACCAGGAGACTCCAATACGACGGCGGATTGGTACTCACGCCACTGGCGGGACGCCAGCGATTGGCAGCTAGACCCTCACATTTTCGCGCTACTGGATGCACAGAGGGGACCTCTCTACCTAGACCTTTTCGCGTCCCGCAACAATCGACAGACAGAAGTTTTCTTCAGCTGGCTCCCAGACCCGGAGAGCCTCGCAACGGACGCTTTTCTCCAACAATGGCCAAGGGACGGCGCCTACGCATTCCCTCCTTTCGCAATGATAACGAGGGTCCTTCACCGGATCCGTCTACAGGGAGTGAGAGTAATTCTCATCACGCCGCTCTGGCAGAGCCAGCCATGGTTTCCGGACCTTCTGGAACTCTCAATCAACGACCCACTCCTCCTTCCAGATGCCCCAACCATCCTCAGGAATCCATTGGGCCTTCCTCACCCACTAGTCCTGCAGGAACGCTTGCCCCTTGTGGCCTGGACTCTTTCCGGGGTTCCTGGAGAACCGAGGAATTATCGCAGGAAACTAAGGACCTGCTATGGGATTCATGGGCACCAGGAACTAGGAGGTGCTACTTATCAGCATGGCACTCCTGGACAAGTTGGTGTGTGGGACGGGACCTCAATCCCTTTACTGCACCTACTCACTCCATCATGAATTTCTTAACTTCACTTTTCACCGCAGGAAAGTCATACCGTTCCATCAATGTGGTACGGTCAGCCATCTCAGCGGCTCACACTCCGATACAGGGGATTCCTGTTGGTAAGGACCCGCTCATCTGCAGACTTCTCCGCGGTATGCGCCTACGGCGCCCCCCGGAACCTAAATACTCTAGTCTCTGGGACGTTGGCGTGGTCCTTCAATTTTTACGTAATTGGCCTCCCAACGAAAAACTATCACTCCGCCAACTTACCGCAAAATTCACCCTCCTGCTCTGTCTGGTTTCCTTTCGACGGGTAGCGGACGTACGCGCCTTTGATGCCAACGCGTTTACTTTCTGTCCGGCGGGTGTCACCTTTCAGATCTCACGTCGCACTAAGTCCAACTCTCTCTCGGTCTTCTACCCTTTCTTCCCTTCTGACCCTCAACTCTGCGTGGTCTCAACCCTCCGTCACTACGTGGAAGCCACCGCGACGTTGCGGCAACCTTCCACTCATCAACTTCTCATCTCTTACGTCCGCCCTTATGGTCCGGTCTCGGTTACTACACTGGCCAGATGGGTCAGGTGGCTACTATCCCTTGCCGGTATTGACCAAACTTTTGGAGCACACTCCGTTCGTGGGGCAGCGGCCTCTTCCGCTTATGCGGCAGGCGCGTCCCTCTCGGACATTTTACGAGCAGCGGACTGGACCAGAGAATCTACCTTTAGGACATTCTACTTTCGTCCTCTTGATAATCCGGCATTTGCTTTTCTTTCTCAGCGTTGAAATTGCAAAATACGAAGCCTCCTGTCATGTGATAAAATTGAAGATTATGCTAGCTTTAGTGTACAGATAATCTTAATTTTAATAATGACAGGAGGCGAGTATTTTCCCTCCCTGTTCTCTTTCGTTCTTCCCTCCCTTTATTTTCACTTCTACCTACTACACTTTGCTCTCTCATATGTTGGTATAATACCTGACACGATAGCTCTTGTTTAACTGCCTTATTTACATCATAGAGATTTATATATTTATATTGTTTGGGTGGGATACTTATTTAACACCGCTAGGGAGGACGTTTAGTTTATTTTATTCTCATGTTACTAGACGATATTAAAGTTGAATTACGGGACAGACATCCTTTGTTTTATACAATCACTTCTGGACTCTAACGCACCTTATACTCTCGTTTCAGCTTAACCAGGAGCTACACGGAATCATTAAAGTCTCCTTGCAAGATGTCGTCATCATCGCATCAGGAGATTCATCATCAGGTCTTCGTAGACCATCGTTTGACAAGGACACGTCTTCATCTGCATTCTACCTGTTCCGATTCAGTTTATTCTGATTAAGTTTCCAGTTTCTTGTTCTATGGACTTCTCAGCTGTTCGGTTAATTTTTTCTACTTTTTGGTCTTGTGATGTCGCAAGTTTAAAAGAGGAAATGATGTCATAGGTCTCACCTCTTATACCCTATTCTACGTTGTGATTGGTTAAAAGTTTTGTCACTCATTTCTTTGCTGCTATGGAGATAGTAAAGAAAGATTATGCAAAATACTCGCCTCCTGTCATTATTAAAATTAAGATTATCTGTACACTAAAGCTAGCATAATCTTCAATTCTCTCATCTGTCATAGGATAGGACTAGAGCTGCACTTTTAGACAATCTTCATGATGACCTTCACATGCACACACAAGTCATGCTTGGCCTTGGCCCAGAAGAAGACAAACTGGAGAATGGAGCTCATGGTGGATTCCTGGAGTCATTCAAGGTAAGAAACTAGAACATTGCTAAAGATCAATAGCCACAATATAATATCAGTCATTTTTAGAATCTAAAATATTTCTTACGTCTTCAGTATCTAAGGAAGGTGTCTTGAAAAGTACTACTCTGCAAGGTCAATGTATATATGATATGACTTTAAATATTTGAATAGCAAATTCTTTTTATATTAGTTAAATATTATAGGAAATTGCAGGGTTAAATTTAGGTAAGTGTTTAAGAGGCCAGCTCTTTCTCCAATGTTTTGCACCCTTTTAGTAACGATGTAGATTTCATAAATATCACGTAGTAGGAAACCACTTACTACCAAAATTGCGTTTATCTATTATAACTTTGTTTTGCATGGCAAAGCAATGTAAGAAGAAAAGTAGCCCAAAATATCCCGCTTACTTTATTATTTGGTCCAGAATTGTCTTAATACATTCTAACACTCAGGGAGGTGAAAGGGAGAGAATTAACTAAATGTATCATTAGTACAACATGGATTTTTTGTAAGATGCTGTTTTTACCTTGCAAAGCCATTTGTAGTACAACATATCATTGTAATTGTAATTATTGAGCATTATACCCATGTGTAATCATTATCTTAACATTCTGTTGTCTTTTTAAAAGCTGAATTACTAAAAACACAGTTAGGTTCATTATTGATACCCTAAACATGTATTTTTTGTCACAGCTATTGAATGTGATAAAAATGGGTCTTCTACATTCAAGTTAATGTAAACCATGTTGGGAATATTATTTTTAAAAAAACGAATAGCATTTAGTCTCTAAAAAAACATCTCCTCAATTTTTTTTATAAAGGGTGAACAATTTAATGTAAAATTAAAGTACTGTAAATTCACATAATTTAATGTTTTATGTATCTCCCAAATGACAGAGAACTATACACAGAATTGCTGATTGTCTATCTATGCATTACCGTTTTTTTCATCCTAATCACAATATCATATCTTGGGCCATGGGTGAGTTTGGTTCTAGGAAGAAACAGTAATACAAATGCAATCTCATTCCTATCAACTAGATATTGGTTCAAACATAACAAATAATATTACTATTAGTAGGCAGTCTATAATTGATTTTGTAGCAGTAATGATATGGCTTTTTTCTGACATCTTACAAAAATGATTAGTTTATTTTTATCTATTTGTGACAGTAATTTACAATTTATGTTATTTGGTGGCCATAAATGTAGGAATAATTATTTGAAGGTGATACAACTAGGAGACTTTTTCCTCTTTTTAATTTTCTCTTGCTAATGAAAAGTCCTTATCTCGCCTTTTTTTTCCTGGAAATTGTGTTTGATATTAAATTAATGAATGCATGCATAACGGAGAGAAGGATGCTAGACATCCCACAACTGACTTGACTGATTATTATACAGTACTTGCTGTGTCATGTCAGACAGCACACCTGGACTGGGCATTGAGCAAACTGAGCACATGTCTGGTGGTGAATAAGAATTGTGGGCCAAGGATAGTTGGAAATATAATGGACTCTTCCAAACTGGCCAATAAAAAAAAATATATATATAACCTGGTGGCCTCATGGTAGAGCTACAGCTTACCACTACCTGTACAGGCCCATATTAAAGTGAGATAACATGAAAATGGGACAGATCTGTACCCTATATGAGTCAATTCAAGATACTAATCCTTACCTATAAACCTCTAAACAACTCTAGACCTTGTTACATTTATTCACTAGACACCTTTTCAGTCTCTCCTCTCTGCCGGTGACCTTCTCCTGTCTGTTGCTCGCACCCTTACTATTAATTCAGTGCTTGCAGGACTTCTCACAAGTGGGTACAAGCTGCCTACACTCATCACACTCTCCCCTAGTCTTCAATCATTTAATAAGTCCATCAAGACCCACCTCTTTAGAATTCTTATGGCCTCCCAGAATAATGTCTCTTTCACAAACCTGTCCCTCGCTCTCTTAAAAAAAGGTCACACTAGACTCTCATCTTCCAGTTCTGCTACTTTCCCACCTTGTTGTTTGGTTGCAATCCCACACTCTGCCCTTCCTATTGTGTTTTTATACACCACATCCTTTACATTGTTAGCTCATTTGAGCAGGGTCCTTATCAACCTATTGTTCTTGTAACATTTTGTAATTGTCTAATTTATTGTTAAATTTCCCCCTGTATAATATTGTAAAGTGCTACATAATAAGTTGCGCTATATAAATGCCAATAATAATAATAAATCAGGAGCCTGTGAAGAAAACAGCCCAGACTTTTATATCTCCACACGTTGTATTAGCAGGGAAGGGGGAACAAACTGTCAGATAATATACCCTGGTCTCCATTATAACCAGAAAAATGTAGAGACGAGGGTTTTGGTCAAATTGGGCAAAATGTGTACACAATAAATTTTGGGTCTGGCTTTGTTTCTGGATATATCTAGTATTATCATAACAACTTTTCCATGATGCTCTTCTTGCATTTCAGATATGTGTAGTGACCTTTGAACTATAGTCATTTGGAAGCTTTAAGAAAGGGACTGCTGTTCCTCTTTAAGTTGATTCTAAATCAATTGCACATCCCTCTGATAATTGGAGTGGTAAAATAAGAGCTGTCCCTCCTACCACAACACATATACATAAATACTCCTTTTGTAATCAGGCAGCCCATGGCCAGATGGTATGTTCAGATACTGGGATTACTGCCAAACTGACAATTAGTGTGGATTGAAACAACTGCACAATAGTTAATTAAAGAGCACTGGTCGGCATTTAGTTTGATTTCAATTTCAAAACTGAATCCCCGAGTTTGATCAGCATTTAAAACCTGGGTAGCTTGTGTCACTTTGGCAAATGGCGGTCGACTAGTACTAGCAAACTACATGTTTCATTAATTGCGTGTGATTGCATCCACCTTCTAAGGTTATTTTCAATTACATGTTTATTTTTGACAAGCATTTTTAATAAGCAATATAGTTTGCACAGAACCACAAATTGGAGCCAGGGGCCCAGTTCCATAAGGGAGGTCTTTCAATTATGTTTAACTTCCCACATTCTTAAAAGCCCAGCAATTTAGTAACAGTTGTTAGACTACCTTTATCACTGGAATCTGTACAGAATTATAGGTTATGCACAGCAGCTACAGCAAGATGTACAGTACGGATCCATAGAGATCTGAACCAACCAGCTGGCTTCTTCTTCTAGGCTCAAATGATTGCTGGCACAGTTTGTATGACATGAAAATGTGTTATGTTTTAGCAATGTAATTAAAATTCTAATTGCAATAAAAAAAACTATAAAAAAAGTCTGCTGTAGCGGTTATGGTCTCAGAAGTTCCCTGGTGCCATACCAATGTAAAGAGTGGACCTGTTTTCAAAAGGTTTGAAATGTAGTTAGGTCCTTTGGGTGCCCAGAGCTGCATGTTTATAGCGATTAGAGTGATTTTTTGGAGATGAAACTCATTCTCACTTTCCAGTATAGCCATTCCTTTCCAGGAGAGTCATTCTCAGTCAGCTAACATTGTCAAAAAGTTATTTTGTGAATGAGAAATTGAATTTACAGTACAGTAGTTCCAGTAGTTACAGTGATGGTGATACAATGTTGTTTTGTGCAGGTGAAATGGTTATTGCTGCTGAAAAAAAATGGCATTAAGCAGAAATGCCAAATTTAAAAAATATATATTTTTAATGCATTCCAACAAAGTTATTAATATAAAAAATACCTATATACTGGTTTTCAAAATGATTTTCTTAAGTCCCTAAAATCCTACTTGTATAGAAAATACTGCAGCTAAGCCGATCTGCCCCCTTTGTTATTTAAATCACTAACTAATTCATTGTTAATGCTGGGCAGTGTCCTATCAAATGTTCCTCATAGATGAGCATTGTATGCACGGTAAGCACATCTGGAAGCTATAAAACGTATTAAAACACATAGAATTAAACATAAATCCTATATAACATATTTAAATAATGTAATACTAGATATTTAACAATTTATACGAATAAAATAAAATACTCAGATTGTGCTGGCATAGGTCCCAGGATGTGCTTCTCTATGCAGAAGATTTACTTTTTCTTCATGTGACTTTTGATTTCTTCTTTTTTTATATAATCTCACACAGGAGGCTGCTTTGCCTTATGAAGCAATTAACAATGCAATATATAATTACAGATGTTGCTGAACTACAACTCCCATGATTCTTTCAATTAAAAATATAGCCAGGGAATCATGGGAGTTGTAGTTCAGCAATATCTGGGGAGAGGGGGAGACAGGGGGAGGCGCAGGTTGGACAGCCTGTTCTAAATGAACAGTTTGTTTACAGGAAGAGTTTAGAGAGGCTGTGTAAGTCACAGTCAGAGGAGGTGTGGCTAGGGCTGCATAAATAAAGTGATTTAACTCCTAAATGGCAAAGAATTGTATGGTGAAAATGAAGGGCAAGATTTTTGCACCAAATCACTTAATTGAATGTGTAGGTGCTTAGACTGACCATTTAATCATTAAAGTCCAATTGTACAGCCAATCCTCAAAATACATGTACAATAGAAAAAACAAATAAAAAGCATAGATTCACTGAATGCGGTTCATCTGAAGAAATCTCTAGTTCCTAAATCTGAATATTCCATTTTATTATATTAAGATCTGAAAATCAATACACATTTTTAGCAAATTGTATATCAGCCATCAGATTGTAAATAAGCCCCCCATGCTTCCTCAAGTAAGAGGAAGTACCCTTGGGGCTAAACTGAAATTATATATATATATATATATGTCTGACTGAACAATGGTCAGTGAGCATATCATCATTACAATTTCTACACTGTCACATTTTTTACACTTTTGTACATTCTCCACTTTGAATTTTGGAAAATTACTTTTTGAGGGTTGCTGTTTATGAAAAAAAATTATTCTCCATCCCTCTAGTTAACTCTAACCAATGTTTGGGAATGGTAGTTTAAAATATTGGAATATTTGGATAAACAATCAGGCCAATCTAACTGTCCTATGTCATCAGATTAAGATTATAAGTGCAAAACATCCAAAGGAACATCATCTCATGATAGAATACATAATTGAATACCTCTGGAATACAGTTGTTGATGCATATCCATCTGGAAAGGATTACAAAGCCATTTCCCTAATGCTTTTCAGCTTCTCTGAACTACAGACAAAGCCATGTTGTCCAAATGGAGAAATGGAACACTAAAGGATGTCTATGCTGCCAAGATCTTTCCAAGAAGGTGTAAAACTATCCACAGAGCAACAAAGACATCTAGAACTGCCTGACTTCTACAGGTTACTCACCTGTGGTCGTTTACCATAACACCACCAGAAGACATTGGCTACATATTGGATGCATGGTGGAGCAGCCTGATGGAAACCCTTACTTACTAAAGCAGCATGAATATTTTTCCTGAGTTTGCCAAAAAGCACCTGGATAATCTCTAAGACCTATGGAGCAAATATCTACAGACAGATTAAATAAAAGTGGAACATTCTGAAAGATAACACTCTGTTATACCTTGCAAACTTCCCAGTCAACAGCCAATTGGTGTGGTAGAGTGGTGGATGCAGTGCCATGGACTGGATATCATTTGCTGCAACAGGACATATTGCCATCCTTAACAAAACCTTTTGATTACTGGTGGTGTGGTTGAGTGACTGGTATCACCATTCAGCAAAGTTTAACATCATTTGATCATTCTATATATTTATTCATTAATTTATTTATGTTAAACATACATATCACTATGTGTACAGTCTGTTAGCTGGATAATCATTACAAAGTGCCCAGTGTGTGTTTAAAATGTGTCACTGAGTTAAAGTAGTTGTGTAAGGGAGAGGGGGTTATGATTTCTCTGTAGCTCTTTACAATCATTAAGTTAATTATCAATAACTAATGCTGAAGTTACAAGGTTGTGATTATATATATTTTCCCACAGATCAATATATGTTGCATAAAATTATCTACTAAATAAATTAAATAAGTATCAAATATGTTTTGTTGTTGTTGGACTGTATGATGTAAATATAAACCCCTCTTTGTGTTTGTCAACTGTTTTTGAAAGCAATGGCTGCAAAAGTTCACTAATGCCATTTTCTGGAATAATTTAATCTACTTATTGTTGGAATTATACCTATAGTGTTATTCATTAAAGTGTAAATTGCCATTAATTTAAAGTGAGAAAACTTTACAAGAGAAAAAAAATCAACTACATTTTCAGTTTGGTTATTTTAAGCTAAAATGTGAAATTCACGTTGAATTCAAGTTTAAGTGAATAACCCTGTATATGCCCAACAACATGAAAAAAATTGATTCAATAATTAACTTTTGCTATATATTCCAGACACTGATATTGATCGATTATAATAATATAGTAACTACTTTCTACTTTTAAAATAATTATTTTTTAAACATAACCAACTTATCTAAGTTAAAGGTTTGTTCCCGCTATGGTACTTTGTTTTACATTTTGCAAACAAGTTGTCAATTCACAATGTATCTAAGAAGAAAATTCAATATCTTTATTTTTTTACTTTTTTCTTTTATTTTTTTAGAGAGCAATTCGAGTCCGCAGCCATTCCATGGAGACCATGGTGGGAAGTCAAAAGAAGCACCAGTCAGGAGGGATTTCGGGGAGTCTAAGTGGAGGCATTGTTCATACAACTGCAGAGGTCACAAAGACCACTTTTTCCGTAAGTTGCGCTTCCTTAAAATAGTTGTTAAGCTGTAAAAGTGCTACTGTTGAAGTAAAGTATTTGTATCTTTTGGTTACTTTTGAGTTGGTTCCATATTATACCAGTTGTCTTTCAACAAGAGTTGTTGGACTATCTTGTAAATAATAAGTACAGAATACATGCAAGTAATGTTACTTATTTATACCTTTGCTTTTGGAGATTTTAAGATGATACTGTTTAAATTACTATACTTAAAATGTACCATCTTTAGCCATGAATTTAGCACAGTCCAAGATATAATAAGAGGTTTCTATCACTATTTAAAATTCCAAAACATTGTAGCACCATTATCGACCTGTGATTCATATTTTAAGGAAGACAATAAGGATGTTAGATGCAATTTTGTTTAGAATATTGGAGAAATAATCAATATTGTCCCATAACACTTAAAAAATTTTGTGTTAATAGTGTTTTTGTTGGCTTATATTCATATATCTATTTCTTATTCTCTTTCTAATGGATTTATTTTCTAGCCCCCGGCAGTGGTCACAAAGACACAATCGAAGAGTCCTATAAAACGAAGATCTGGTCTCTTCCCTCGTCTGCACACAGGAGCAGAAACCCAGCCTGATGGCCGAACTCGGTGGTACATATCTTAATTATTGTTCTTTTTAAGAGTCATAGTTAAATAAAAAAATTTGTTCTGTTGGTGTTATTAAAGTTGGCAGCAAAAGTTAAAAAGTAAAGGTAGCTAATATGATAAATATATATAAGATCACACTGTAATTTCCTAATGTAATTTCTTACTAGATAAGGGTTCTTCTGGTACTTGGCAGACGAACAACTGTTTGCATTAGTCTAAATGTATAAAATGACAGTGTTTCTAATAAAATTGTAGGTATAGCTAAGGTGGCATGGAATTTCTAAGTAATATATCTACCAAATAGCTTTGTACCAGAAAGATTATGGAGAGACCAAACACTGTAAAACACCCCACAGAGCAAATACAAAAATTAATGTTATGCATCACCTGCATATTTCAAGTTGGACTTGAGAAGGCATTCTTGGGCACAGGAACTTGAGAAATTGTGTTTCCACAACTATCCTAGAGATCCCAGATAGACATGCAAATGAGCATAGACAAACATCATGTTTCAGTTTTCATATTGCATTTCTGCAAATAAGCATGGCAATGAACACTGTTTTAAACTCACTTTTTTTGTTTTTAAACCAAAGCATGTGCTATGATCCATGGGCCATAACTAAGGGTATCTGTGCTTCACAACAAGTATACAAACTTTAGTTCTGCCAATTAATTATGTTGTTTTTTTCCATAGTGATAGTGTATCTTCTACTCAAAAAACTCCAGATGGTGGACAGTCATCTCAGGACATCAAGTCTGAAACATCTTCCAATCCTAGCTCGCCGGAAATCTGCCCCAACAAAGAGAGGTAATGAATGTTCATGGATAGACTTTGTTCTTATGATTTAATGTTTTACGTCAATGAAAACATTTAAGAATTTTCGTGAAGCCAAAAATAGATCTCAGTGGAGAGGTTATGGCCGGTTATGTTTTTGGCAGGGGCAATTCATCTTTCAAGTACCTAGGATCTGTAAATTAACATTTGGATATAAAATCTATACACTTTAACATACATGAAAATGGAAGATGTCAATATATCATCCATGTAAAACTATGATTAAGATAAACTACATGCTATTCATGAATTGTCCTTTCTGAAAATGTTACACTTATGTCAACCCTAATTATATTATGCTGACTAAACTGATCCCTCATTACTCTGGAAATTGAGGTCACTTAAACCTATATAAAAGAAGAATTAAGTCAGTGAACTTTTTGTCTAAGGCAGTGGTTTCAAAACCAGTCATGGCCTACCAACAGTCCATGATTTATGTGTTTCCCTGTTTTATTCCAATGGAGATACTGAGAAAACCTGGACTGTGGGAGGGTATTGAGAACTGGTTTGGGAAAAACTGGATTAGGGTTTTAAATCTGCCAGAAGCTGAATAAGTTACCTTGGCCTTGAATGAATGTGGTCTATCTACCTCACTGTAATAAAACATTTCAACTATAGGTAATGACATGTGAACCTTTATATGCATTTCATATTATATTATAATATAGATTATTTTACATTAGTGCTATATAAATAGCAATAACAATGTGTGTGTTATCCTTGCAGTATAAAACTATAGGTCACCTGAATTTTAGAGCTGGGCAACATATATCTCTATTGAAGAAACCAAAAAACGAAATCTGTATTGCCTAACCTTGTTTCATCAAATCCGCTTTGCAATTCCCATGTGTTAGTTGTAACTGCTACATTTCAGAGAACAGTTAGTCTGTTTAAGTCATTTTTTCTTAAATTTCTTTGTCTGGAATCCAAATGTTGACAGCAGCATGTCTACCCAGTCTTCAGTTACCTCAGTGACCCATTCTTCAATTGTATTATATGATGTATACTACAATTCTGACTTTCTACCATTCTAAAGAATTTCTCCCAATCTGCCAGCAGTAAAAGATTGAGAGATCAGCTGATACCCTCAGCCTTTTACCAGCATCCAAAGGAGAAGATTCTACCGTAATGCTAGAAGAAGGTAGCGGGGCCAAGGAGATAGGATTTTGGTGATATCGGTGATTGGCAAAATTCCAACTAAGGTAGATTTTTGGGGTCAGGATTATTTGCATCACTAATCACAGTCCACTATTGAATGAATACATTTAATAGAAAGTAAAAATTGGGAGTAGAAATCTAGAACATTTTGAGAAATAAAAAGACATGAGAAGTAAGTAGTAATTTTTATTATAAACAAGGTGGCCTAATACACAAGCTGCCAATTGACATTGATAAATGTTGTGTATATTCTATCTCTTCCAGACCTTTTATCAAACTAAAAGAAAATGGGCGCTCCAATATCTCCCGTTCATCATCCAGCACTAGCAGTTTTAGCAGTACTGCTGGGGAGAGTGAGGCATTAGATGAATATGAGAGTGGGGTATGTATTTAATGATTACAAATAGTGATTCAAATAAATGGTTTTATTACTTAAACTAGGAATTATTAAAAAAAAACTTCAATATGTGTTGGCACTCTGCTACTGAATGGTGCTGGTATTGGAGGTGTTTCCCATAACAACCTCAAAAAATATACAAATTTTATCCATAAATTCAATACCGCACTCAAAAAAAGAATCAATTATTATATATATGCCAAGAAAATTGATTTATTATACAGAAGCTATTTATAAATTCATGAGTGAGAAGTGATTTCCTTATAAATTCATCAAATTGAACAATTTCATCGTATATACATCCCAATATATATACAATAATTTACAATCTGTGTACATATGAAGAATGGAGTTCAACAGTTCATGGATGTTTTCAGGTGGATCCACCACTCAGTAGTTTTGTATGGATGAAGTAAACTTTGAAAACGGTGAAAAACAGAAGAGAGAAAAAAAAATTTAAAAAAATAAAATAAAATAAAAATAAAAATAAAAAATAATAATAAAATAATATATAAAATTATATGCCAGAATACACAGTCCAATTGCATATGATGCAAAGATGAAAAATTAACGCGAAAAAAAGGAAAAAAGAAAAAAAGGAGAAAAACATAAAAAATAATTGTAATTAATCCTAAGTAAATGTAAAAAGAATAAATACAAAAAAGAAGAAAAGTTGGTTTGATCTCACCAATTGAAGTGTATACAGTCAACCTTCCAAGTAGTGAAAAAAGTAGTGCATGATCCAAAAAGGTTATTGTGGCACAGTCCCTTAATCCATCACCGGGAAAGCGATATCTGAACTCCTTCCTTTATTGTACACATGTCAAGTTGTTATCCAGGTGGTCAGGCGTCCTGCTCGATCAAAAACAGCTGGACTGCGCGCTCGGGACAAGCCAGTCCCTTCGATGGCCCCTGGGACTGGCTTGTCCCGAGCGAGTAGCCCAGCTGTTTTTGATCGAGCAGGACGCCTGACCACCTGGATAACAACTTGACATGTGTACAATAAAGGAAGGAGTTCAGATATCGCTTTCCCGGTGATGGATTAAGGGACTGTGCCACAATAACCTTTTTGGATCATGCACTACTTTTTTCACTACTTGGAAGGTTGACTGTATACACTTCAATTGGTGAAATCAAACCAACTTTTCTTTTTTGTATTTATTCTTTTTACATTTACTTAGGATTAATTACAATTATTTTTTATGTTTTTCTCCTTTTTTCTTTTTTCCTTTTTTTTGCATTAATTTTTCATCTTTGCATCATATGCAATTGGACTGTGTATTCTGGCATATAATTTTATATATTATTTTATTATTATTTTTTATTTTTATTTTTATTTTTTATTTTTTTTCTCTTCTGTTTTTCACCGTTTTCAAAGTTTACTTCATCCATACAAAACTACTGAGTGGTGGATCCACCTGAAAACATCCATGAACTGTTGAACTCCATTCTTCATATGTACACAGATTGTAAATTATTGTATATATATTGGGATGTATATCCGATGAAATTGTTCAATTTGATGAATTTATAAGGAAATCACTTCTCACTCATGAATTTATAAATAGCTTCTGTATAATAAATCAATTTTCTTGGCATATATATATTAATTGATTCTTTTTTGAGTGCGGTATTGAATTTATAGATAAAATTAGGAATTATTAAAGACTGATGTTTTAACTTACAATTTGCAGATTCAAAAATCCTAATTGATTCTATACTGTTCTTAGTTTATTAAATTAACCAAAATATATTGTCAAACATATGTTTGTAAATAAATTAACAGTATATATATCTCTCTATATTTATATTAATTATAGAACGCAAAAATAAAAAATAAATAAAAAATTAAAATATTATATGATGATCTAATAATGTTAGGCGTCTCATTTGCTACAACCCTAAAAAATGTGTACCTTTATTCAGTCACCAATAATATGACATAGTTGGTAGGGAGGACAACCCACTCTCTTCATTACCTTTTGTCATTTCGTTCACCTACTCAATGACACTCTTGATGTGAGAAAATAATAGGACCATTTTTTTGTTTTTAAAATTGGTCTCAATTTCTGACCACATACAGATCAAGTTAGAGGTTGTTTTGCAAATCCTGATTTTTTTTTTAATTAAGTGCATATCTTCCAAAGAAATGTTTACTCAAAACTTATTTTTAAACAAAATGACAATAAAATGTACAATTATACTGAACATTGTTTATGTATTTCTTAACCCTAAAATTGCATTTATATGCTTTTTATACAGGGCAGCCAACCATTGACTGCATCACCATTCAAACAGGAAGTGTTTGTCTATAGTCCGTCACCTAGCAATGAGAACAATACACCATCCACTCCTGTAATCATGAGCAGGAGCCCCACAGGTGCGGTTTTGTTATATTTCAATAAAGCTGGAGAGTTTTGAATAAAAATAAAAGTGAATGCGTGTGAATGAAATATATCTTGGCCTCTTTTAGGTACAAATGCCAGGGGCACAATTTACCAATGCACAAATCATTATTCGGTATATTCATATAAGCAGTAATTTCTCTTTGTTCTGCCCAGACACACAACCTTTTCCTTTAGCTCACATTTAGTTGATATATTTGCAAAGCTTAACCAATCTACTAAAAATTGTAAAAAAAAAATATAATTTTTTTTTTTTATTGGTAAAACTCACATAGGCAGTGAAATCTGACAAATTCAAAATAATTGTGGCTGAAGAGAAGATAATATATTTTTAGCATTAACTAGCACCAACAAATATTACAACACTTTACAATGATAGGAAGGGGATATTTAGAGGTGAAGACGGCCCTGTTCAAACAAGCTTACAAACAAGGATCTGAGGTAGACAGATATATATTGTGTCTTGACCGATGACAAATACTGGTGAGGTGGTTTGACCAGGATTTAAATCTAGGTTTCCCAGGTCTAAGGCAGTGATGTTAACACTGCTCTAACCTGCTGATATAATCTATTATGTTAGAAAAAGCACTTGTGTCTTACAAAACATCTAATTTTAATAAGGCACATTAAACACTTGTGATAATTGAACTGGTGCCAAGTGTAGTAAGACATTATTGAATCGTAGTGTTAGTAATCAACATGAAAGACAACCATAAAGTGCAATTCAAGTAGAAGTCTGATCATCTTTCCTTCTCACAGATGTAAAGAGTAGAAATTCCCCAAGATCCAACCTCAAATTTCGTTTTGATAAACTCAGCCAGTCAAGTTCCAGCTCAAGTACAGTAAGTAAATCCTTTGCTGGTGATAAAGCCATCTAACCAAGCGACAATTGTCATTCCCTCTTTAATTGCATAGGTGTCAAGTGTGTTAACTGTGTGGTGGGTCTGCCATACACAAGTCACTAAGTGAGAGCTAAGGCATTGCGTATTGTTACCATTCATGGGCAAAGTGAAAGGCTTCTAATACTGTAATAAGCTAAAACTAGAACATATATTAAGCCATTTTGTTCCTTTGTACGACTGATAAGAGCTTGATGCAACAAAATGGCATTGTGAGCCACATTAATGTTATAGAGGTAGATGTGTGGCACTGTGTTCACTGAAACATTGAAAACGTTTTGATACGGAGCAAGAAAGTATTGCAACAAATGAGTATAAAACACCATACTTATTCACCATGTGTTGGTTGGATAGTGCAGTAATTTAAATAGTGCAGTAATGGGTGAACATTCATTTAGATCTACCTGGATATGTGGGTACGAATAGTATATATAGAATATATTCAGTATACGAATAGTATATATTCAACCGCCCCCAAATGCCCAGGCAAATGTCTTGTTAGCCTGGCGGCTAACTGACAATCCAGGCGGGTGGGCGGCGCTGGCGAGGGAGCACTGATTAGTGAGCTCTCAGCTCCCTCACATGCTGCAGAGTGATGCAGGGAGCTGGAATATGATGTCATAGTACGGCTCCAGGCATCACTCTGCGGCGCTCGAGGGAGCTGAATAGGAGGATCACTGCTCCCTCGCCGCCTGAAGTCAGTGGCCGGCCACCCAGCAGCCCCACTGGACCCCAGGGAAAAGGAGAACCCCGCATTCCCAAAGGTAAAGAGGGGGGATTGAATTTAAAAAAAAATGTGAGTGTGTTAATGTGTGTGTTTCTGTTAGTGAGTGTGTGTGTCTGTTAGTGTGTGTCTGTTAATGACTGTGTGTGTGTGTGTGTGTCTGTTAGTGAGTGAGTGTGTGTGTGTCTGTTAGTGAGTGAGTGTGTGTCTGTTAGTGAGTGTGTGTGTCTATTAGTGAGTGAGTGTGTGTGTCTGTTAGTAAGTGTGTGTCTGTTAGTGAGTGTGTGTCTGTTAGTGAGTGAGTGTGTGTGTGTCTGTTAGTGTGTGTGTGTCTGTTAGTGAGTGAGTGTGTGTGTGTCTGTTAGTGTGTGTGTGTCTGTTAGTTTGTGTGTGTCTGTTAGTGAGAGTGTATGTCTGTTACCTAGTGTATGTGTGTCTGTCAGTGAATGTGTGTGTGTGTGTGTATTTAGAAGGCGGGGAAAGGGGGGATGCCTGAGATTTGTCATGCCTAGGGCAGCACAAAACCAGGATACACCACTGTATATATTTCTTTAGTTCCTGCGCATGTTTTGTAAAAAAATCAATATGCTAGCCAACCTGGGTCAACAGGAAATTCAGATACATCTTTTCACTTGTGACTTTGAGGCTAGCTGCATTAGTACACTATGTAACCCCTTTAGTTACTCTGCTGGCTATGGGATCTGAACCACTACTTTGGATTGTGTGGCCAGTAATTCTTGTGTAACATTATACAATCAGATGTTAAAGAATTCCTCATGTGAAAGAGGTATAGGAACAGTGAGAGGTCTTATCAAACCTTGGAGTGGTCGGGCATAACTGGAAAAAACTCCATGATGTATATAACATAAACATGGACAAACTGAGGCAGAACAGAGAACTCCTCCTTTTCCTCCTCTATTGGTTATTTTTTTCTCACTTGACTTGTGAACCAAATGACATAAAAAAAGCACCAATCAATGTACAGCAAATTATATACATAATTTTTAGGAATATTGTTTGCAGTACACTAATAGATGCACAGTGGACAAACAGTGTTGTTTGATTCAGAATTTGGAGTTCTGCCCATGACACCACAAACAGTACTTTAGTAGGGACATTTTTGCATTATTTTGGTTTACCCGAAATGCCTTCCTCTAAACCCTGGGTTCCCAATTGATTTTTCCAGTGGAACCCTTTGACATTGTGTATCAACATTGTGAAACCTCCCCAACCCAGGATATAAAAGCCCCACATTCCTAACCCAATAAGACACAGACACTAAAAGTATATCCGTCAAATTTGTCCACACCTTTTTATTAAAATATATATTCGTAATAAATTAACGTTGAATAAAGTTATTGCCACCAACCCCGCCATACCACATCCGTATCCCGCACAGTTATAAAAGGCAATGACCCATATCAGAAAAACATAAACATATAACAATATTTTACCAACATGAAGATAAAATGAAAGTACTGATGTTTTGAATAGCCATGGTAGGGGTATACCCGGATACCGCTACATCCACCAGGTTCTGAGCCACCCACAAGTTAGAAACTTACCAAGAACCATATTAACTCTTCCAAAACCAGCATTAAGAAGAGTCTATTTTCCTAGCCTTCAGTTTACTATCCTGCCGCTGTTACAGAACGGAACAACCCAGCAAACCAACCCCAGGGAGGGAGGGTCAAACTCAGCCAGGTAGGAAAGTGGTTTTACTAAGATGGCTGCCTATTTATATAGCTTAGCCTCTAACTTCCTAACAAACCATTATCTATTATCATTTGTATTGTTGATCAATCAAAATGGCGTATGATTTTTATGGTGAAGAAAACAGTTCAATTAGAGCAATAAAATTTAAAGACTATCACGTTTTGTATAAATTTGCCATTTGCCAACTTTTAATTGTTGTATACATTTAGTTTTTAAAATTACATGACAGTTTGTCCTCTTGATGTGCGCTGGCTCATTACACACCCACAGACTGCAGACAAAATCTATTTGTTGTAGGGGAATGGCAACAGCTTTATTTACCAATCTTTAGCAGCTTAACATTTCCTTCATGCAATATCACCACTGCCAAGTGGGTGCTTGAATGCCTTCAGGTGGTTAGACATCACAAGCTGAATCCAAGATTTATGGTCCTGTCATTACTGCCATCTATTGGCAGGCCCATGACTTCCCAGTCCCATGACTTTTAAATGTATTTTCTTAACAGAAAATGTATGATTGCATAAACTTTATATATACATTGACATTTACATATCCTATAAGCATGGCAGTGGGAGAAGTCATGTCCACTGTTCACTATAAGTAGACCTCTTGATACCTCACAACAGTGTTAGAGTTTGGTTTTTGTTAAAAATAAATAAATATGAATTACAAGTTTCAAGTACCTGTGGTACTAGCCAGGTATTTAAAGTTACTCACTACTGGAAACCTGGAGGGTCCGCTGGCAAATTATTTAGGGGTGAATTACTCCACTTTATTGCTCATACTGTAAATAACACTTTTCTCTGCTGTATGTGAAATCTACTCTCTTCAAGTCTAAGTAGGCGACCCTTGTGTCCTTTGTACCTCTTATTAATGAACAGATTGCAAGTAAACTGGTCCTGTATATATTTGTATAATGTTTTATATTCCCTCTGAATCTCCTTTTTTTCAAAGCAAACAAGTTCATTTGTTTTAGCCTTTCTTCACAACCTGTATCTTCCATTCCCCTAATTAATTTTGTAGTTCACATGTACATTCTATCTAGTTTAATAACACCCTTCTTTAAAACAGGTACTTACAATTGTACAAATTAGGCAAGGAGGGGTCTTTGATTTATAAAGAGGCAAGATTATATTTTTGTTTTGTGAATTTCATGTATTTATGCCCTTCTCATTTATTGTTTTCCTAACTAAGCACCATAACTTTATCTATGTCTATATTAAATCTCACAGGTTAAATAGGCCTTTCTATTAAATGGGGGTGGCACAATTTATGTACGATGCCACTAGCTTCTTTCTGTAGACATATGATTTGTAATTACAAAATTACAAAATTTAGCATCCCTAAACTCCTGTGATTTTCTTTTGTCTTTGCAGTGAACTGAATTTTTGGTTGAAAGAGGTTTCCTGTCTTCAAAACTGACCGGCAAGGGTACATTCACTCCATTAATAGATACTGCCATGTTGCATTAATGGATACACTTTGTGATCAGGCCATTCCCAAAAAAGAATGAAGAAGGAACTGTTGTTTTTATGCACTCCCTATGTCCAGTGAGACTTGTATTGTGAGCAGATTTTATGTTCTTTTAATATTTTCTGTCCAACAGCAGAATTTTATTTATTTTTTTCTTCTTAAAATGAAAAGAAGACATTGTTTTTTTTTTTTTTAACCTATCTTTGTACGTGTGATCATTTTATTCAACCTACCTGATCACACTGTGCCAACTTCTTCATCAATATTGAAATGGGTGGATACGATAAGATCACTGACAATATGGTATCTCACCATAGTAAGTACATTCCATCTGAAAATGGTGCCTGGCGTTTGATACATTGATACTGCCTTTTTCATCTGCCCAAACCTGAAGATGTTCGTATAGCTTACCCAGATTCCTTTATTATTCCTGTGATACTGTGATGATGCCATGCAGAAGATGGACGAGCCATTCTAAACATGGATGGATCATTTTGCGATATTTTTTGCTTCTTGTACATTCAATGCACACGCACATAAAAATCGACCTGAATGTTTAAACTGTACTGTAATTCAAGCCTGAAGAATGGATCCAAATGTACGATTATTACCAAAAATTAAGATATTGTTAATTTATTTTTACTCCTTTACATAATAGAAGGCTATGAAATATTACCGACTACTATTGGTCATTACATGGTCATATTGAACAATACATGGTTCAAGGTAAAAAAAAACTAAAACAAACAGGCACTATATGATTATGATCCATGGCAAGTGTCATATGAGATTGCTAGTTGACTCCTGCTCAAATCTAGAGGAAAATCTCAAAATTTGAATTTCATTTTTTCAAATCTCAAAAATATGTATAGGAATTGTAAATTTACAGTTACTCACTTAATAGTGAATTGTCAGAAATTGAAAGTTATTTCAAAGTGAATTCCAAATACTGAAGGGAATATATAGTTGCTGCAAAGCATTTCTCCAATTCAGTTAGTTTTGCCCAAATTAAGGCTTAAATTCCCTTTAAATGCACATTGAATTCCTGATAATAGCCATACTAAATGTTCTTAAATACTCCAATATATAATAGTGATACACACTATTATCACATGTAAAGGAAACAATGTAGTTATATATGAATATTAACCTATCAAAAATGAATCGACCTATTAAAGAAACACTCTAAGCACCAAAACCACTTCATTTTAATGATATAATTTTGGGGCATATTGGTTACCCCTGCAGCCCTTTAGATTAAATCTGCTATCATTTTACAATCCCCAAAATTACTAAAAATAGTTTCAATAATTAAATTCAAAGTATGGAGATATTAGTCCTTGGATATTTGTCCAGTTCTTCTCATCATGGAGAATTAGATTTGATGCATCTCATAGCGATGCCTCAGTTTGCTTGATTGTAGCATACATGCGCCATACGTCTTCAGTGATTCTCTATGAGAAACATTTAGGCAGTAGACAGAGTCTTGTACCGTGAGCTTGTCTTTCTCTGAGCTGGAATAATAGTAAGTTTCAAAGTTTATTATATTTTTCAATGAGAGGCCCACTATTTGAAACTAGGAAAGAAATGCATCTAACTAAAAAAATATATAATAATTATAATTGTTTTTTTTTTTTATTAGTGTTCCTTTAAGCAGTAGCTTTGCTGTCCAACAGTTTCCAGTTATTTTATCCACAAGAATATGTTTCTTACTTTATTGAGAATAATCTACATGGTATATATATATAGTGATTGTTCACTCTAAATTCACATCACAAATGCCCGTTACTGAAACAATCAGAACAGCTTTGATCATCCTTTCCCATCGCTGACATCCATTATCTGGTCACATGGCTTTACTAATGTGTCATTTCAGTTGTCAGGTACAATCAGTTCGCAGTTCTACTAACCCTTGGTGTGTCTTAGTCATAAGCAAATCGTTGTAATGCCAATATTTTAAACTAATATTACAATGAGCAGTAGATGAGCTGCTTTGGTGCATCTTGTATTACAGAACTAAAATTTCCTCTTCTTTCTCTCCCACCTCAATCTAAAATTGTCTGTTACTTGTACACTGGAAAGTGATAGAATTTGCAATCCAAAAAGCTCATAGGTTGCAAGTTGCTTGGCCACCCTGTAAAGTATCCATTTAAGGGGACACTCCAGACTCCTAAAGCACTTTAGCTTGCTACAAAGCATTACGTGTAAAGAGTGTATCCTATTTTTGTAATTTTGCAAACACTGCAGATTTTAATAGAAATTAATTATTTTATAAATTAACCTGGTACCTCCCTCGCAAAGACTTCTCACTGCTGCATTGGGAAGTCTGTGATTGGACAACCACAGGAAATCTGAGCAGGGTTAGAAGTTGAGAGTTTGCAAAAGAAACAGTCAAGAAACTGCAGGTTTTGCAACCTTATCTCAGCATATGCTCACAGTGAAACAAATGTATAATTAAATGCAAATGTGTTTTCATTTAGGGTATATCTACTAAACACTGATTTTAAAAAAAATGAAAAATTGTATTTGGTCAGTGGACTGTCCCTCTAATATATATCCCTGTTAATAGCAGGTCACTAGCTGACAGCTATACTAAATTTATTATTCAGTTAACATCAATATGTTCATCTCTTATAATAGAATCCAGCCTGAAGAATCTTATGAATCCAACCAGTTAAAGATCTCCATCCTGGTAACCTGGGATCATTATTCTTGATTTATTTCAGTTGAAAACCCTTACTTAATGGGTCCACATCATCACTTTGTTACCAATATTTCATTAGAATTGTTTAAAACACTATCAAACTTTCACGGCACTCCTTGAGACTGTCGACTGTTCTCATTTGCCAACCCATCAACAGTAGAACCATATCATCTATATATTTAAATATATGTTATAATAATTATTAGGCTTGGGCATTCGTGTTCATAACAATCGCAACTGGGACGAAAATTGTCTTGTTTGTGTAAATTCCGAATAGATTTCCAATGCTGGAGTATAGTGATTCCCACCAGCTTGTTAGAGTTGAGAGAACTGTACTAATCATGAGAAAAAATTAAAGTGGGCCTCAGAGAACTAGGGCTTCACAAAAAAATCAAGGTGCCATTTCAGTGAAGATAGATATTTAGTATTAACAGTAGATAGCCCTTATTTCTACATTTTGAATTAACTACATAAGGCTGCACCTTCAGTTAAAAAAAATCACTTCTATATTATCTTTATTTCACTGTATTGTAAACACAGAATAGTAGGAGAGTTCAGATGTTTTACATGATTCACAAGAGTAAGCACTATTCAAACATATTGAGTGCTTTGGAAATGAGTAGTAATACCCTTCTGCCCATGTTCCCAATATTGACATGAATAAATGGGAACAAGTGGTTTTATTTAGCTTTCAATTAGTTCTTGAAAGTCGGCAAATGATGAAGAGTCCTTTGAGATTTATATTTGTATATCTTACTGATGGCAAGGAAATGAGAAATTCATTCTCCACTAATATTTCCCATCATTGTCATTGCATTCAAATCCCCCAAGGAATCTCTATACCTTTTATTGCAGAGGGCTAAAATACATTTAAAGGAAAATATGTTCAGATATCAATATCAAATATCCAGCCTTGTTGAAACTATTACTACTGGTGAAGAACTTCAAACTACATTATAAAACTCCAGGTTATTATGACCACTTCAACTGTTCATGGTGCTTGGAGTAATTTTCATTATCAGGATTCTAGGCATTGTCTGACACTTGATAAGCAGGATATGCTGTGCTAGTGTAGGGATACAAGGACTGTATTGTGATGATGGCAAGGATTATGGTTGTTTTCATGTGTTTAAACCATGTTTCTCCATCTTAATTCAACTAAATAATGTTATTATAATGATAAAACATCCCTGATTGCAACTTTTAATTTAACCACTACAACTGCCAAATAGCATTACGAAATGTGTAACTATACAATATACACCAGTGGTAGGCAACCTTTGGCACTCCAGATGTGGTCTTCATCTCCCATGATGCTTTGCCAGCATTGTGGCTGTAAGAGCATTATTTGAGTGCCAAAAGTTGCCTACTTCTGCTCTACATCCACCAGAAGTACCACATAGGATAAATATACCACATTTGAGATATCTTGACGATATTTACCTTTGTGTAACATAGTTCACAGGCACGCTAACACCATAACCCCTACTTCTCAATGTCTTGGTTATGGCTCAAATAATCTTTCAGTGCCTCTTTGAATTTTTGTTGTCAAACTATTTTTAAGCATTTTGAAGAAACACAGGGCTTTCTTAGAACCTAAAGCCAGGGTTCACTTGTACAGCTTAGATAAGAACTAGGGCCTATCACCTGACATTACATATGTGGCTCAGATAATGTGGATGATTTACTTCTGCATAATCTATCCAAAGCTGCCCAATCATGAAACGCCACGATAGGCTGAAATCACTCAACATGCAATATTAAATTCTAATACTACATTGTTCATACCATGGCTAGGGATTTAAACATGTAACTCAAACAATTTATAAAGGATGCTCATAGCTAATGTTTAAGAATTTCAATAAAATATTCTATTTATTTCATATAATTTAATTTTCTTCTACAAAGACTGTATTGTAAGTTAAAAAAAAAACAACTAATTTTACAGAGATTTAAAAATGACATATTTCAGAATATCATCAGGAGTTTAATAGATAAAATATCATATTGTAAAAGAAATATTTTATTTGTACATTAGTGAGATATTTATTTATGATACTTAAAAAAGCAACACATATTCCCAGAACCAAAGAGGATACAAATAAATGTGGTTGTTGAAATGATTGTAACTATATATTTGTTTTATTACTTTTAACCTCTTGTGTATTCAAAGTGTTAGCAATAGGTGTACTAGACATGACTTTTTGGTTGTCAAACTCTGAAACAGATCAACTATGTGGTGAGTCCTCACAAGTTGTCTTGAGTTGACAGTTGAATACATTTCCAACTTCATTATTTGAACCTAAATATTGCTAATAAGTCAGTTGTCTACCATCTACAATTTACAAATGAAAAAAGTCCCCATTTGTGTTGATTACATAATGTTTTGAAGTAAAATATAAAACTCTTTTGTTGTCTTCAGAGAATATTCTTCTCAGTGTTTCTGTAATGGAGTTCACAGCTTAGAGCAGACTGGGCTACAAGTGTCGTCAAACATAGCCAAGCACTATACACATCTAGCTGAGAGTGAAACTAATTATAATAACATTAAGTAACACTCAGGGCACATATAGATAACAAAAAGCACTTCCCTTTAGCATGAATGATTTGTCAAGAAATTTCATATTTACAACATTATGTACACTTCCAAATCCTTAATATAACATCAACAAACGTACAGTAACAAAAATGTGCTAAACCAACCAATAAAAACAATGGGCTGCAAATATGTTTTAATTTTATTCAAATTTCTTTGAACACAGTCACAGCTTAAAATTCATCACGTTGGATGTTATGTCTGTTTTTGTTTTGTTTTTTTCAACAAGTTATGTTCATTAAATATTTGTATATTTGAAAAAAAAATGTTAATTGTAATGCTTTATTTTTAAACCTCTAATTTTTCTAAGGAATAAAGGTTAGTTAATTTAGAACTTTATGAATGTTGCTAGCCAAGAACGTCAATGATCTACATCTGCTGAGTGACAGATTTACATCCACCTAGCCAAAAAAACAATCCCTGTATATTAATCTAATGACCACTTCTAGGTACTGGTCTAGGTACGTCTTCACTTGACCTTTGATGTAATAGTATGTGGCCATTTTATATTCTCATACTTGATGTGCTCAAAGAGCCAGATACTGGTGGGCCTTAGTTTATACTAGGATGCAATCCAATGGTTTAATTTATTTCAAGCTTGTGGCCCCATACACTTTGTTGCAGGTAGAAATATTGAAAAAACCTGTATATAGAGACGCATGCAGATATAATATTTCTACCTAAATGTAGCACTAGATAATTGCAAATTACGTGCAGAATCCATTTCTAATTTTAGATTATGAAAAATAATTTTTAAGTATGTGGGTTGAGGGAAAGAGGGAAATCCAAACATTTATTTATATTATTTTTAGATAGGCGGTGCTTTCTGTAAGTCTCCAGTGACCTCTGTCTGTAAATAGTGTATATTTAATTTATTGCTGGTCTAGTCCTGTATAGAATGAAATCTGAAGTTCACAAATGTATATTTTGTTGCTTAAATGTGTGCAAAATTCACAATAAATTACCTATTTTATGTCCAATTGATTTCTTGATATGTGATTCTGTGAGTGTATTGTCCTTTAAGAAACTAGTTTTATTAACGTGTTGATGTGAAATGCATATACACCTTAAGAGAAACATAGAAACATAGAATGTGACGGCAGATAAAAACCATTTGGCCCATCTTGTCTGCCCAAATAGTCTGCCAAGAGGACTTGTCATTCACAAATATGAATAACTTTTCAAAAAGGCTATAAAATGCAATCACGAATGGCCACATTGTCATCAAAATTGGTGCCCCACAAGGAGGAGGTTTATTAATTCAGAGCACTGCAGAACATGTAATATTAAAATAGATGCATAGATAGAGAAATATATAGACATATAGATAGACAGATAGTTATGGATATATGTGAGTGTGGGTATATATAATATATAAATTTGAATAAAGATACCACTCTAGGATTTTTCAGAAGAAAACACCTATATCAACTTTACATAAACAGTTTCATCAGGACAAAGTTATGCATTTTGGTGTATACATAGTGCCGTTGAACATAATTTCTGGTCATTTTAATTATTTATATAATTAGAATAACAAGTGTTATAAGTTACTAACACACAGCACTCGATGCAGTTCATAGTGGGCACTCAAAACCCACATTCAGAAGGCAATTAAAAGCCAAAGTAGGGCTGTATGTACAGGTTTATTTGTCAACTCTGCTAGAATGCACAAAACGCGTCTGACTGGTTATCCCTTCCTATATGTTCCCACCAGTTGCTAACAGTTTTTGAATTATTTTGTGTGGTTTAATAAAGGATTTCTTTTCACAAATTTACTGGGTGGAGGCAATTTGTAGGTGTTCTCCTATCAAGATTCTGGATTCTGCTCAAATTATTATGTTATGGAGGAGATCTGTCTCTCAGGGATCTTTGATGGTTTGGATCTTGAAATTGATCATTTTCAATTTTGGAATCATGCCTTTTTTACATTACTAGAGACTATTTACATTTACCAGTGATGCTTTAACCCTCATCCTTGTTTCTACAGCTAGTAGGTATTTATGTAACATTCCTTTGAATGCATAAATAAAACAGGTCTATAGACTGTTTTAGTAAAGAGCGAATACATCATAGCACTTCCTGCTCTAGTGACTTGTTCATCACACATAGGCAACTTTTGAGGTTTTCTACTTCATTTTCTGCATTTCACTTGCTCAAGTTATTTAAATTGGTACCCCTTTCAGTTTTAATTAAGAGAGGTCATACAAGATAGTAACTTGGTTATTGTGATTGATTAAAAACAGAATTGTAATATGTCGGGCAGAGAAATGTTCGCCCACTCAGCTCGACTGTATGACTAGGACTAGGGAAGGAAGACATCAAAGAGTGGGAAAGCTTAAATGTAAACATTATAAGGGATGCACCCCCAATTTTTCAGTGGGTTGAAGCCCCTTATGTTTTTGCCACAAACACCCCTAACAGAGAAGAACCAGAAAACCTTATGTGACCATTCCCATAACTAAATCTAAAATCTGAAACATCACCAAGATTACATTCAGATTGTCCCAAGCACCTCTGATTACTGTATTGGGGCATTTTAAGTGTGAATGTGATATAGTGAGGGGAGCATCACAAATGATCTATGTTCCCTTATATCGAACATGTGATATCGAACATGTTTGAGAGCACAACTTTAACAAAATGTTTCATCCTTGCATTTTACTTCTAGAAACAGATTCTATTGCCTTGATTTCCTTTAATGAACCAGGGCAAAATTCAATGTGCAGTGTGTGAACCTAGGCTCCAATTGTCTTTCAAATGATAATCCTGCCCTTTGAATGACTGACATTTAGTTTAATTCTTAGTGCTCTGAAGAGCAAAGTTGTTTAGTTGATCACTGAAAATATAACATTTAGTGCTTGTCCTTGTTTTCAGCCTTGAGGACAGAGACAGATGTTGCTGGGGTGCTGTTCAAGTCTAGTCTAGTCTTGAAAAGTTTCAGGTCTGAAATATGTTGTTAGCCCAGAGTCGCCTGTTCCACAACTAGCTGGGGAATTAGGAGCAGATTGTGATAGAGAGTCATCAATGAAGCATGTTGTGTAAAATCATTGAAGTTCTGACACAAAACTGCAGAGTACTGAAACATGCAGTACATGGTGAAGGCCATATAATTCCAGGGACTGGGGAGACTAGCTGAGAATAACCTAGTTCTTGTGCTTAATGGGGTTGGGAATGTCATCACTAAAGTTCTGCATTGTGCAAATGCATGCTGGAAATTGAGTGATGAGGCTGTTCCTAGACAGTGGAGGACTGATCACCAGGGGCCAGGGGTACACAGCTATGGCCAGTCTGGGGGATCAAAGGATGTCCCCAAAGGGTCCATCATAATTTAAGATAGTAATAGTTGCTGGGCGCTGCAACCTACCCACTATTTAAATTTATTTTTCAAGACCTGGCAGGGCGCTCCTACCACGCGTGTGAACACAGTAAGATGTCTGGAGGAGGAAACATTATCACTGTGATGTCACAGTGGCAGGCTGCTCTGGGACAGATTGGGGCAGAAGATGGTGGCTTGGGGAGCAGGAGGAGAATAATTAAAGGTGAGCCAATGGCACAACTAGGGGTGACGATGAGAGAAACAAAGTGGGTGACAAAGACTGATGTATGGGGTAAAGATTTAAGTGTGATATATATGGCTATCTTGTCTTTTTTTTTTTCATGTATCATTTTTATTGAAATTTTTGTTATTGTTGTACATGATAAATACAGGTACTGTAATACTTTTAAGTTACATGACACAAATCAAAAAACACAAGTACACAAGTAGCAGACAGCACTACCATTTCCATATTGGTTAACAATCACCTTGTAGAAAACATTTATCTCATTGGCATAGCAACATGTCACAGACAGGCATTCACTACACTACACGATTAGTTGTGGTTCCCAAGCTTAATATCCGTATACGTTCTGGTGCGGCCACATTTTAGTTATTGTGCTGTGTACCGAAGAGGCAACCCTGCCCGCCACCCAGCTCAAGAAATACGAACATGACATTGAAAACAAGAAACAGCACATTAAAATTAACCATTGTTGACCTAAGTTTTAACAAAAGTTTTAACAAAAAGGTTTAGCCAGTAAACCCACAACCTGCATTTTCTAATGGGGATTGGACAGTCAACGTGATTCCCAACTGTGGCACTTTGGAGGGTGGGGAGCCCCAACTACCCAGCCATTACCGTGGCATTGAGCGGTCAATATTGTATGAAAAGGGTCCACTGGCAATTCAATAACAAACATTAATGCAAATAACAATACAACATAAACAAAGTATATACAATTTCTCTTGGTGAGGAGAGTGTAAGCTGCGGCCAGATGCTGGGCCTGGTGTGCCATGCACCGTATCAATCACCTGGGGGAGTGTGGTAGGAGAGGCCAGAGCAACCCAAACCATATTTGCTTTTGGTACGTGGGATTTTCTCCTTCAGTACTGTAGGGTATAGCCTAAAAGAGTTCATTTTAAACCTGCGGGCATACCATAGCAGTATATTAGCATATAATTAACTCCCATTTATATACCACTCATAAAGAGTGCTCTCTTATAGGGCAGCGTGGCCCGCAGTAGGCATAAGTAAATAGAATCAACCTTAGTGATATCCCCATATCTCAACTACTCAGAATCATGGTATTTGTGCTGTCAAAATGCTTGGTGTTTTCCCCTGCATCATGTCGGTCCTAGGCTACAAGGAAACCCAGATCCCTGTTGCTGGGTTTCACAGGGCGATTAGTTGGGCGAGCCCCAGCACTGGTATGAGCTAAGTACATGTGGGATGGACATTAAATCAATTTTTATACACTACATTTAACACAGAAGCCCAACACCATCTGCTTCACCAACTCCCTACCCGACAGCACGCAAAGATGCAACAGAGCGCTTGCTCCTTTAGCATTCAGCCCATGAGAACTAATGTATCTGGATACGTACTGATGGGGTCAGATGGAGCAACAACAACTTTTAAACATTTAAAGTAAACCAAAATATTGGCAATACATCTCAGAATGTCATATAACAATACAACAAGTTAGCAACTCCTGTAGTATGGATCTCAACTTTTTTTTGTGTGTGTGTTTCTGCTTATTGTTATTTTTTTTGTTTTGTTTTTTCATTTTTGCGATATTGTGTAACGTATCTTACGTGTCCGATGAGTAATGCATATGACCTGCCATTGAAGAAGTCCGTGACGAGTCCATAGGTAGAAGTCCGCGGACGTGGGGCATGATCACCATCTTCTGAGTGGCCGGTGGACTATAAAACTCCACAAGCAGTCCTGGTCTCCTAGCTGACAATGAGTAATGGTTAGCAGTCTTGGTAGTCCACTTTTTAAGCTAATTTCTGGGAACCGGCCATGGACCATTCTGGCATTATTTTAGGCGAGTGCGGTTTTGCAGGTGAGTCCGCTTCTGGGTTCCTCCACAGGCCCCACTCCTTGATTTTGCTAAAACCAACCTCTGGTTCCAGGACTGTATGAAGGGAACCATTGCGCCAAATCAGCAGCTTCGTTGGGAAGCCCCAGTGATACAGGATCTTGTGATTGCGGAGGTTCTTTGTTGTTGTAAGAAATCCCCTCCTCCATGCCATAGTGGAAGCTGACAGGTCAGCAAAAAGGTTGAGATGCTGGTACGGCTCCGGCAGCATTTGTAGCTTCCTGGTGGTATTCAGTAGGGCTGCCTTAGACTTATAGTAGTGGAAGGGTGCCACCACATCCCTCGGTGTGGCCGCAGTGAATCGGGCAGGTCTCAGCAGACAATGCACTCTATCCAACAGCCATGCTGTGTCCTGCAGCTCCAGTACAAGTGCCTGGCACATTGTGCAGATGTAGGGCGAGAGTTAATCTATGGTGACAGAGTCAGCAATGCCACTAAAGTGGACATCATTTTGATGGGACCTGTCCTCCATGTCAGCAAGTTTGTTTTTCATCATGGTGTGTTCCTCTTCTAGTCTCTTGATCCTATCAGCCACATCATTGTGCACAGTGCACAATTCCTCTGTTTTATGTTCGAGGTGGTTTATCCTCTCCCCCAGATCTGCAAGGTCTTTGTGAATGGAGGAAGTAATCTGCTGGAAATCCTTCTGAATTGTTGATCTTAGGTCTTGGAGCATTTTATAGACGCTTTTTTCTGATACCGGTTTGTCCCCTAGTGTGTCTGGGGTGAGGTCAGGCTCCGAGGGGCCTTTCCAATATCAGATTGTGCGGCCGAGTCGGTGCCATCTCGTTGCACCTTTTGGCGGTCTTTTCTCCCAGGTCGGAATGGCTCAGTGAGTTTCATTTGTTTAGAATAAGATATTAGTTGGTAGTAGGACACTGTGCGCTTCATAGGGTTATATTTTGTGGAGAAAATCCGTGCTTATGTGGAGCTCTGGGTTAGGTTGGATACGGAGCCCTTACTCCATGCAACCTTCCGTACCGAAAGTCAGCCGAGCCGCTATTTTGTCCTAAATTAGTGATTTTGTTATTAAAACCGAGTTTGCTTGGGATTTTATTTTGGCCTCATAGTATTTCCTTATTCAAATCATCTACTGGGCAGCTGTAGATTACAATAGTGCTGTATACCAAAACTAAGTTATTGGTAATCTCATAAGATCTTTGTACAGAAAAAAATTAAACAACAGAAACCCTGTATTTCCAGGTCACTGACGCTGAATGACAGCATTCACAATTCGGACAATCTTTAAATACACACTACACTACAGACACAGAAACACATCCAAACAAACACTAAGACATGATTCACAGCGTGTTCGTATACACATGCCATCAAAATCTAGCCTAGGAGGAGCTAGCAATGTGGCTTAGAAGGGACCACCAAATTTTGCTTTGTGCTCAAGCCCCAGGTGTTTTCAAAACTTGCAACGTCGTTGTGGACAGATCACCTTTCTATGAAATTCTACAAAAATCTGGGTACATTGCCATGTATCCTGGTATTTTTTGGCTAATGTTGGACTGGATACATTGACAAATGTTTCCAAGAAACCAGAAACATGTCCTAAACGTTTTCTTTTATCGACTCTATAAAACAGTTAAACAAAAATATAAGAGAAAAAAAAAGTGGAGAGAATGCATGTGTCCTAAAGTGATTACATAGTTATATTGTGTTGGAACATGTATAGGGTGTAGATTAAAAATGCAATTTTAACATGTATTTTATAAGAATGTTATTCACAGAATCAGGAAACATTCACTCAATGTACTCTCTTGTATATAGGTCTCTCTTTACGTATATCCTGCATTGAAATGTTTATCTGGAAGCGGTGATCTTGAAAACTTCCCATCTGTTCTCCCAGATTATCAGAATCCCAGAACATAGCTTATTTTTTACAAGTACCATCATACACTTATACATTTGTATATTAGATAATATTCATTGACAATAAATCCACACTCTCCACTTTTGCTATTGATGAAAAAAAATTCTCTTTTTTCTTGCCAAAAGGTTCCTTTGATAATGTAAAGGATCCTTTCTGAAAAAATTGTTACTTGCAGTAAGTTTGACCTTCGTTCCCTGTAGCTCCCATCACTTCTTTTAATGCCAATCGTTGAAGCAACCTGTGAATAAAATATGTTAACCAAGGTCCATAGAATGCAGTTATATTGAGATAAATGACATTTAGATTGGAAAAATGCTTTTTATGCATAATTCCCATAGATCTAACATTATCCATGAATTTAACATAAACCTTTTTTGGGGTCTGAGGTGAGGTTATTCCCCTGTTTGTTTGTTTTTCGCTTTTCATGTGCTATTAAAGCAATACCCCACTCATCAGCTGGTTGTAGTATGATGAACCTTATGTTTTTATTTCTCTTAAAGGATCACTATAGGGTCAGGAACACAAACATGTATTCCTGACCCTATAGTGTTAAAACCACCATCTAGCCCCCCCCCCCCCGTCCCCTCATGCTTCCCTAAAAATAGCAAAATCTTACTTGTATTCAAGTCTGAAGCTGTAACTCTGCATGCTGACTCAGAAAAACAAGCTGTTTGCTGACATCATCAGAAGTGGTGGCCTGATCCAATCACAGTGCTTCCCCATAGGATTGGCTGAGACTGACAAGGAGGCAGATCAGGGGCAGAGCCAACACAATTCAAACTCAGCCCTGGCCAATCAGCATCTCCTCATAGAGATGAATTGAATCAATGAATCTCTATGAGGAAAGTTCAGTGTCTGCATGCAGAAGGAGGAGACATTGAATGTTTGGATGCATTTTAGGCAGCCATGACCCAGGAAGGATCTCTAACAGCCATCTAAGGAAGGAGTGGCCAGTTAAGGTATCACTAGGCTGTAATGTAAACACTGCATTGTCTCTGAAAAGACAAGGTAATAATTCTACTCACCAGAACAAATTCAATAAGCTGTAGTTGTTCTGGTGACTATGATGTCCCTTTAAGGCTACTGCTTTTTCAAATACCCTCATTTATCCACTCCTACACAAATATCTTTAATGAAAGTTGGATTTTCCTTTCAAAGTATTTTGTCTATAATCAAAATCATCACTATTTTATATATCGTCTTTATTGATGTCTTTTGAAAGTTCTTTTTAAAGTATTATAAAGGTATAATTTTCTTACACATTTTTAAAATCCATATAAAGTTTCTAGCCTAGACAGGATATTCACACCAAAACATAAGCAAATATTAAGATTATTATCATTGGGAACTTTTAAATAAATACGCAAGCCCAGGTACATATATTAATTAAAGAACTTCAATATGATCGCACTGGAACATATAGTTTAAATAGTATTTTTAGGAATAAAGGTTATTACTCTAATTTTATTTCCAAGCAATAGTGATGTCCCGAACGGTTTGCCGAACGGTTCGTGAACGGTTTGCCACGAACGGTTCGCCACGGACTCATCATTGAGTAAACTTTGACCCTGTACCTCACAGTCAGCAGACATATTCCAGCCAATCAGCAGCAGACCCTCCCTCCCAGTTCCTCCCACATCCTGGACAGCTCACTAAGAATGCAGCTTCACAATGAATGTAAAATGGATGCTGTCCAGGAGGTGGGAGGGTCTGGGAGGGAGGGTCTGCTGCTGATTGGCTGGAATGTGTCTGCTGACTGTGCGGTACAGGGTCAACGTTTACTCAATGATGAGTCCGCGGCAAACCGTTCGTGGCGAACCGTTCGGGACATCACTACCAAGCAATTCTTTGTGGTATCTAATGAAATGGAGAATTGGTTTGAAATGTGAGGATCAAGCAGGAGTAACTGACAAGTCAGAATACATTAGGTAAAAGCTATGATGCTTTGGCAAAAAAAAAATATATACATTCTTTAAAAAAAAATTATAAATACACAACACAAATATTTTTTCAATTGTATCTTATAGAGATAATTAAAACTTACAAATCCAATCATAGCTTCAGAATGTATTGAATTGATTCACATATTTTAGCACTGCTTACCTGTCATGTACCAGTGTATGTCAGTTCTTAATATGGCTTTGGCTAAACAAAAACACAATGAAAAACATGCTCATCCACCAATTTACTAACAATTTTACCAGGATCTGTTATTTACAAGTTGAGGCCTGCTTCACATAATTAATTATATGCCATCCATCCAAACAACATTAAATTCAGTTTTAGAAATTTCAAGTCATGTTTTTGTGATGTTATTTGCCACAATCACCATGATGAAGGACAGCTACCATTACCAAACGAGTTAATGCAGCATTCCACCATTTTAGCATATAATCTCTGAGATGGGATTACATGCTAAATTCTCATCAGGAAGGAACCTAGTACTAGTGCAACCATACATGTCGTTTTTGTAACTCTATGGAGATGGCACTGAAGGTGGTACCAAATATATGAGTCCCCATTTAGTTTATGTTTTGTTCCCATTTTTAGGAAAAGGTCCATTATAATCTTCAGTGTCCAGGCAATTGCTCTACTTAAAATGTACATTTAATACTATGTTTTACTCCATCTTTATACCTCAAATTCCATGTTCTTAACTTCTGTTCGCATGCACTACCCTAACCTTATTTGCCAAATCATGAACCCTACCCCAGGATTCTTCATCTAACCCTACATTTTATCTCGACTTTATGGCCCTATTATAATATTCCAAACAAGTCTAATTATGCTGATCACATGCCTGACCATGTCTTCATCAACTAAAGACATTCCCTGATTCAAATGTATCTTTTAATGACAAGCAGTAAAGTGAATCACAATCTCATATTGTACGAAATAACATACGCTATAACAAATGAATTCTACTAATTCCATGTCATATACCGGTTTCATACCCACATAACCCGCATGTGTATTACTTACTTGCTGCTCATCTACGCTTTATACAGCTAATCCCATGCCCAAGGCCAAATGTATTCCCCTGTCCTCAAATTCACAGCAGTATCAGAAGACATTTAATGGACGGTTTTCTAAAAGATAATTCTATCCCTTGCAGTGTAAAAAATGAATTGAGGGATAGAATGGCAATAAATGATATTCCAGCATTCTGCCTTAATATGCCCCTTCGTACATCACTGGTAGAGTCATTGAGTATATAGGCCCCTAATACTGAGTCAGGACTCTAAATGAGAAATTAAGTGGAATCTTATTCATTCTTACCTAACACATTTGTCAAGTCAAGAGCAATGCACTGTTTTTTGGTGTTACAGTGTATCAGCAGGCACAATGCATTCACTTTTTTTTTTATTACAAGTGAATATAGCCCCTGATGGCCTCTCGCCTTGTTCTCATTGTTCTTTTCTGCGCAATCCTACATTAAGATCTAGTCACATATTTGTATACAGAAGTTAGTTGATCAGTAACAGGAAGTAAATACATTTGCAAAGGCAGACACAGACCTTCAAAATTCCATTAATCATATATTTATAATAGCAACAAACATAGTAACAAAGAAAAAAACAACTTACCTTGCTTGAGTTTGTTCCTGTGGGGGGAAAAAGCAGTAATTAATTCGAAAAATAAATTAAGCAACATGGAACACTGACATATTATTATTAATTTTCAATTTTGATTTCCCTGTAAATTAACTTGACATAGACATCAAGCACAGCCAATCTGTTCCTTTTAACATGCACAATTATACCATACACTATTTACCACAAAACCTGATCAAATATTTTAAATGGAGTCATGTTTCATGTTAGTTAGTATACAAACTACAACATATAAGTAGTAGTCTCCATGATTAATAAAAACTGCTTATTTATGACAACATAGTGAATATATTAAATGTAAATATATAAATACAACCAAGCGTAGGCAGGAGAAATTTACATTTAAGGTTATTCACTAAACACCAACTTTTAGAAAATTAACCCAGTTACTATTTGAAAGATCCAGTCGAAAATGACCAACTAGCTATGACATCAAATTTCCTCAGATTTCAAATTGATTTAATATCATCTGAATTTTGACCACCTGTACTTGATAAAAAGGTTGATTGGAAGAAATGGAATTTGAAATTGATCAGGTGCAAGCAAAATAATTTGGACGTGGTTAAAATATATTGGAAAGAGAGGGAATATAAAAGAACATCCGAGACTGAGTCTTAAGGGCAGTGAGGAAATGTCCCAGAGCCCTGGAGACTGAGATATTCCACTCACAACATCCTCAGTCCTCTGAAAACTGATAGATGCAGGTAAATGTATTCAATTTAAAATATGTGCCATGCCACATACTGTCTTATGACTCTTGGACAATGGCTTCAAGTGATCTTTAAAGGGGTCACTTTATCTCAATGAAGTGGTCTTGGTGCCATGTCCCTGTCATTTTAACCCTGCAATGTACAATATGATTGCCCTGCAGGAATGGACATGTTTTCATTGCAGGATTTACATGCCTCTGGTAGCCGTCTTCCTGATGTTAGAAAATATTTGAGTGGTTTTAAAAATTTTCAAAATGTTCAGAAATCAAAATGTCGTAGCTTTCGATAAGCCTTAAATTGCATTTATTAAATCACTCGGAACTATTAAAAACGTATTGATAAGCTGTCTTTATTACCTAGCGGTTAATATTAAATCAACCTCTAAAACTGAAAGGCAAATTTACTGAATAACCCTGATGTAAAAGTAATTCAGCCATAAATGATGCCTAGAATCCTTTTAGCTCTCATATCGATGGTGAACTAGAAAATCCTTAAACCTATAGCATCATGGGTGCTGTAGTTCAGTAATATCCAGAGTGTCACAGATTGCTTATTACTTCATATCTACTATGGGTCTACTGAACTAATGTGTCTCAGTCATTATATTATATTATAAGGAGTTATACGGGTTAAAAAGTGCAGAATTAGAAAAAAGGAAGAAAGAAGAGGACTCCAATGTGTAATTCTTTGAAGCCTGTGATCCAAGTACAAAGATACAGCCATCTTCTAATAGTAGTATTATTGGTCTGTATAAAATGGTTTCCAAAAGGTTGAAGAAGTTGTGAAATTGTGAATTTCTTTCCATATCTACCAGTTGCAGACTGGCACTGAAGCAGAGGGGATGGTAAATCCTTTGGAGTTTTATTGATTTTTGTATCTATCTATTGCTGTGCAGCTGATGGTTGATGACTCTATAGACTCTTCTTTCATTTAAAAAAAAAAAAAGTTTTCTTTTTTTATTTTATTTATAAATGGACATAGCAAGGCAGGTTGTAAACCTGAACGAGCAACGACTAGCTGAACAGACACGGATACCATCTCTGTGCAAACGTTTATACCACTTAAGGCACAACGATACATGCACCGCTGACTGGACAGGAATAGGTATTGATGGTGCAGTATGGTTGGATATGCTTAACCGTAGATTTTAAGACACGTTTCCACTTGTTGGATGCCTATTTAGTGTACGGCTCTCAGCAAATGATAAAGCAAAGAAACACTAGTCGTTCTTCTCTGAAACTTGCTGCAATCTAATCAATGTGAGAAATACTTTATATGTAAGTCTTTTCATAAACTACGGACTTGTTACCTGTATAAAGATATTTTGCCAGGTAGAGGAGTATCACAATAAACATAGCAATGAGAGCTAGCAGCGGCCAATCTTCCAAGCTCCACCTTGATGAACCTGTTAAAAAGATACAGTTAGATTTGCTAAACCAATAAATAATCTTTATCTCCAATCATATGCAAAGTGAGGACACTACGATGAATGCTTTTCAAACAGATGTTTTTCTTCAGATACCCACACTATGTTTATATAAGGAATGTTGTAGAGGTAAATAAAAGCATTAGAGTGACTGAATATGGTCAAGTGACTGCTTAAAAAAAAAAAAATCTCAATGGAACAGGATGGAGTTCTAAAAGATGCTCAGGGTCGGATTTTGCCAATGGGGTTATTGCCTGAGGGCAGGTGTCAGGAGAAGGGAGACATTCTCCTGCTGTGTGACTGAGGCCGACTCGGGATATTTCCCCAGGGGTCCATGCATACATGATATTTTATATGTTATTTGTGCATAATAATATTATTATTTATATGTTGGGGGATCTGACAACCCAGACAGTCCCCCTGCAGTCAATCTTGCAATCTGTCATTGCGATCACATGATTCGGATTGGCGGAAATGGCTGCAGGCGGACTACCTCGGCTCTCAGGCAATCAGATCCAGCAAGGTTTGTTTAATCTGGGGAATTTGTAGTACTCCACTGCCACGGACGTTAGGATGTGTTAATATGCCCTAAAGTCATTTAAGCACATGCACTTCAGGATGTGATGATATGTCCTAACAGTGCAAATGGGTTAAAAACAGCAGAGAAAGACAATACAAATATATAGCTGCATATATGTGTATATATACATTGCTCAAATATAAGTAAAGTGGGAGAATTGGTAAAGGAATAAATAAAACTTTAAGGTTTGTGTTTAAATAACCATTTTTGAACAACATCAGTTTTTTTAAGTGTTACACTCTTTCATATTGATCAATATTGACTTTGGACTTGAGAAAGAGCGGAAAACTCTCAAAAGCTTTTAAGCATTTTGTCAGTCCAATAAAAAGGTATCACTGCATACTGCAACACTCTGGTATTTTGACATTATATACATATATATCAGGAATATCCAACCTTTTGGAACTCCAGATGTTTTGGACTACATCTCTAATAATGCACTTAAAATAAAGGGATACTGTACTGATCCCTCTGCCTCCACCCTCACTCACGCTCTGCCTCCCTGGTAAATAAAGGGTTAGAAACCCTTTATTTACTTACCTTATCCCAGCGCCGTCCCGCGATGTGTGGGGTCTAATGCACATGCGCGGCAAATGCAAGGCGTGCATTAGACCTCCACATAGGAAAGCATTGAATCAATGCTTTCCTATGGGGAAAAATCTGACGCTGGAGGTCCTCATGCAGAGCGTGAGGATGTCCAGCATCGGATAACAGACCAAAAGTCTGTTACGATTCCAGAAGCGCCCCCCAGTCTAGTAGACAGCCACGGGGGGGGGGGGGCAGAGTTAGTGCTGCAATGTAAACATTGCAGTTCTCTGGAATTGCAATGTTTAACATTGCAGCACTAGGTGCAAGAGGGACACAGCACCCAGACCCCTTCAATGAGCTGAAGTGGTCTGGGTGCCTACAGTGTCCATTTAATCATGGGAGTCTGCAACATCTGGAGTACCGAAGCTTGCCTACCCCTGGTATATATGTATGCATGCATGTGTATATATGTGTGTGTGTGTGTGTGTATGTATATGTATAGCATGGGGGATGCATTGAGGATACTGGCGTTGGGGCAGCAAGGAGGGTAAATCTGGTCCTGATGATGCTTATTGCCATTTTCAATTTAGTAGAGGCTGAGATCCAAGGTGAATTACCCAACTAATTGATGCCAATAGCTGCCATAAAATGAATTAATATACTACTGGATGCTCTTCTTTTTATTTAGATAGGAAGAAAAGGGGACACAAATGCTTACAAATCGGTTCTTAAAGAAAGACTTGGCAACAAAAGTGCTCTCTCCATAATATAATTAGAATTTTAGTTTGCACCTCTTTCACGATTAAATGATTATGTTAGGGATGCCTTCAGATCTTGCTATCCAGACTTGTACAAAAAAACACCCTATTTAAAATGGACTCTAATAAGAAATCCTTCAACTGGAGACTAAAACAGGAAAAGGACGAGAATGGACTATGAGTTGGATACTGGCAATAATAGCCGTTGGACAGGAGAAAGCGGGAAGTATTCTACTTAATGACATATTTACTTAAACTGCTCCTACGAAATAACTCTCTTTGCTTGTACTACTCTATATTATACAATGAAGATCGGCAATTCCCAATACAATGAACTCATGAGCTATTTAGACTTGCCAAACAGTAGGTGCATTCATAATGTACCTGTAACAGTGATCATCACGCTTTTCCTAATAGCGTGTGTTAGACTTAAGTGCTCCACACGGCACGTGAAAGTAACTCCATTATCCTTGGGAGTTGCTTTGAACATAAAGAAGCCTGATATGCTGTAGGTACCATCAATGTTATGCTTGTGGCTACTATGCATTATATTCTGAATTCTGATTGGCAGGAACGATTGACGGTGGTCTTCTCGCAGCCATTCAATGTCCACATCCAGTGGATAGTAGTGTGATGCAGCACACAGAAGCTTCTTCTCTTCTCCCTCTTCTAACACAAGAGATTCAGCATTTACATGAACGACTGGGGATTCTGTTAAAACAAAATAAAAATAAAACAACAAAAAATGCATTTAATTAATGTCTTAAGTGTACTTTGTTTTGCAATAAAATTGAATAATTTCTAGCAACAAAAATATTTCAAGTTTACAAAAACAAATGTTTTTTTTTTCTCTGGGCTTTTAAATTCTACCTAATAAATAAAGCTCACAAGAGCAAAACACGCATTGCGGGTCCAATGTAATACATGCAATATAGTGCATAAGTCTATCTGATCTGTGAAAATGTAACCAACCTCAAATTCTGTTAAAAATGTTAGACTTGCAGTATTTTGGAAAAATAGTAGTGTGTATGAGTGTTCTGTCACAAACGTGATAAAAGTAAACATTTGTATTGTAGTGAACAAAAAAAATGTACAGCTCATTTATGGTGCACATTATCTATAAGGAATCATAAAACTATGAGATATGGTGACTTAACAACCAACTTGAAATTTTCTAACTCTGCCATTTTGGCCCAAAATTTGGCAAACTGGATGTCAATTAAGAGAACCAAGTACCATAAACACTTTAGTGTTTTGAAGTGATTATGGTGCCTTGAGTGTGTATGTGCAGTGTTTTGCTATAAAACATTGCACAAACACTATTTTGATGGTGGAGATGTAATTCCACCTCCAGTCATGTCACTGGGGTATTATTAGCCAACCCAAAACAAGATTTCCGAAATGGCTACTGTCTATTCCAGGGGTAGGCAACCCTCGGCACTCCTGATGTTTTGGACTGCACCTGCAATGATGCTTTGCCAGCACTTTGCTGAAAGAGCATTAGAAAGATGTAGTCCACAACATCTGGAGTGCCATAGGTTGCCTACCTCTGCTAGATTCTGTGCATATTTCTATGCACTCATTATCATTCAATGGTTGAGAGCGGTCAGCTGATTCTTTCAGTCAATGAATGGTTGGCTAGATCAGCATATGTCTTCTTCAGCTCTGCCCCCAGCACCAGAGGACACTAGGTGCCCAGTCTCTGTGTTACTATTTCAACTTCTACCATTACAAGTTTTCACTGAACATGTTGCAGCATTGTTTACATTCTCCACCAATATTTTCATTTGAGTAACAAATTTCAGCTAGGATATGTGTGTTCCAGAAATACATACCCACAATGTCTAAGTGTATCTTTTGGTACCCATATAGGGAGTTCACAGTCACAGAACAGGAGTAAACTCCCTGGTTCTCCAAATCCACATTTCTCACCAAGATGGAAGCATCCCCCTTTGGCAACTTGTCTTTCTGCATGACAACATTTTTGCTGTGGTATTGTACTGATCTTGTAGATCCCAAATAAGATACTAGTTTTATTACTTCCCAGCCCTTCTTTTGGAAGGTCCAAGTAACTGTAGCATCTGCCTGGTGGTCCACAGAAAAGGTACAGTCCAGGAAAACATCTTGCTGTAGCTTTGACCGGACTACAGGAGTCTTGGTAAGTATCGTAAAAGCAGCTGCAAAACAGAATATAGTTGGCTATGGTACAGAATCTTAGATTATATTATAGGAACTTAAATAATTAAATAAATAAACAATTTTAACCTAATTTACCCTGATTTTCGAATATTTCATTTTTTTTTTCTAGGCACCACTTGATTTCCCTAAAGTGTATGTGTATATATATATATATATATATATATATATATTACACAAGATCCAGCGCACTCACCTTTCCACTAAACAGCAACTTCAATGTTGACAGATTTAATAATTTATTTATTTTTTAACACCTAATCTATATATATATATAGGGAAGCAAAAACCAAAAAGGTTATGGTGGGGAAAAAAATTGTGATTGAAAACCCTACCACCTTAAGGTGGAGGGGTTTTCAATCAAATTTTTTTCCCCACCATAACCTTTTATGGTGGAAGGGGTTTTCAATCACAATTTTTTCCCCACCATAACCGTTTATGGTGGAAGGGGTTTTCAATCACAATTTTTCCCCACCATAACTTTTTTTGTTTTTGCTTCCCAAGCACTACCAAGCCTCAATAAGCAAGCCAGTAACCAACCTCATGCTGATGATTTGCATTAACAATGAAACAGCTGTCCATGAGTGGTTCACTGGCTTTGCATCTTTTCCTAAGTTTTGTTTCAAAGCTGTTGTATACAGCAAACACAGACTCAAAGGAATCCATGTTTAGAATGGAATGAGGCAAAAATGTGCACATTTTTGTTTAACATTGCAATATATATATCTGTATACATATATATATATAAATATATATATATTTATATATACAGGGCTGGCCTTAGCGGTGTGAGAGTTGTGCGGCCGCACAGGGCGCCATGACAACAGCAGGGGGCGCTATGCGGCCGACAAAGCTCACACATGGCCGGCAGAGATTATAAATTTTTTTTTTTTAAATCACCCAACAATGCGACGGGGCAGAGCTTACCGTGCGGCGGAGACGGGGCTTGCTGAGTGGCGGAGGTGGAGCTAAAATGACGGCGGGGACGGAGTTAAATGTGCCGGGTAACTGCAGCATAGGAAGCAGGAAGGAGTCCCTGCTTCCCCAAAAAACTGTTTCCAGGAGCTGCACTGCTTCCACTCCTCCATAAGGAACAGAGGTAACTATGTGTGATTGTCTGCCTGTGTGTGTGACTGCCTGCATGTGTGTGTGTCTGACTATGTGATTGTCTGCCTGTGTGTGTGACTGCCTGTGTGTATGTGACTGTGTGATTGTCTGCCTGTGTGTGTGACTGTCTGACTGTGTGGATATCTTCCTGTATGTGTGGATGTCTGCCTGTGTGTGTGTGTGTGACTGTCTGCCTTAGTGTGTGTATGTGTGTGTGGTTGTCTGCCTCTGTGTGTGTGTGTGTGGCGATGTCTACCTGTGTGTGTGTGGCTGTGTGTGTTGCGGTGTGCCTGTGTGTGACTGTCTGCCTGTGTGTGGCTATCTGCTCACACATGGCCGGCAGGGATTATACTTTTTTTTTTAAAAAATCACCCAACTATGCAACGGGGCAGAGCTTACCGTGCGGCGGAGACGGGGCTTGCTGAGTGGCGGAGGTGGAGCTAAAATGACAGCGGGGACGGAGCTAAATGTGCCGGGTAACTGCAGCATGGGATGCAGGAAGGAGTCCCTGCTTCCCCAAAAAACTGTCTCCAGGAGCTGCACTGCCTCCACTCCTCCATAAGGAACAGAGGTAACTATGTGTGATTGTCTGCCTGTGTGTGTGACTGCCTGCATGTGTGTGTGTCTGACTATGTGATTGTCTGCCTGTGTGTGTGACTGCCTGTGTGTGTGTGACTGTGTGATTGTCTGCCTGTGTGTGTGATTGTCTGCCTGTGTGTGTGTGTGACTGTCTGTCTGTTTGTGTGACTGTCTACATGTGTGTGTGGCTGCCTGCCTGTGTGTTTGTGGCTGTCTGCCTTTGTGTGTGTGTGTGGCTGTCTGCCTGCCTCTGTGTTTGCATGTGTGGCTGTCTGCCTCTGTTTGTATGTGGCTATCTGCCTGCCTCTGTGTTTGCATGTGTGGCTGTCTGCCTCTGTTTGTATGTGGATGTCTTCCTCTGTGTGTGTGACTGTCTGCCTCTGAGTGTGTGTGACTGTCTGCCTGTGTGTGGCTGTCTGCCTGTTTGTGTGGATGTCTGCCTCTGTTTGTGTGTGGATGTCTGCCTGTGTGTGTGTGTGTGACTGTCTGCCTCTGTGTGTGTGTGTGTGACTGTCTGTGTGTGGCTGTCTGCCGCTGTGTGTGCATGTGGCTGTCTGCCTGTATGTGTGTGTAACTGTCTGCCTGTGTGTGTGTGCGTGTGGCTGTCTTTCTCTGTGTGCATGTGTCTGTCTTTCTCTGTGTGCCTGTGACTGTCTGCCTGTGTGTGGCTATCTGCTTGTGTTTGTGTGTGGCTGTCTGACTGTGTAGGTCACTGTCTGACTGTGTGTGGATGTCTGCCTATGTGTGTGTGACTGCATGTAAGTGTGTGTGTGTGTAAGAATGTATGTGTGGCTGTATGTACGTGACTGTCCGTCTGTTCCTGTTTGTGTGACTGTCTGCCTGTAATTGCGTGTGAATGTGTTTATCTGCCTGTAACTGTGTATGTGTGTGATTGCCTGTACCTGTGTGCTTCTGCCTGAACCTGTGTATGTGACTATCTGCCTGCGACTGTGTGCATGTGGCTGTATTTGACAGTGTTTATGTATAACTGTGTGCATCTGACTGTGGGACTCACACATAGGCCTAAATGCGTATTTTCAGTTGAATTAAATACCCATCACATACAGCCAATAAACCCAGCAAAAATATCACCTACGACCAATACACGCATATCACACACAGTTAATCCACCCATTACAAACACATATAGCCAACACATGGCATACATATCACACACAGTCATCACACCTATCACATACACAGACAACACAAACACTACATCATATTATAGTGAGATGAATTACAGTGGAGCTCTGGTATTTAAAATGCACATTACTTTGTGTTTTATAGTTAGGGAGCTCGTGATACACTAATAGGCACATTACTTGGAGTTGTATTGTTGTGTAGTGTTTGAGCTTGTCACAGAGTACCACATTACCGTGAGTGGTGATAAACACACACCACATAGTACTGTGAGGGCTTTTCGTTTTTGTGGAGCTCAGTGATAAATGGATACTACAAATTTTTATTCCAAAGAGATCAAGGTAAATAAGTATAATCCAGAGCTCACAAGAAAAACCACTCACAGTATTATGTGACATACTTAGTCTGCTCCTCTGTAATGTATGGGAGCCAGTCTGGCACTTCTGTTGGCTGCAGACCACAAGTAGTTATCTTCCTAGCTCGGGCCAATCAGAGCGCTGCCGCATATTACCAGAGGACACTGCAAGTCCCTGAACTTGCGAGACAGTTACGCATGGTCTGCACTCAGTGGAGGGGCAGACCAGATTCAGATCAGCATGCTCCTCTCCAAACTAATAATATGTGTTTTTAAATCATTATTAATTTAATGAATCCCCTATACAATCACTACATTCCTATACACACACACACTATAAATGGATGGCGGGGAGAGGGGCGATGTGAAGATTTTTCGCACAGGGCGATTTACAGCCTAGGGCCGGACCTATATATATATATATATATATATCTATATTAAAAAAATACAAAAAGAATACCGGCACTCTAGGCTTTCCAAGGATTTCTTCTTTATTGAGTGTTAATCCATGTCAACGTTTCAGCTCCC